TTCCCGAGATACGAGGTGGAAAGAAATTTTTGTCAGCCAGTATATTTTCGCTGTGACTTCGGAAAAGTGACTTCAGAAACAACAGGAGCCGTACAACTTTTAAATTTGACGTCACAAAAGCACGAGCAAACATTTCACGGTGCAAACGATTTTATTACATAATTTGTTTTGGCATTGGTCTGTCGGGGAAATAATGACCACGCAGCATTTGGGGAGCGCGGAAAATCAAGAATTCTTAAGTCGGCATCGCGAACTGCCTTTATGATAACTTGAAGGACATTTGTTAGCATCGGCAAATTAGTGGTCGGTCGTCGCAGCAAAATGTTCGCCTCGTCAAAAAAACCAGCCGTCCCAAGATTCTAAGGCGCAACGAATCCACATTATTTTCCCGACAGACTGACATTAATCAAAGGCCTTCAGCCATTCAAACTCTCTGCTCCCCATGATGTTTTATCGAACCTCCACTGGTCTTTGAAGCGCAGTTGCATGTTGTTGATGACCTCGCCGATCATCAACAACCAAGAGCTTCTGCGCGCAAACTTCAAAAGCTGTACTGTTTTTACAGCAGCTAGAAGGCGTGTAGTCTGTGAGATGTTTTAGTGAATCGGGGAGATAAATTTATATATTGTTTTCTTCATTTACCGTAAAAATGTCCAAAGTTTTCGTTTACAGCGCGAGATGGCATGATGGAACAAACTACATCACATGTATTGGTGGCGGGGAAGTGTTTGTAACGTGTGGGTTGTTCGCAGCGCGGTCAAGGTTAAAACTGTATTTGGGAGGATAAAGGGAAGGTCTCTTAAAATGAAAAATTTCGAAACATCAGCCTCGTATCATCATTTTGTCGGGAAAATAAAGATGTGGCTGCGTAATCGCGTCGCTGAAGTGAAAACAATTCGATTTTGTTGCGACAAAATTCATTTCCTCGGCGATGCGAATTCCGCTTTCGACAGAGTGCTCATTATTTTCCCAACAGAATGATAATAAGATCACAGGTTTTGGGAGGCTGCAGACAGTCAGAGAAATGAAGTTTCCCTAAACGAAAAGCGACGAACGGTTTGATGGCTTTTCTTTCTATTCTTCCGGTAACCAACTCTAAATGATAACTGGTCTCATCTAAATCTCCGACAGAGTGCTCATTATTTTCATGACATTGGTCTCATCTATGAAAGTGTTTTAATCTCTTCTCGCTCTCCAAATTTTGCGCATGTTGAACATCTCGGCAGCCTCTGAAAAGTGCAAGCTAAAATTTTCAGGAGTTCATTTACGGTCTACGCCCAACCTCTACACAAAATTTGAAGAAAATCTGAGCGTCGCCAACATCGTTTTTTTACCCGAATTTTCGTCATCCCCCTACCCAGTTTTCCTTGCTGTAACCAATCACGTCGTTCGCTAACGTAAGGTTCTTTCGTAATCGTCGTTTTTATCGACCCAAACTACAAATCACAGCCCATTAGGAGAGCTGATAATAGCCCAATAATTGGGTTATACTACCTCTTTGACTATAATATTATACTACAAAAAATAAACGCGTTTTGGGCCAATCCCAACAATGACGCCATATTTTTCAGTGCATTTTAGGCGGTTTAGATTGCTGAAGAAATAAAATACGAACTTAATGGATCAAGAACTACGATTTTGATGATTTTATTTTCCGATTTAGGCAGAATATTTTTGTGATGTTCATATCAGTCTGTCGGGAAAATAATGAGCACTCTGTGGTCGCTTCTAAAATCGCATTGCCGACGAGAAACTAAATCGTGTCGCGGCAAAATCCGATGGTTTTTCACCTCGGCAACACGATCAGCACAACGGCATTGTGCTCAAACATAATGTGGAGTTTTTACAACAATTGCGACCAAGAGAGTACGCGCAAAGTCACAGAGAAAACACCTTTTGCCCATGTCTTTGCCAGTTTCGCATGGAAAACATTATTTTTTATGGTATTACTCTCGTTAGAGGGTCCTCTTCAGTAAAAATTAATCTGAAACAGTTTTCATGTCAAAATTCGCTAGCAAATATTCAGATTTTGGGCAAGTTTCGTCCGAAAAAACTCTGTCTTTTCTGCAAAGCACACAGTAGAAGTCTTTCGTATGTCTTAAAAAAGTTAATCCAAATTTGCTCCCAGCTTTATCAAAATCCGAGCATCGCAATTGGAGTTCTTCCCCATAAAAAAAATTCAAAAACCCCACTACAGTATGACTAGTTCACAACGGCGAAAAAACTGGATTACGGTGTGACTTTGAATCCAAACACGTGTCGCTGCCGCGTTTGTCGTCTATTTATTTCATCGATAAATAGGGCAAAGCCCCCGGCGGATCGCGCAAGAATACAGTTTTGTAACGTAAATACGCCAGAGAAATCGAATTGAACACAAACTTTACATTCTTTGGGCACAAAGTTTAGTGGGTGCATTTCTTACACCTTTTATTTCAGGTCATGAACCGACCAGATAAATACGATCAGTCTGTCCGGAAAATAATGAACACTCTGTCGCATCGAAAATCGTATCGCCGTCGAGAAAATGAATTGTATCGCGGAGAAAATGAAGTTGCTTTTCGCAACTTCATTTCGCTTCAGCGGCGCGACCGGCGCAGCGACATTGTGCTCATTATTTTCCCGGCAGGCTGAAGTTATAGGTGGGTCAAAAAGTCTTCAAAAAGGGAACATGTTCTTTTACTGTGCGGTCGGGGGCATGCGCCTTTGAGCGACAAGGAATCGAAATGTTGCGAATAAAAACGCCTCGTAGAGTTCGATTTCTCGGCGTAAGCGTTGAATGTGGAGAACGTTCATCTTGGACCGTGCGTGAATTTCTTGGCGTATTTACAGAGCGCATCTTCCCTGGCCGCCGTTTGTTTCACAAGTTAATAGTTGACGCATCTGTCGGGAAAATAATGAGCACAATGTCGCAGCGTCAATCGCGCCGCTGAAGTGAAAAGCAATTTGATTTCGCCGCGACACAACAGAGTGCTCATTATTTTCCCGACAGACTGATATAACATCTGCGACAATGCCAGCGCAGGCATGTCAAACGTTTTCAACCCAACAAGTAACAATCCCTGAAAGTTTTACTTCTCGTTTTTTCGGCAGAATCAAAAATATTGAACGGTCTTTGCTTTGAGAGATCACTGGGAATAAGGAGAACCAACAGACGAGAACGGTTTTTGCCTATAAAAACTTCCCCTTTTTACCCGAATTTTCGTCACCTTCGTACCTAATTTCTGATTACTGTAACCAATCAATCTTTCGATGGGGTTCTTTCGTCATTTTTATCGATCCAAACTATTTTTACATCCCGTTAGAAAACTGATAATCGTTTTCTTGCGGGTATATACAAAATAGCAAAATTAATCAATTTTGATATTTTAAGGCTTGTCAGATTTTGAGATGAGATGCCAGGATTTACTTTAGCTCAAAACAAAGCTTTATATTTGGTAAAAACTAGGTCAAAAAGGGGCATTTTTGCGTGGGTTGCGAGAAAAGTTCTGAGGATTTTTTCGCCGTTACAAACCAAAATTGGTCAGCTAATTTTTACATATTCTGAATCATGAAAACTTTGCGATTTTTTGACACATATGTCGCTCTGTAACTTCATACTCCATATAAGTATTTATCTTTCCTTGACAAAAAACGAATCCTTTAACTATAATATTATACTACAAAAAATAAGCTCATTTTGATATGTAAATCACGAATTGAGTTGTGATCACGCCAAAATTTAGTGCAAAATTTAATAACAACCCGGAATGTCGCGCGTGAGAAACTTTCCATGCAAACAGAAGTTCTAAAAATGGCTCCTTGATTACTGCACATGGAGAATAAAACAGTGTTCGTTAGACTTTAGAATATTCTTTAGTTGGAAGATTTTTGATCCCGCGACTTTTTTCTCTTACAACCGTTGTAAAATTGAATCGTTGTAACAAATAAAAAAAGGGCAAAAAGCAAATCGATCAATTATTTTTCGACAAATGAAGCAATAAATCTGGCGCACCACCTTTTTTGCACGTTCCGTGACAATAGAAATCCCCCCACTGTTTTGCACTCCGCAAAAAATGAGTTAATGATTTTCCAGCTTTCCCGCAACAACGATCCGCTTCGCAAACCCGTCGAGACTACAGCCGTTCTTCGGCGCGGCAATTTATAGCTTGTGCTGATTTGCTTCGAATCTCAAGAAGTTTGGGAAGACAGAAATAGATAAACATCTCCGAGATTTCTTCCTTTTTTGACAGTGACGTTGCAAAGAATGCGTAGAGTTGGAGGCAGGTCGATTTTTTGCGGCCCGGCCGGTGCCGAGCAGGTCGGGCACCTCTAACGACTTTTTATGGCTTTCCCAGCGCAGAAAAACCCGATCCGCGCTTGCCAATCCAGGCAGTGTATTTCGGTATGATGACAATTGATTAAAGTCAGCAGTAAGACCCAGAGCAGCACTATGGCCAACAATCACGAATTCAAACACATATGGGGCCCGGTAACACTCTTGGACCCAGTGGAACCTCAAGAAAAAACCACACGCACACCCGCAAATGCTACCACCACGTAAAAACTTATTGGCATTCTGCAGCAACTAGAGGGCTACGATGACATCCAGTAAGAAGGCCAGAGGGAGAAATTCAGGAATATAGTATTTTTGTCAGAGGTTGGAGAAAGTTAGAAGGAGGACAGAGGAAGGACGCATGAGCCCGAGTATTATCCGTTTTCTACAGTTTGGTCTTGGTTTTCTTTTCAACTTATTTACTATAGCTTGGATTTTTCCCAATTGCATCGCTTGTTTGGATAAATCTATCATTTGTACGGCGAGTCTTTCCTAGGAGATCCTCGTGATCCACCCCCTCACAAACTCTGAATGGTTCTAATCATCAAAGGACAAAAACTTTCCAGCATATTTCTGTAGACACATTTTACATCCCGTTTGTTTCTACAAACTGTTATTCGCATACGCCTTTACTAACGTAATGCCTTTATTTTTCCAACTGATCGCCTTTCATACACAAAGAAAAAACTCAAAGTGTCGTTTTCCTCTTATTATATGTCTCTTCATTTCTTGAAGGCTCATACTCCGTGGTTGGTTCCAGGGTCACTGGCGGAGACGGGAACGAGTTCTTTCTCCCTCTTGGCGGGCATTTACAGTAGTTGGCGTCGTCTCCCGGCTCTCCCATTCCTCCGCTCCCTCCAGAAATGCCTGGATATCCCGAATTTCCATCTGGGCCCGGCTCTCCGGGAGGGCCTTGAGGTCCCTAAAAAAGTGATTGTTGCATCTTATTTTATACATAATATCAGTCTGTGGGGAAAATAGTGAGCATTCTGTCAAAGGTAAAATCGCATAGCCACCGAGAAAATGAACTGTGTTGCGGAGAAAATCAAGTTTTTTTTGCTTTAGAGACGTGGCTGGTGCAGCGACATTGTGGTCATTATTTTCCCGACAGACTGATACTTTCAAAAATGTGTCGCATTCGGAAAAACAATGACTTGTGCAAAAAATGGGCGTCGCGGGCGACATTAGTGCAAAAAAATCCAACTGCTCTGTGCAAAATGACGTTTTGGGTCAAAATTCACTGTGTAAACCACTTTTTTTGCGATTTTCGCAGAGACCCGCTAAAAACACATTGTGAAAATCATTTCTCATGATCTTTTACTCCAAGCAGTGTTGATCTAGACATAAAAATTCAACCTTTGCTTACCTGAACGCCATTAACTCCGGGATGCCCCGAGATCCCCGGGTATCCCGGCGGTCCGGGCGCTCCTCGACTTCCCGGCGTGCCCTTGGCCCCCGGCAACCCACGAACGCCCTCTTGTCCGGGCGGGCCCGGCTCTCCGTCCGTTCCCGGCGTGCCGGGGAATCCATTCTCCCCGGGGCTTCCCACAGCCCCATTTCTTCCGGGCTGCCCGACAGGACCGCTCCGTCCGGCTTGCCCTTGTTCGCCCGGCTCGCCAGGCGGACCCACATAGCCGGGGATGCCTGGAGGGCCTGGTGGACAGACTCGGCATGACTCTTCGAAGGTGCGGGGCTCTGACGGCAAAGCTGCGTCGCCTGGGGGACCGCGAACTCCGGTCTCGCCGTGCTCTCCGTTGTCGCCGGGTGGACCAGAAGGGCCGGGAGGACCTTCAGGGCAGTTGTTCTCGGATTTGAAACAGTCTGAAGTTTAGAGCATATAAAGGTGTTTTTGTTGCAAATTGGATTGCAAAAAGCGCTATTTCAAAAAAAGTATCAGTATGTCGGGAAAATTATGAGCAAAATTTCGCTCGTAGAGAAATTTGATTTTCTCCGTGGTACAAGTCATCGCCGATGCGGTTTTTAACGCGGCAGAATGCTCATTATTTTCCCGACAGACTGATAGTAAACATCATATATTTTCAACGGTTCTCATGGCGCTTTTGGAGTTGTATAAAGCTGTACTCCAACTTACGACATTGGTCCCTGGATTGCCGTTTTCTCCTTTGCTGCACAATTGACGGAGAACTTCCCCGAAGCTCCCTTGCATTCTCCCAGACGAGCCTCTGAAATTTTTAATTTTGAACTTGAAAGAATCTTTTCTACGTCAACTCTTTCGCTGTACAAAGTACAGCAAGTATAATCCTTCACAGAGGATTTTAGACGACCAACTTTGCATTAGACGGAACCTATGTCGCGAAATAATAGGATATTGCCGCTTTTGAAAAAAAATAGATTTTAGGTGTGTACTGCTGGCTACAATAAAGTACTGAGAATTTTCTGCAACCCTGCATTGTGCATTTTATACGGTAATTGCACCGTTCTTCAAAACACCCATTTTGCACCGTACGTCCGGTCTAAACATCAGTTAGCACAGTGCAATTTCAGTTTTTGCACTTCGAAAAATAGCTTCGACTATGGAAGCACTTTCCTTCTTGTCAATTTGTCAAGAAATGCCTGGAATTGCATACTACATAGTATACCAAAATTTACAGTAGCAATTTCAATTACCTCCTCAACCTGAAATTTCTCCATCTCCATCCTGCTCAAACTCCGAATCTCTTCAACTTGGCTCAGAAAATACGGCAAGTACATCATAATATAGGCGACTGAGGTTACCGCCAAACAAATCGATATCATCCCGGCGGATCTCGCCGTCTCTTGCGCTGACATTTTGTGAATGAAAATACAGAAGCGATTTACCAAAGTAGCCGGTATATAAGTCGAGAGATTCGTCAAGGATACAAACCAAGGTTTGTTTTTGCGTTCGAGACCGGTTTCGGCGATTAGAAAGTGTTGTTGATCCGTTCGGAAAAAAGGGAAATGCTTATAAACACGGTTGGCGATGCTGATTAGGGAATGTATGTGTCTCGGTTTAATAAGGAAAGTACTTTTATTAGCACCAAGCGAGATCACTTCAGAAAATCAAGCAAAATATCATTCTCAAAAATTTTCGATGATTTTTATTCGGCAGTAGCTTCGTATTCAACGGCTTCTTCATCAGCACTGGCCTCCTGATACTGTTGGTATTCGCTGCAGAGGTCGTTGAGGTTGGACTCGGCTTCCGTGAATTCCATTTCGTCCATTCCTTCGCCGGTGTACCAGTGAAGGAAGGCCTTGCGACGGAACATCGCTGAAACGGAATTTTTTATAGATGAAAGGCATAAGCCTTATATCAGTCTGTCGGGAAAATAACGTGCATTCTGTGGCACCTAAAATTTGGCATACTTCTTCTATTAGTTAAACACATATTTTTCAGTCCTTTTCCCTACCCGTAAACTGATCGGAAATGCGCTTGAAAAGCTCTTGAATGCATGTCGAGTTGCCGATGAAGGTGGCACTCATCTTCAGACCGCGCGGCGGGATGTCGCAAACCGCCGTTTTGACGTTGTTCGGGATCCAGTCCACGAAATAGGCGGAGTTCTTGTTTTGCACGTTCAGCATTTGCTCATCCACTTCCTGAAACAGCAAAGTATAAGTCGTTCTCAACGTTCAAAGCAGCTTGAATCCCCTGGCCGTATAGCTGAGATTTTACCTTCATGCTCATCCGTCCTCTGAAGATAGCGGCCGCCGTCAAATATCGGCCATGACGCGGGTCGCACGCCGCCATCATATTCTTGGCGTCGAACATTTGTTGAGTCAGCTCGGCGACGGTCACGGCACGGTAGCCTTGGTTGCCTGAAAATTGCATTTGGCAGTACTACCAGCCGATTTTTTCACGGCGCACAGGTCAATGTCTTTGTTTTGCCATTTTGCTATTGTAGCCCGTTTGTTAATCCGCTAGAGCTATTTTTGACGTATTGCAACGCAAAAAAGAGCAGGAGGCATGCCCAAAAAGCCCACATATTTCACTTGTTGTTGCATAGTGGGTCCGATTCCACCTGCGATCAGACCGAAACCCCAAAACACGTTGATCCAAAATAGAAGAAAAAACTTCCCGCGCCTTTTTGGAGATTCGTTCAAAACGAAATGTCACTCTCCGATAAAAAGCATTTTCTTATCTTTCTTCTTCCTTTCGTGAAAAAGCAATTTATTTCGGGCGAAAAAAAAGCGCCGATATAATAATTTCGCGACATTTCGTCTATCAATGAAAACGACACGAAGTTTCGAAACGGTTCAGGAAATGCGCAGGATTGACGTGCAAAACAGTTATACTGTCACGATTCCGTGAATAATTCCCAAAAAATTAGCATAAACCGACGAATATTTTGATATAAATGTAATGGACCGGCCGCTTTTCGGTCACTCGTTTGGGTAAAATAAACCAATCAATGTGATTTGTTGGAAGTTCCTTTTGATACAGTCCGGTGGTGTCCATACAAAGTGGAATCGAGTTGTCGCGAATAGGCATGGCTCCGGGCTTCGATTTTTAGGCCCGGCCCGGGCCGGCCCGGTTTTTTTGAAATCTGAGTTTTGCCCGGAAAAAAGGAAAAAAGAAGCTTTTTCGACAGAATTTTTCATTTTTTCGAACACACTGCTGATAGCGCACGTAAAGTGACCTTATGTACCTAGGTTTTGCTAAATTTTTTGCGAAAAACACACTACACACCACACACACACATTTTGCGGAAATTTGCCTTTCATTTCCCGCTTTCTTCCTTTCCAACCTAGTATAAAAATTTTCCGGGCCGAACCGGGCCGGGCTTGGAGGTTTAAACCCGGGCCTGCAAACCGGGCCGGGCTGGCCCGGTTTGTAACAATGCTTAGTCGCGAATCTATTGGCAGTGCCGCAGTTTTTCAGCTAGAATTCTCTAGTTGTGGCTCGTCGGTTATTAGGGAGAGTCAATTATTAGTCTAGCAGGCAAACCAGGGGCTCATATACCTCGACTTATAGCGAAGTCTTGAGAGATTTGGCTGGTGGTCTTGAGGTGGTGCCCGCTTCAACAACTTCCGTGGAATCTGACACACGAAACCCCGCGCAAATTACTCCAGAGACTTTGCGAACGGGCTAGTATGCAAGCTTTCAACCCGGATTAAACTTACTCTTGGACGTTAACGGAGCAAATCCTGGCATGAAGAAGTGGAGCCGCGGGAAGGGCACCATGTTCACGGCGAGTTTTCTCAGGTCGGCGTTCAGCTGAAAATTTGGGGTTATGCTTATGGCCGACATATCTGTCATTGATCCTTTTTTGTCGCAATTTTTTCGCACTGCAATCGAAAATCGCCGCTCGGAAGCCTTTTGCAACCGCGTCGCCCTCGAATTTTGCCCGCGTCATGCTCCCTCACCTGTCCGGGGAACCTCAGACAAGTTGTGACCCCACTCATTGTCGCGCTGACCAGATGATTCAAATCTCCGTAGGTTGGCGTGGACAGCTTCAACGTTCGGAAACAAATATCGTAGAGGGCTTCGTTGTCGATGCAAAACGTCTCATCCGTATTTTCGACGAGTTGATGGACGCTTAAAGTTGCGTTATACGGCTCAACGACCGTGTCCGACACTTTCGGGGACGGGACGACGGAATAGGTGTTCATGATTCGATCGGGGAATTCTTCGCGTATTTTAGAAATGAGGAGCGTGCCCATTCCGGAGCCAGTGCCTCCGCCGAGCGAATGGGTCAGTTGGAAGCCCTGCAAGTTTAATTTTTTGAGTTTTTGCGGCAGTAAATACTGTAATTTTTGTTAGAATAAACCGACGTTAAGTCAGTGATTTTTTTGCAACGTATTTTACCATAAAAAAATTGTGATATCAAAAAAAATTTTTTTTTGTCATCAAAAATTTCAAGTTGGCAAGGGAGGTATTTTGCCACATTTTTGATACTTCCTGGCTTCATAATGGTACGTTTTTGGCCACTGGATCAGGTCCACTGTACAGTTTTCCATACCTGCAAACAATCGCAATGTTCGGCTTCTTTTCGGACCACATCCATAACACTGTCTACCAATTCGGCTCCTTCAGTATAATGGCCTTTGGCCCAGTTGTTGCCAGCTCCACTTTGACCTGAAATGGAGATTGTAAAATACGTTTATTTATTGCAATTTTTTTGTAAATTAGTTCGATTTTTCTAAAATTATTCAAATTTTTTTAAATTATGCAAGTTTTTTCGATTATTTTTCAAATTTTGAAAAAATATGCTTATTTTTAAAAACACTAAAAGAATTTTTTGGGGCCGATTCATTTTCAAAAATCGCCTAAATTTGCAGAAAAAATTAAATATTCAAATTTACTAAATTATGCAAAAATTTTTCATAATGCAAATCTTTGAAATTTTTGGGATTTTATGCAAATTTTTTTTTCATTTTTTTAAAAGTCATGCAAAGAAATTTTATTATGCAAATTTTTGAAATTTTTGAATTTTCAAAAAATATGCAAATTTTTGAAATTTTTGGAATTTTCAAAAAATATGCAAATTTTCGAAAAATATATTTTTTTGACTGATTCACTTTCAAACATCTGTTAAAATTAAAAAATATCTAAATTTTTCAAATTATGCAAATTTTTCCCATACCAAACACAAAATTGTCCGGCCGGAACAACGCTCCATACGGCCCAGACCTCACGGAGTCCATTGTTCCCGGCTCCAGGTCGACCAACACCGCCCGAGGCACATACTTCTTCTCGGACGCCTCGTTATAATAAACTCCAATTCTCTCAAGTTGAAGGTCCGAATCTCCTTCGTAGACACCTTCAGGATTGATCCCATGCTCGTCGGAGATCACCTCCCAGAACTGAAAAAAAAAGGATTTTTTGAAAGGTAAAGCACGAACAATTCCCTGAGTCTTTTAATTTAAAAATGATTTATTAAATATGAATTTAGAAAATCGTAAAAATTTAGAAAAAAAAAAATTTAATGGAGAATATCGAAAAAATTGTAAAAATTTTTTTTTTATATTTTTTTTTTAAAAAAGTAAAGAAATATTTCAAAAAATCTTTTTTTTGTAATGTAAAATACGGAAAGTCAACATTAATTTATTCTAATGATTTATTGAAAACTTAGAATTTTGAAATTAGTACTAAAAAAATTGAAAAAAAAATGTAAGGAATACGGGAAATAATTGCAAAAATCGCAAAATATTTCTTTTTATAACATTATTTTTAAAAAAATCAAAGAGATCAATACGCAAAAAAACTTTTTTTGGTCTTTTGCTCAAATTAAAACAAAAATAACGTAGAAAATTGTAACAGAGAATTTTTTTTAACTAAAAACTCAAAAATCTTTTTTCCGGTATGAAAAGTAATTATTTTTTCAATAACAAAATATAAATTTTTTATTATTTTTTATTCAATTTTTTGAAAAAAGAAACATTAAAAAAATGTAAAATACGCGGTTTTGTATACAGTGCGCGACAAAATTATAACCGCACTTTAGGAATTGCTGTAACTTTTTTGGTTGTCAATAGAAATGTGCCATATTTGGCTCCAATATGCACTAGTGTCTCACGAATCATGTGCCAAAAAATTATTTCGGGAAATTTCCCCAATTTGAAAAAAAATTGAAAAAACCAAAATTTTGATGATTTTCTATGCGACAAAATTATAACCGCACTTACGAATTTGGTGAATTAGCCTAATTAAATCAATGAATAACAATAACTAATGTTTAGTTACGTTGCCTAAGGCTTCAATAACGTCGATTGAATAGCCGGGAATATTCTGGGCAAAGTTTTTTAGCCTCTTCTGGCCAATATTGTGCCAGAATCGGAAAAGTGCCTATTTTAGCTCAGTTACTGTAGCATAATGCTTGTTATCGCGGTGTAGTTAACAAACCAGGAAGCCCCACATGTACTCTGTCGGATTTGAATCCAAGGAACGCATGGGCTCGTCCGGGATAGCAATTCCTTGTCGTTTAAGAAACAGCTTTGTCGACCAGCTAAGGTATACGCGAGCCCTGCCCTGCATTTACGTGTAGTCTGGTTGCCAATACGTTACCCGATGCTTGCCTCAGACTCCCTAGTACTCAAGGATACTTATTTGAGTTGATGTGGCCTCCAACGGAAGCACTTCGGTTCTTCGAATGCGCCGAAAGATTATCAGCAAGCCACCTAAAACGTTACGGCGCGGGAAATAATGCGTTTCTCTTCTGATTTCACGTCTGTAATGTGGGTCATGTGTGAAGCGGTCAGGTACATCATTTGGCCATAAAATCTTCAAGTATTTCGGCACTGTAATGATGTTAAACTAACCTTTAACTATTCAACCTATTTTGCCAATGTCACCTTGGCAAATCTCGGCCGCGCTCTGCCGTGGACCCGGCCAGCTGAGGCCACAACTTCATACGACGCCCAGTGATGACGTAGCTGTGTCTTACAACCTCCAGCATAGCTTTACTGCTACAATTGAGGCCTATTTCTTAGCTTATATGAGAACAAGGGATATTGGAGTTGGAAACTCGGCGGATATATCAGCCCTTGCTCTGCTGCAGTGGCGCACCTTTTTCCCAGAACGTTTAGATGTGTTATAGGATTCTGGGTTACTCAGTTAGTTGCTGGCAAACTCTGTCCGAATGGCCTACCTGAGCTAAAATAGGCACTTTTCCGATTCTGGCACAATATTGGCCAGAAGAGGCTAAAAAAACTTTGCCCAGAATATTCCCGGCTATTCGATCGACGTTATTGAAGCCTCAGGCAACGTAACCAAACATTAGTTATTGTTATTCGTTGATTTAATTAGGCTAATTCACCAAATTCGTAAGTGCGGTTATAATTTTGTCGCATAGAAAATCATCAAAATTTTGGTTTTTTCAATTTTTTTTTCCAAATTGGGGAAATTTCCCGGAATAATTTTTTGGCACATGAATCGTGAGACACTAGTGCATATTGGAGCAAAATATGACACATTTCTATTGACAAACAAAAAAGTTACAGCAATTTCTAAAGTGCGGTTATAATTTTGTCGCGCACTGTAGTTTGACTAAAAAATATTTTTCTAAAATTTTTTTATTATTTTGAATCTCAAAAAATCCCATTTTTTGAAATTGAAATAAAATTATTTTTTTCGAAAAAAAAAAATTTTCCACTATCCCTTACCTTGCTTCCAATTTGATTGCCACATTGGCCGGCCTGAATATGGACAATTTCCCTCATTCCAAAGACCAAAATGAGAATGGAAGTGCGTCCAAAAAGGAGAGGATCGAAGAATGCCCATTCCCGAGAAAGGCTTCGGAGAAAAACGTAATGAAGCCGGGGCCGGTTTTCGAATGCATTCCCAATGCGGTTTATGGAATTGCGACCATATCCACGGGGCTCATAAAAATTTGCATGGAATTTGGAGATGGGGCAACGAAAAAGGAAGGCATCTGGAAATTAAGCGAGCAAAGATGGGAAAATGAAGAAAAATTTTTAAGGCTAAATTACTCGAGAATTGACGCTTAGATTTTGAGGAAACTTGGGACAAACTTATTATATAAAACACTATTTGCTGAGATTTCTCAAAAAGAAGGCCCTCAGGAGGGCACTATATAAAAAATTGATGTTGGTCCCCCATACTACAGTGACGGACCAGATCCAGTGGCAAAAAACGTACCATTTTTCATCCGGGAGGCATCAAAAATGTGGCCAAATGCTTCCCTCTCCAAGTGAAAGAACTTCCTTTTCTTTCCCTTACAAAAGAGCGGGGCACGTCAAACTGAGATAAGCTAAAACAGTCCGGTGAATGGATTGGCCATTTGCCAATTTTCTTAAGAAAAGACGCTAAAAACCGCTTTGTCGGGGAAGAAATGGGGAGTTTTTGGGGCGAGAGAGTACGTTTTTGCGTGCATTTGTTCTCTCTTTCTCTGCGAAATCATGACGAAGTGTAAAAAACCGATAGCGAAGAGTCTATTCCGGTCACCGGACTTCTCAGTTTGACGTGCGAGGGCCCTTTTGAAATCGGAATTTTTCACTTGGAGAGGGAAGCATTTTGCCACATTTTTGACACTTCTCGGATACTTTATTGCTACAAGATCAGGTTTCCCACTGTACGCCCCTGCTGTCGTCATCAAACCACGTCAAATCTATTGGATACACCTACAAAGAGCGAACAAACATTTTCAGTGATTTGTATATGATCTCAAGGGCTTGTGTGCGAGAGTTAAAGACTCTGGCTGAGAGCAATGCTCATGTATCAGTTTGTTGGGAAAATAATGTGGATTTGTCGCGTCTTGAAATAGGCTATTTGCGAATTCTCGGCTACGCCTGCAAAGTGATAACAAAAATTTTCTGGAATTGAGGCCAAATTTTTTAAGGCCAAATTTTAAAATGGTAATCTTGAACGGTTACCGTTTTAATTTACCCTCTGTTCTTTTGCCCTCTGAACAAGTATGTTTTTCGTCCGCGTTTCTCACTCTGTTTCCCTCTGTTTTAAGCGGCTTTGGAGTTAACTGGCTTTGCTTGTTACACATTTTCTCTCGTTTCCCCACAATTCATTAATTCGCTTTGCAAAACCAAGGTATTTATAAACCTCAACCCGTGAAAAGATTGGTCCTCGATAGCTCTTTCAGCCTCACTTTCAAGTAAATGTTTCACTCCCCTTCTCTCCGTACAAGAAGTGTTTCTAGTTTGTGCCGCCCTCTAATTGTCATCGCGGCCACATAAAGCACAAATATCGCGCCCAGTTTTATAGTGCTGCGTGTTACTTTATAAAGACTTTTCGAGCCTCTATTTCACTCAGAGTTTTGTTGGGAGTGTTTGTTTCGGTATGTCTACGATCACACTGCAAAATGGAATTGAGATGCCGATTGTGGGGCTGGGAACTTGGCAGGTAAGTGGAGGGGATAACAAATTGGGAGCGTAGCCAAGTGCTTATTAACCGCCCTTCCCCAAAATTCTCCAGCAACGCCACTGCAACAATTTCAAGTTCTTTTTTTTGTCCAATTGTTTCATTATGTACTGGAAAGAGAGCCCATGTGTGTATCCTAGTCGCACCAAAATCTCCCACCTCGCCGCAATCAAATCTCTAGCTGCGGCCGCGATCGCAAAGCGGATGGGCGATTTCAAGTCGCGACTTCCCGATGTTATTTTCCCGGCAGACTGATACTCCATTGACAAGGACACTCACACGTTTAGCCTACTTTGTATCGATTAAAATCGACTAGTTTGCGATTTGCAGAAGCGGCCTAAATTTTTAGACAAAAATCCTCGGCAAAAATTTGATACTCTTTTGCGAATTTTGGCATCAAACGTTTTAGACCTACTTCTACCGCAAAGTGTAATTTTCCCACAAAAAATCTACTTTCTCCACCAGAAACCAGCATAAATATGGCCAAAAAGTGTTTTCTTTGCGACTGCTCTCCGCATTCCGCGCACTCTCTCGACCGCAAAGTGAATCTCTTGATTGTCCAGAAAAAGTGCAAATTAAAATTTACTGGAATTGAAATTGGCCCAAGCTAGAAGTGTGTGTAATGTTCGCGATCTTTAGGCCAGAGAGCCATGTAACCGTGGGAAAGTCGATTATTTTTGTAAGCGTTTGTCAGCGGATACGATATGAATCGCTCAGTTTTGCGTCCCAGTTTTTTAAAGCTTCAAAAAAACTCCAGTCCTCAACGTATTTTACAAAGTCATGATCCATTTTAGACCATCAACGAAGACGGAATCAAAGCGATTCAGGGGGCTTTGGACGCCGGCTACAGGTTGATCGATACTGCCAGTGCCTACAACAATGAGGAAGAGGTCGGGAAAGCCTTGGAAGAGTATTTTAAAAGCGGAAAGTTGAGCCGGAAAGATGTCTTTATCACTACTAAAGTAAGTAAAACAAAAGATCTATGTAAAATTGTCGTCATTTTAGCTGTGGTGCAATAACAGTCGTCCGGAAGACGTTGAGCCGACCTTGAGGAAGCAGCTGGCCGCCCTTCGTACTGACTACGTCGATCTGTACTTGATTCATCATCCAACGGCGTATAATGTAAGCATACTGGGAGATTTTGGTGCGACTAGGATACACACATGGGCTCTCTTTCCAGTACATAATGAAACAATTGGACAAAAAAAAGAACTTGAAATTGTTGCAGTGGCGTTGCTGGAGAATTTTGGGGAAGGGCGGTTAATAAGCACTTGGCTACGCTCCCAATTTGTTATCCCCTCCACTTACCTGCCAAGTTCCCAGCCCCACAATCGGCATCTCAATTCCATTTTGCAGTGTGATCGTAGACATACCGAAACAAACACTCCCAACAAAACTCTGAGTGAAATAGAGGCTCGAAAAGTCTTTATAAAGTAACACGCAGCACTATAAAACTGGGCGCGATATTTGTGCTTTATGTGGCCGCGATGACAATTAGAGGGCGGCACAAACTAGAAACACTTCTTGTACGGAGAGAAGGGGAGTGAAACATTTACTTGAAAGTGAGGCTGAAAGAGCTATCGAGGACCAATCTTTTCACGGGTTGAGGTTTATAAATACCTTGGTTTTGCAAAGCGAATTAATGAATTGTGGGGAAACGAGAGAAAATGTGTAACAAGCAAAGCCAGTTAACTCCAAAGCCGCTTAAAACAGAGGGAAACAGAGTGAGAAACGCGGACGAAAAACATACTTGTTCAGAGGGCAAAAGAACAGAGGGTAAATTAAAACGGTAACCGTTCAAGATTACCATTTTAAAATTTGGCCTTAAAAAATTTGGCCTCAATTCCAGAAAATTTTTGTTATCACTTTGCAGGCGTAGCCGAGAATTCGCAAATAGCCTATTTCAAGACGCGACAAATCCACATTATTTTCCCAACAAACTGATACATGAGCATTGCTCTCAGCCAGAGTCTTTAACTCTCGCACACAAGCCCTTGAGATCATATACAAATCACTGAAAATGTTTGTTCGCTCTTTGTAGGTGTATCCAATAGATTTGACGTGGTTTGATGACGACAGCAGGGGCGTACAGTGGGAAACCTGATCTTGTAGCAATAAAGTATCCGAGAAGTGTCAAAAATGTGGCAAAATGCTTCCCTCTCCAAGTGAAAAATTCCGATTTCAAAAGGGCCCTCGCACGTCAAACTGAGAAGTCCGGTGACCGGAATAGACTCTTCGCTATCGGTTTTTTACACTTCGTCATGATTTCGCAGAGAAAGAGAGAACAAATGCACGCAAAAACGTACTCTCTCGCCCCAAAAACTCCCCATTTCTTCCCCGACAAAGCGGTTTTTAGCGTCTTTTCTTAAGAAAATTGGCAAATGGCCAATCCATTCACCGGACTGTTTTAGCTTATCTCAGTTTGACGTGCCCCGCTCTTTTGTAAGGGAAAGAAAAGGAAGTTCTTTCACTTGGAGAGGGAAGCATTTGGCCACATTTTTGATGCCTCCCGGATGAAAAATGGTACGTTTTTTGCCACTGGATCTGGTCCGTCACTGTAGTATGGGGGACCAACATCAATTTTTTATATAGTGCCCTCCTGAGGGCCTTCTTTTTGAGAAATCTCAGCAAATAGTGTTTTATATAATAAGTTTGTCCCAAGTTTCCTCAAAATCTAAGCGTCAATTCTCGAGTAATTTAGCCTTAAAAATTTTTCTTCATTTTCCCATCTTTGCTCGCTTAATTTCCAGATGCCTTCCTTTTTCGTTGCCCCATCTCCAAATTCCATGCAAATTTTTATGAGCCCCGTGGATATGGTCGCAATTCCATAAACCGCATTGGGAATGCATTCGAAAACCGGCCCCGGCTTCATTACGTTTTTCTCCGAAGCCTTTCTCGGGAATGGGCATTCTTCGATCCTCTCCTTTTTGGACGCACTTCCATTCTCATTTTGGTCTTTGGAATGAGGGAAATTGTCCATATTCAGGCCGGCCAATGTGGCAATCAAATTGGAAGCAAGGTAAGGGATAGTGGAAAATTTTTTTTTTCGAAAAAAATAATTTTATTTCAATTTCAAAAAATGGGATTTTTTGAGATTCAAAATAATAAAAAAATTTTAGAAAAATATTTTTTAGTCAAACTACAGTGCGCGACAAAATTATAACCGCACTTTAGAAATTGCTGTAACTTTTTTGTTTGTCAATAGAAATGTGTCATATTTTGCTCCAATATGCACTAGTGTCTCACGATTCATGTGCCAAAAAATTATTCCGGGAAATTTCCCCAATTTGGAAAAAAAATTGAAAAAACCAAAATTTTGATGATTTTCTATGCGACAAAATTATAACCGCACTTACGAATTTGGTGAATTAGCCTAATTAAATCAACGAATAACAATAACTAATGTTTGGTTACGTTGCCTGAGGCTTCAATAACGTCGATCGAATAGCCGGGAATATTCTGGGCAAAGTTTTTTTAGCCTCTTCTGGCCAATATTGTGCCAGAATCGGAAAAGTGCCTATTTTAGCTCAGGTAGGCCATTCGGACAGAGTTTGCCAGCAACTAACTGAGTAACCCAGAATCCTATAACACATCTAAACGTTCTGGGAAAAAGGTGCGCCACTGCAGCAGAGCAAGGGCTGATATATCCGCCGAGTTTCCAACTCCAATATCCCTTGTTCTCATATAAGCTAAGAAATAGGCCTCAATTGTAGCAGTAAAGCTATGCTGGAGGTTGTAAGACACAGCTACGTCATCACTGGGCGTCGTATGAAGTTGTGGCCTCAGCTGGCCGGGTCCACGGCAGAGCGCGGCCGAGATTTGCCAAGGTGACATTGGCAAAATAGGTTGAATAGTTAAAGGTTAGTTTAACATCATTACAGTGCCGAAATACTTGAAGATTTTATGGCCAAATGATGTACCTGACCGCTTCACACATGACCCACATTACAGACGTGAAATCAGAAGAGAAACGCATTATTTCCCGCGCCGTAACGTTTTAGGTGGCTTGCTGATAATCTTTCGGCGCATTCGAAGAACCGAAGTGCTTCCGTTGGAGGCCACATCAACTCAAATAAGTATCCTTGAGTACTAGGGAGTCTGAGGCAAGCATCGGGTAACGTATTGGCAACCAGACTACACGTAAATGCAGGGCAGGGCTCGCGTATACCTTAGCTGGTCGACAAAGCTGTTTCTTAAACGACAAGGAATTGCTATCCCGGACGAGCCCATGCGTTCCTTGGATTCAAATCCGACAGAGTACATGTGGGGCTTCCTGGTTTGTTAACTACACCGCGATAACAAGCATTATGCTACAGTAACTGAGCTAAAATAGGCACTTTTCCGATTCTGGCACAATATTGGCCAGAAGAGGCTAAAAAACTTTGCCCAGAATATTCCCGGCTATTCAATCGACGTTATTGAAGCCTTAGGCAACGTAACTAAACATTAGTTATTGTTATTCATTGATTTAATTAGGCTAATTCACCAAATTCGTAAGTGCGGTTATAATTTTGTCGCATAGAAAATCATCAAAATTTTGGTTTTTTCAATTTTTTTTCAAATTGGGGAAATTTCCCGAAATAATTTTTTGGCACATGATTCGTGAGACACTAGTGCATATTGGAGCCAAATATGGCACATTTCTATTGACAACCAAAAAAGTTACAGCAATTCCTAAAGTGCGGTTATAATTTTGTCGCGCACTGTATACAAAACCGCGTATTTTACATTTTTTTAATGTTTCTTTTTTCAAAAAATTGAATAAAAAATAATAAAAAATTTATATTTTGTTATTGAAAAAATAATTACTTTTCATACCGGAAAAAGATTTTTGAGTTTTTAGTTAAAAAAAATTCTCTGTTACAATTTTCTACGTTATTTTTGTTTTAATTTGAGCAAAAGACCAAAAAAAGTTTTTTTGCGTATTGATCTCTTTGATTTTTTTAAAAATAATGTTATAAAAAGAAATATTTTGCGATTTTTGCAATTATTTCCCGTATTCCTTACATTTTTTTTTCAATTTTTTTAGTACTAATTTCAAAATTCTAAGTTTTCAATAAATCATTAGAATAAATTAATGTTGACTTTCCGTATTTTACATTACAAAAAAAAGATTTTTTGAAATATTTCTTTACTTTTTTAAAAAAAAAATATAAAAAAAAAATTTTTACAATTTTTTCGATATTCTCCATTAAATTTTTTTTTTCTAAATTTTTACGATTTTCTAAATTCATATTTAATAAATCATTTTTAAATTAAAAGACTCAGGGAATTGTTCGTGCTTTACCTTTCAAAAAATCCTTTTTTTTTCAGTTCTGGGAGGTGATCTCCGACGAGCATGGGATCAATCCTGAAGGTGTCTACGAAGGAGATTCGGACCTTCAACTTGAGAGAATTGGAGTTTATTATAACGAGGCGTCCGAGAAGAAGTATGTGCCTCGGGCGGTGTTGGTCGACCTGGAGCCGGGAACAATGGACTCCGTGAGGTCTGGGCCGTATGGAGCGTTGTTCCGGCCGGACAATTTTGTGTTTGGTATGGGAAAAATTTGCATAATTTGAAAAATTTAGATATTTTTTAATTTTAACAGATGTTTGAAAGTGAATCAGTCAAAAAAATATATTTTTCGAAAATTTGCATATTTTTTGAAAATTCCAAAAATTTCAAAAATTTGCATATTTTTTGAAAATTCAAAAATTTCAAAAATTTGCATAATAAAATTTCTTTGCATGACTTTTAAAAAAATGAAAAAAAAATTTGCATAAAATCCCAAAAATTTCAAAGATTTGCATTATGAAAAATTTTTGCATAATTTAGTAAATTTGAATATTTAATTTTTTCTGCAAATTTAGGCGATTTTTGAAAATGAATCGGCCCCAAAAAATTCTTTTAGTGTTTTTAAAAATAAGCATATTTTTTCAAAATTTGAAAAATAATCGAAAAAACTTGCATAATTTAAAAAAATTTGAATAATTTTAGAAAAATCGAACTAATTTACAAAAAAATTGCAATAAATAAACGTATTTTACAATCTCCATTTCAGGTCAAAGTGGAGCTGGCAACAACTGGGCCAAAGGCCATTATACTGAAGGAGCCGAATTGGTAGACAGTGTTATGGATGTGGTCCGAAAAGAAGCCGAACATTGCGATTGTTTGCAGGTATGGAAAACTGTACAGTGGACCTGATCCAGTGGCCAAAAACGTACCATTATGAAGCCAGGAAGTATCAAAAATGTGGCAAAATACCTCCCTTGCCAACTTGAAATTTTTGATGACAAAAAAAAATTTTTTTTGATATCACAATTTTTTTATGGTAAAATACGTTGCAAAAAAATCACTGACTTAACGTCGGTTTATTCTAACAAAAATTACAGTATTTACTGCCGCAAAAACTCAAAAAATTAAACTTGCAGGGCTTCCAACTGACCCATTCGCTCGGCGGAGGCACTGGCTCCGGAATGGGCACGCTCCTCATTTCTAAAATACGCGAAGAATTCCCCGATCGAATCATGAACACCTATTCCGTCGTCCCGTCCCCGAAAGTGTCGGACACGGTCGTTGAGCCGTATAACGCAACTTTAAGCGTCCATCAACTCGTCGAAAATACGGATGAGACGTTTTGCATCGACAACGAAGCCCTCTACGATATTTGTTTCCGAACGTTGAAGCTGTCCACGCCAACCTACGGAGATTTGAATCATCTGGTCAGCGCGACAATGAGTGGGGTCACAACTTGTCTGAGGTTCCCCGGACAGGTGAGGGAGCATGACGCGGGCAAAATTCGAGGGCGACGCGGTTGCAAAAGGCTTCCGAGCGGCGATTTTCGATTGCAGTGCGAAAAAATTGCGACAAAAAAGGATCAATGACAGATATGTCGGCCATAAGCATAACCCCAAATTTTCAGCTGAACGCCGACCTGAGAAAACTCGCCGTGAACATGGTGCCCTTCCCGCGGCTCCACTTCTTCATGCCAGGATTTGCTCCGTTAACGTCCAAGAGTAAGTTTAATCCGGGTTGAAAGCTTGCATACTAGCCCGTTCGCAAAGTCTCTGGAGTAATTTGCGCGGGGTTTCGTGTGTCAGATTCCACGGAAGTTGTTGAAGCGGGCACCACCTCAAGACCACCAGCCAAATCTCTCAAGACTTCGCTATAAGTCGAGGTATATGAGCCCCTGGTTTGCCTGCTAGACTAATAATTGACTCTCCCTAATAACCGACGAGCCACAACTAGAGAATTCTAGCTGAAAAACTGCGGCACTGCCAATAGATTCGCGACTAAGCATTGTTACAAACCGGGCCAGCCCGGCCCGGTTTGCAGGCCCGGGTTTAAACCTCCAAGCCCGGCCCGGTTCGGCCCGGAAAATTTTTATACTAGGTTGGAAAGGAAGAAAGCGGGAAATGAAAGGCAAATTTCCGCAAAATGTGTGTGTGTGGTGTGTAGTGTGTTTTTCGCAAAAAATTTAGCAAAACCTAGGTACATAAGGTCACTTTACGTGCGCTATCAGCAGTGTGTTCGAAAAAATGAAAAATTCTGTCGAAAAAGCTTCTTTTTTCCTTTTTTCCGGGCAAAACTCAGATTTCAAAAAACCGGGCCGGCCCGGGCCGGGCCTAAAAATCGAAGCCCGGAGCCATGCCTATTCGCGACAACTCGATTCCACTTTGTATGGACACCACCGGACTGTATCAAAAGGAACTTCCAACAAATCACATTGATTGGTTTATTTTACCCAAACGAGTGACCGAAAAGCGGCCGGTCCATTACATTTATATCAAAATATTCGTCGGTTTATGCTAATTTTTTGGGAATTATTCACGGAATCGTGACAGTATAACTGTTTTGCACGTCAATCCTGCGCATTTCCTGAACCGTTTCGAAACTTCGTGTCGTTTTCATTGATAGACGAAATGTCGCGAAATTATTATATCGGCGCTTTTTTTCGCCCGAAATAAATTGCTTTTTCACGAAAGGAAGAAGAAAGATAAGAAAATGCTTTTTATCGGAGAGTGACATTTCGTTTTGAACGAATCTCCAAAAAGGCGCGGGAAGTTTTTTCTTCTATTTTGGATCAACGTGTTTTGGGGTTTCGGTCTGATCGCAGGTGGAATCGGACCCACTATGCAACAACAAGTGAAATATGTGGGCTTTTTGGGCATGCCTCCTGCTCTTTTTTGCGTTGCAATACGTCAAAAATAGCTCTAGCGGATTAACAAACGGGCTACAATAGCAAAATGGCAAAACAAAGACATTGACCTGTGCGCCGTGAAAAAATCGGCTGGTAGTACTGCCAAATGCAATTTTCAGGCAACCAAGGCTACCGTGCCGTGACCGTCGCCGAGCTGACTCAACAAATGTTCGACGCCAAGAATATGATGGCGGCGTGCGACCCGCGTCATGGCCGATATTTGACGGCGGCCGCTATCTTCAGAGGACGGATGAGCATGAAGGTAAAATCTCAGCTATACGGCCAGGGGATTCAAGCTGCTTTGAACGTTGAGAACGACTTATACTTTGCTGTTTCAGGAAGTGGATGAGCAAATGCTGAACGTGCAAAACAAGAACTCCGCCTATTTCGTGGACTGGATCCCGAACAACGTCAAAACGGCGGTTTGCGACATCCCGCCGCGCGGTCTGAAGATGAGTGCCACCTTCATCGGCAACTCGACATGCATTCAAGAGCTTTTTTTTCTGAATTTTGAAACTTAATTGAACCGTTTTTAAAATACGCCAATTAGCCTTTTTTTTTTTATAAAATAACGAGCAAATGTCGCTGCGCCAATTGCAAAGCGAGAAGCGATTTGATTTTGCCGCGACATAATTCATTTTCTCGATGGCGATGCGCTTCTCGATGCGAAAGGGCGTTGATTATTTTCCAGACAGACTGATATAAGATCACAGGTTTTGGGAGGCTGCAGACAGTCAGAGAAATGAAGTTTCCCTAAACGAAAAGCGACGAACGTTTTGAGGGTTTTCCTTGTGTTCCTTCGGTAACCAACTCTAAATGATAACTGGTCTCATCTAACCGCAATGGAAAAAAATTATCAATTTCAAAAAAGCGTAAACAAAAATTAGTTCCCGAAGAACATGGTTTGACCCGAAAAGTCGTAGCCGGAGTTGGACGATCGCGGAAAAAGACGATCGGAGAAAAGTTGAAAATTTGGCCCTTATGCGTTAATGGTGTTGTTGTGGTGCCTAATACTGCGATTTTCACCTCGTACTATACAGTTTTTTCCAGCACTCCCGAAGAGCTCCACTCCGCCAATCCACTAAATAATTCAGTCGTTCAAGCCTTGGCCAAGAAATATTCAAAATCTCCGGCGCAGATCCTCCTTCGTCAATTGATTCAGCGGAAAATTGCGGTGGTCCCGAAAAGCGCCAATCCACAGAGAATCAAGGAGAACTTTGAGATCTTTGACTTTAGTTTGAAAGATGAAGACATGGCCGAGCTGGCCAAATTGAATCGAAATCAGAGACTTTATCTGCAGCCAATTTTTATTGGTCATCCGGATGACCCATGGAAAAATGAGAGGAAGTAAAAAGACTTTTTTATTAATCGTTTTTAAAATGTATAATTTCGATTGATGGTAAAATTTACTTCAATTAAAAAAATTCAATTTTTTTGTTTTTAAATTTTTTTCAAGTAATAAAATGTTTATTTATCACTCTTAAAATGTAGGTTAACATGATGGTAAAATACGTCACAACTTGAGACTTGGGAATACAACCTTTTTTAAGTATAAAAATTTCGGTTATTTGTCGCCGTCCCTGTCCGCCGGGTCAGTCGCGACTGCAGTCGAAGAGGTTGTGGCTGAAAAAAATCTTTTTTTTTACAGAAAATGAGAAAATAATTCGACGCTCGGATTTTGATGAAACTTGGCACTTTTTGTTTTACTTCCCAAAAGTATTTTTTACTCACCATTCCTCTCACACTCCTCGGTTGGCACGCAAACTCCATGAAACCAGCTGAATCCTTCGAAACAAACACAATCCGGCATGTATCTTGGGATGCAGTCGTCTTTATTATGCCCCTCAATAATATCCTGACAAGTGGGATCGCAGATCGTCGCGTACTCTTGGAATCGGCTGTTCTCGGGGCAGTCGGGGGTTTCGTCCACCTGGGCGGATATCTGGAAACAGAAAATGAGCAAATTTATGACTGATAATTATCGTGACTACAAAGACAGCCTAATAGGGCGTTTGAAATGATCTTCTGCTGGGTTCGGTGCGTTCATTTTTGATTCTGTGTGGCGCAGGCGTATAATATGCAACAGTTAGTTTATGCTTGCCCTTCTAAGGCATGTCACGAGTTATTCAATTACAAGTTTATTGGTAAACCAAGAACTTCTTAAGGAGATGCATATAATATAATGATGCCTAAAAGGGTCAATGAGGAAACAATGATAGGGGAAACAGTAAAATTTAAACTCCCAAAATCCACTCACCCATTTTTTATCCCGGGTATCTACGACCCTTTCGAGTCGGGGCGTATCTATATGATATGTCACGATGCTATTTTATAAAACAAAATTGGGGTTGGACTGGATTCGTAGGGATCACCTCCAAATTTACGAATGTTTTTGGTCGGGATAGTTGCACATGATGCCGAAGGAGAGTTTCAGTTACGAACTGTTGAAACATAAGTTCCTTGAAATTGAAATCTATGTTCTCATTGAAGGGTGGGCTGTTTTCCCAATGTTGAGAACCTCTGTGCAAGTGTGAATACATTTACGTCCGGTACCTGTCTGCATAGGCTTAAGGCTCGTCTCGCTCTTTCCCGGGATCCGTCAGGCAGTAGGAACTTCGGTCTTGCGAGGTTCTGGGTGCAAGTGAAGTTTTCGGGTAGGTTTACGTTTTTTTCAACTTTGGTAGTAATGATTCGAGTCGCTGCTAGGTTACGTCTTCGTTGAATTCAAAAAAAAAAAAAAAAAAAAGATCAGCGGGCTGGTAGTTTCTGTATCGGATACCATAGTTTTGCGTTGGGTACCTCCTGCTGCCTGGCGGTTACGAAGGTCGGGAAGGCTTCTATTTGTTTGGTTACTACGTCTTCTATATTCGTCAAGTTTCAGTTCGTTGCCTCTATCGGTGGCATTGGCTAACTCTGAACTATCATTTATAAATAGTACCGGTTTATTGAACTACGGATTGGATTGATGTCTAGCTCTTCTCATCAAACCTCTGTTCCCCGTCGTCTCCTCGCCGTTTTCTAACAATTGGAGACTTACCGGCCCTCTGGACTTTGGGTCAAGTTTCTGGGCACAGCTCTCGGTGCTAATATCAGGCCAACGCGCTAATGTAGTGGTCAACAGTTGTAATTAGGTGATTGACGTCTAGTAGAGTATCGGCGGTGCTTATATAGATCGTTTGATATCTTATCAAACTTCAAGCGGGGCGGAGAGATAGGCATTTTTGTAGATAGTGATAAGATACGACAGGAAAATGATAAAATCGTTTTTCTCTCTAACCGCTCACCGCATTCCACGCGCTCTCTCGGGCGCAAAAATTGGTAAATATCTCTCTAGCGCGGCAAGATATAAATTTTACTTTGATACGGTTAGGCAGTTTTTTAATTAAAAAAGTATTTCTCATCAAAAAAGTCAGAACATTACTAATTTGCATTATTACTTAAGGCGAACAAGTAATAATTGGAAAAATGAAACAGGTTTTAATCAGCACGGTCGAACCCTTGACCCCTCCAGGTCTCTGTGAGCTTTAAAAATCTTTTTTTTTGCGGACTGTTTTGGCAGACCGTTTTGACCCAACGGTCTAAGCATCCTATTGTAATTTCCGAAAACTGAAATTCCTATCATGTGCAACTTACCGCCAAAACAACGGAGAAAACCACCAGCTCACGAATTTTCGTCATTTCCGCGTCTCAAAACCCTTCAGAAATAAAGTTCAATCTCTTTCATATGATATATAATTTCATGCAATCGGTTAGCCAAAGCAAACTTTGGAATTTCGAGTGTTTACCCAGAAATCTTCGGAAATAGTGAACGGTAGGCAACGGAGGTTAATTTGTTTTTCCAAATCCGTTTGTTTTTTGAGTCATCGCCTCGGGGTTAAGGTATAAATGAAATTCCGAAGATCTCGGGATTTGCATTTGGTCGGTGGTTTGTTGCGGTTGGTATTTGGATTTTTTGAACCAATATCTTCTACAATATGACTCAAACAATCTACACTCTGTTCGTAATGACTAACCCAATCTGTTGAAACTTTATTCTTTCTATTTCGGCGAACTCCTCCGCTCTCCAAATTTCATAAAAAATAACTTTTTCACCTTATTGTTCATATGTTTAATGTTTATTCGCAAGCGTTGTAAACAGACTAAAAGTTACAAAAACGACCCCTGCCCTTTGACGAACACGCAGACGGAAGGGAAACGTATATATACACTTTAAAGTTTTTCAATTTTCAGAACGTCAAAGTTTCACGTTAATTTTTCGGAAGTCAGGAAGTCATGAAGTTCGTTGGTGTTGTTGTGCTGGCTACTGTAAGTTGAAGATACTTGTACTTTATCAGTCTTTATGGAACGAAAATAATGCAGACTTGTCGCTGAAAAATGCCTCGGCTTGCCGCAGCCCCGCATCAAGTCTTCCGCGGCGGCTAGACAGCAACTATGGGCTATTCCAAGACGCTACGAATCCACATTATCTTCCCGACAGACTGATATCAGACTGTCGACAAGATAATGAGAACTCTGTCTCATCGAAAATCAAGTGCACGGTGCAATTGGGGGTTTGCACCGTGCATCATTTTTTTACACTGCGGCCGAATTCGAAGCCGCGAAAAAATCGTGAAGGACCCAAAAGCCTTTTTTACAGCAGCACATATTTTTCCTCTTTCTTATATCAGTCTGTCTGGAAAATAACGTGGATTCGTGGCGCCTTGGAAAAGTTCATCATCGCTTTGCGACGGCCAGCCACGGCTGGAGATTTGGGGCCGACTACGATGACATTTTTACCTGCGACGAATCCACAGTATTTTCCCGACTGTCGAAAGGCCCGACAACCCAGTAACGTGACGAGACGCTCAAGAGTCAAGTGATTTATTCAGTGGAAAGGAGGCCCTTCTATAGGGAAGCCCCACGTGGGAAAGTACAATCAAATTTGAATAAATGTAGATCGTTCCTCGTGGGAAAATGCTCGAAGCTCGGTCGTTCCGCCTCACACCGACAGACCGATATTAAACTGTTTTTTTTAATAGTAAATGCTCGATTTTGCTGTTAAAAAGCATCACAGAGGTCGTTAACAGCGCAAGCAGCTGTTGATGAGGACCCGAAATTCTTTGCTTACCTATGCCTATGTCATCCTTTTTCATACATAATTTTGGGTCAAATTGAAGCTCTTACCAACAATTTTTTCTCCCAAAAAATCGTGACATTTCCAGCTCATCGCCCTGACTTTCGCCGCGCCCGACAAGAAATGCGGCCCAAACAGCGTGTTCAGCAAATGTGCCAGTGCCTGTCCCACCACTTGCACTGAGGTTGTGAACAATGCAACTGACAAGATATGCATTGCAATGTGCAAACCCGACTGCGTCTGCAATGAGGGATACACTCTTCATAATGGAGAGTGTTATGCTACGGCTACTTGTGCCACACTTGTTAAAAAGCAATAAGAAATGTTGGAGATTTGAATAAATTATAATAAATTTCTATGGTTTGAAGTTTCAATTGTCATTTTTTTTTGCTTTTTCTTTTTTTCGAACTTTTCTGTGTTGAATTTTGTAAAAAAATTGGTCAAAAAAAATCTCTGATTTTGACCAAATGTTAGCTTGCACTTTGCAGTCACCATTGAGATTTTGATGTCCAAATCTGGAAAAATCTCGATTTTTTTATTTTCAAAATGAAAAATTTTTTCCCCTGTTGTGTGAGCAGTATTTCTACAAAAAATCATTCTTTTTCCTCACGCAACTGGCGAAGATACAAAAAAAGAGTTTTCTTTCACCGCTCTCCACATTTTGCGACTCTCTCGGCCTCAAAGATTGTTGAATATCTCGGCTTTTTCTGCAAAGCGCGAGTTAAAATTTTCAGGGATTGATATGTAGTCTATACACAAAATATGTGCAGAATTAAAAGAAAATCTGAGGGTCGCAGTTGGCACAATTTCATGCCGTTTCCAATTGGCCTATTATATCAAAAAAGCCCTAAAATATATTAATTACTGACTCTCAAGCTCAGATCTGCCCTTTAATATCACTGCTTTCACTGACAATATGCAATCCAATGAGATCAGAGCTCTCAAAGTCGTAAACACAGCGGAAACTATTAATATCATAGGGCAAAAACCCCTCGATTTTGCCGGAAGACCCATGATTTTTATGTGTTTATTTTTGAAGAATGTGACTCAGGGCGATGTAAAGTTCGTATATAAATAACAGCTGGCCTTTGGCCACTCGAAAACTCAAGGTTTCTTTTTCTCGAATATTATCCTTGTCATCAGCAATGAATCGGCTTTTTGTCATCGTAATTTTGAGTTTTGTAAGTTGAAATCGCTTTTAAAACACATCGGAATTCAATATCGTGTTAATTGAGTGGAATTTCAGCTGGTAGCGTCAACAATGGGCAAGCCAAACTGCCCTGAAAATAGCATCTTCACACCGTGTGGACCCGCTTGTCCCTTGACTTGTGAGGATCTGGTGGAAAAGGTGGATCCGAAAACACGAGGATGCATTCAAGTATGCATTGAGGGTTGTGAATGCAACAAAGGCTTTGCATTGTTTGAAAACAAATGCGTCAAACAAGAGACTTGTTCGCAACTGGGTAAGACCATGTGCAATATCAAAAAAATCCTGTTTCTAGTTCCAATTCAGCGAATTCCTTTCATAAACAGTAATTAGAAGCCTTTTCTGACATTTTGATTAGCCTTTGGCTTCAATTTTTCTAATGGTAACTTCACAATTACAGTAATCCAGATCAAGTGTAATATCAAAAAGATCAAATTTTAAATTCGAATTTGGTGTGATCCTTTTTTAAAAAGCAATTAGATGCCTTTTCTGTCATTTTGATTACCTTTTGGCTTCAATTTTTCTAATGGTAACTTCACAATTACAGTAATCCTGATCTAGTGTAATATCAAAAAAAACCTATTTTTAGTTCGAATTCAGCAAATTCCTTTTAAATACAGCAATTAGAAATCTTCTTTGGTCCTTCAATTTACTTTAATCATCATTTTTTCCTACTGTAACTTCCAAAATCGCAGTAATCCAAAAAAATCTTGCCTAACGTAATATATTTCAGTTAAGAAGAGCGAATAATCAGTTTCCAAGTGTCCAATACAGCATAAATACTACACTATGTACAGTCAATCTACGTATTCTTTCAATTGTATCAATTTTCATCAATAAAACAAGTTTTTTTCGTATGAAAGTTCGCGCAGCCTGCAACTCAGACTTTGGCGAGCTGCGCCCAAAGTTTTGTCCAAGAAAGTGGGAAAATAAAGCAAAATTATTCTCTCTATGGGTACTCGATAACATTCCGCATAATTCTTGTTGTAAATAGTAATGTAAAATAGTATAATCGTCATGATTTTATGAAGTAAGTTGAATTTTGTTTGTTTTTATAATTCTAGGTATCAAAGATGTTATCTATGGAAAAATTGTTGTTCTCTTTGCCCGAAAACGCTTGTAAATCCTACCAATAGAGGGTTTAGACCGTGTAGATCGTATTTCCAAGCAATTTCGGACCAGGGTTCAAATAAAATTGGGGATATGAGATAATTCCGGAGAGCCGCGACCTTAATTACTCGAATATAATAATATTCGTCTCGGATTGGGTCAGAGACCCTATGATTCGGCGGTCAAAGGAGGTCGAAGTGGTCGTCCTTCTCCCTTCTTCTTATACTTGTTGGTTTTTTCGCGCCCCAATGTTTTTGCTGTGCTTTTTCGAATCGCGCATTTCAAGGTCTCCGCTCTCGTCTGCGCTTTTTCGAATCCGAGAAAAGCTGGTTGCTCTTTTCCCGCAGGTACGTCGGCGCTGCTCGCCGCCTATCTCTTATCCGTCCCCGCACTTCCCACAGCGTCGCCGAGGTTTCGTATACAAAAGGTCAGGCTTGAGAACGCGATATTACTCTTGCCCCACACCACCTTGCCTAAATCAAGGTGAGGTTGGTCGAGATCAAGGGGCACGCTTATGTAGGTCAGTGGGTGAACGCCTGGACTGACCCACCAAGACGTGCAACATTCGAAAAACTCGAAATTGATTCTGAATTTGCGTTAATCCCTCGAATTTCAGTTGCCAAGTTTGGATGCGATGTATAGATAGAAATGAATGCGCTCGACGAGCTGATGTGGACCTGGGTGTCGGGCGAGAACCCGGAGGAAAACGCGTTCAAGTGTCGTTGGGCGGATTGTTTCATCTCGTTGAATGACGCGGCCCATCTCGAAGCACATCTGGAGGAACATGTTACACACATCTCAACCAAATGGTTCCATGGAGGTAGGTCAATTTTCTTGTTGTTTTTGAAAATTTAGATGATATGGAACGAAGTTTTGTCCTCATTAGTGCTATTGGAGGTGTTAAGTGCCACAGAGCTGCTTTATTTGGCGAGAAACTTTGATTTTGATTTCGGTGTCTAGTGCAATATCGGTTTTGTCCTTGATAGATATAAAAGGTCGCGTTTTGCATTCCAAAAGTTGCTTGCTGCCATATCGATCACATTTACAAGCGATTGAGCTGAAAAAGTAATATAGTAATGCTTTTCCTTACTCTTGAAAATCAGGTGTCAAGTACAATATAAAGTATATCCAGAAACAATGTTTCAATTTAAAATTTGAATTTGTAGGGTGTATTATAACTACTGAGGAGTTCTTTTTCGCTTCTAAGATTAAAAATATGAAGATGTGACTACTTTTTTATATTGTTTTAGCTATATCCGCGGACTTTTGTCCAAAAATTAGTAAAAATTGCTAGAAATTTAAAACTTTTTAAACTCTAAAGTACCTCAGGGACACAACGCTTTGTTCAGCATTCAATTTACCTCAAATAATTTTTATTTTCAGCCCTAATTGCCTGTGGGATTTACGGTTGCACAGTGCATTTGAATGACCCGGTCGAACTGCAAAGCCATATCCGCCTTCACATCCACCACGCTCTTTGTCAAAAAAACGGTCTCAATTTACTTCGTCAAAGTTCTACTAGCCTAAATCAGTAAGTTTCGTCAACTTTTTTATATTACACTTGACATCAAAAGTAAAAATTTTCTGCTTTAGTTGTTTTTTCCAACCAAATGCAGTCGTTGACCAATGCGAAAGTGCCATCATTTGCCAGTGGCAGCAATGCGGAGTGAGTTTTTGATTTTTTTATTTGAGTTTTGAAATTTAGGTACAATTTCGAAAAGTCTCCGAATTTTTACAACATCTCAAGAATCATGCATTCTGCATGGATCCCGTGCAATATCAAGATGGGAGCTTCTGTTTTGAGTGCAAATGGGAGAATGGTAAGGGGTTTTTTTAGAGGTTCCGGCTGATATTGTACTTGATGGATTTGATGTCGCCAGGGTAAATTTGAAGTGTATTAGATGAAAATTTTGTCCAATTGGGTTTAATTAGGATGTAGGTGATATAAATAATTGTTTTTTGTAACAAAATTGCTGAATTTTTTTAGACTTTTACCTTATATTATACTAGGTACAGTTTGTCTCAAAAGGCTCGCTTTTTGTGAGAAATTCTTGATTTTTCTGTTGTTGCAGTTCATATTAGATCATCTGTAATCTGATTTATTGCAAATGGGTTTGTTTTATTTACAAAAAAAATAATCTTTTTACCTTCACCTTGTCCATTACCCAAAAAAAATTTAGAATTTTAATTTTCAGCGTGTGAGTCCAGATTTCCCGACCGTTTCAACCTCTCTCGCCATGTAATCTCCCATTCGCACTGTCGAACCCTCGCCTGCCCATTTTGTGGCCAACATTTCTCGTCGTCGCAGAAATTAATCGAGCACTCCACCCGTCGAATCTCCGATGAAAACTCGTCAAAATATGTGTGTTATCTGTGTCAAAAAGTCTTCAGCTCCTCAAAATTCCTCCGAGACCACTGCGAACGGCATGTGAAGAAGTTTGCCTGCCCTCACGAGCAGTGTCAATACGTCGCGAACCGGGAATCGGACATGAACAACCACATTGAAGGGGTCCATTGCAAAAATCGACCGTTTCAGTGTGAACAGTGCGGAAAAAGGTGGGAGTTTTGAGTGGAACTGGGACGAAAAATGTCCTACCACATAAGACACTTTGAAACTCAATTTCATCCGTTAAAAACACAAAAATTTTAATGGCATCTCGACCTAGTGCAATATAAAAATTAAACTCAAAACCTAGAATTTTTGCTCTAAGCATCTCGAAACGCCATATAATAGTATAATTAGTGCAAAAACTCCACAAAACCAATCCCAATTTCAACTATTTTCATCATGTACAATATAACTAAACCAAACGCCTCACGGCTGTACTATTTTTTGTAATTTCTAAACTTCAAAGTTGGCCTGAAATTACTTCCATAGCCTCTGACATGCCCCAGATTTTCTATATTACTCAAAACCAGAGTTGGACGATTGTGGAAAGACAATTGGGGGAACCGAAAAGTATTATTTTTCTTCTGATGCAAGTGTGAAATTTTGATAATCGAGTGTGCTCTGATTTTGTAAATGACATTCATTTTATTTTAATAGTTACTTTTTTTCTTAAGTAGTACTGTATACAGTTGTATACAGCTGTAAAGTAGTAATTTTTTGAATTTTTTTCATGAATACTCGATTTGGGGTTTTTCAGTGGTGCTGATTTCGAAAATTTTACTCATTTTTTTCTGGTTTGAAAACAGTAATGCAGCCGACACTGGTGGTTCTGTTTTCAAATCAGAAAAAATGAATAAGTTTTTCGAAATCAGCACCATCGGAAACCCCTAAATCGAGTATTTGTGAAAAAAATCAAAGAATTACTACTTTACAGTACTACTTAAGAAAAAAAGTAACGATCAAAAAGATGAATGTCATTTTCGAAACCAGCACCCTCGATTATCCTAATTTCACTCGTGCATCGAAGAAAAATAATACTTTTCGGTTTCCTCAATCGTCTTTTTCCCCAATCGTCCAACTCTGGTTTTGAGTGATATGGAAGTCTGAGGAATGTTAGAGGCTATGGAAGTCATTTGAGGCCAGTTTGAAGTTTAGAAATTTCAAAAAATCAGGGTTTAGTTATATTGTACATGAGGAAAATAGTTAAAATTGGAATTGATTTTTGGATTTTTGCACTAATTATACTATTATATGGCATTTTGAGGTGTTTAGAGTAAAAATTCTAGGTTTTGAGTTTAATTTTTATATTGTACTAGGTCGAGATGACATTAAAATTTTGTGTTTTTAACGGATGAAACTGAGTTTCAAAGTGTTTTATGTGGTATGTAGGAAATGTTAGATTGTAAAATACGTTGTGTTGACCTTTTATTGTTGAGATTTGGCCGTTTCTGTTACAGCAGTCAAGTATAATATAAAATTTTCGCATTTTTAACCTCAAAAGTTTCAGTTATGTCAAGAAATCGGACCTCTCGAAACACGTGGCCTCCCATTCCGGCCTGATGTACTCCTGTCCCCATTGTAACGTCGAATTCGCGTGGCAGAAACAGCTCAAACATCACCTCCAGACCCACGATCCGGACTACATCAAGTCCCCATATTTGTGCCATATTTGCGGCTCCACCTATCAACGAGGCTCCGCACTCTCGAAACATTTGCGAACCTTCCACAAACTCACCGTTCCACCGGGATTCACGAGGTTCCAGTTCAAGAAGTGCAGCGACAACATGTTTCGACTGGAAACTGAACGAATCCTGGCTGATGAGATCACGTACAGCGCCAGCGATGGCTCACCGATGTGCCAGAACGCCAGGGAATATATGGTTTGAAATATGGAATTTTTGGATATTACACTAGATGTCTGATATTATTTTAGATGAAAATATGGAATTTTTGGATGATTAGTGGGAAAAGAAGTTCTTTAGATGGAAGAATAAGGAATTTGCGAAATTTTGAGAGCAGTTTTCAGATTTTGATAAGTGAAAATTGAGGTTTTTTGAAAGTTTTTACCTAAAATTGATAATTTTTGATGAAAAAGTTCAATTTTGGTGTTTTATTTTACGGAAGAAGTATTAAAACGTCAATTAGACGGTATTTTAGACGTTTTGTACGATTTTCAGATAGTTTGGGGTACTTTTTTATATTACTTTAGGTATCAAGTGTAATATAAAAATTTCTTGTTTTTCTCGCTAAAACTGTTTAGATAGGTGAGAAATTACTTACTTTGAAGAAAAATATTTTTTACCTTTCGAAAATTCCATTTTTCCCATGTTTTTTGACCAAATTCCCATCTACTACAATATAAAATTTTCTTTCATTTCCCCAGAAAAAGTGCCTTTCCCCTCTCACAAAAGCTCCTATGTGTCTTAACGCGCATTTACTTACTCATAAAGCATTAATAACTCCCACGAAATACTTTCAAAATTATCGATGTGATAACACCAAAAGAACGCAGTAATTTTACCTTTTCATGTTGTTGTAATTATGTCTCTTTAATTGAATTGTATAATAACAGATAATAAACGATTAACTGAGAGTGTTGGACGGAAGAATTCGGTTGAATTCCGATTATTTTTGGGATGTTTTAGATTTTTGAACAGCTTTGTCAAATTTTTGCTATTTTTGAATATTTTTTCGATGGAAATGCCTGTGAAAAGGATTGGTATAGCTTTCTGATGTCATTTTATAATTCTGAATTAGTTTTGCAGCCAGCGAATTGAGCTTTTTCACATTTTTTTGGCCAAAATTTATATTGTTTTAGGTGTTTTGGATCAAAATTGATGTAGGTCGTTGTCACTGTGTCCGATTTGGCTGAAATTTTGGTTTTACTTTTTGAATAGCCTAATTGTGGTTTACTCAGAGTTTGAGATTTTTGCTTTTGATATTTTTCGTGATCTGACATTATTTTAGACAACAAAACTCGGGTTTTTATTTCCAGATGCTCAGGCCGAACCTGCTGGCCCGCAGGCTATTTTCGAAGTCCACGATCTCCAGAATCCTCAGTCCCGAATTTAAATTGGAAAAGGAATGGAATGAACGGATCGCACAGCTCGGCGAATTCCAAATGGGCGGCTCCTACGAATGGATCTCAGCGGTTCAAAAAAAGTTTACTGGAGATGGACGAGCAAGGTGAGTGCTTTCTTTGATTTGTTCTTGGATTTTAGATACGATTGGATGAAGGAATTGAGGAAATTTCAAGGTTTTTGGAGATTTCGGATATTGCACTAGACGTCAAGACGAAATTTTGTATTTTTTGGTCAAAAATTGGATTGGAATGATCTAAAACCTGTTTGTATAGAAAGAAGAGAGTAGATGACATGATTTTTAGATGTTCTCTGTAAAAGTTTAGCTATCAGTTCACAGTAATTTTCGAAATTTCCGAAGTTTTGTCGTCAATTTTCAGTGCGATCGATGTGGACGCAGCGGTGTGCATAGCAGATGAGCAAGATCAAGTTGAGGACGTTATGGAGCTGGTTTACAAACTGCGGCACACTAGCAACACCAGTGATACTTTGCCATCCACGTCGTATGGCGTTATCAGATTCTTGTTGAAGTATGATCAGCTCGATGAAGTCTTCAAAATCCTCGATGATCCGGTAAATTTATGGTTTTTTGTGGGTAGCAGGATAGAGTTAAAAAAATGGGATTTTTTGAGAGCTGGAATGAGAAATTTGAGGGATTTCTGCAGCTGTTGTGAGCTGATATTGTTTTTAGATATCAAGTGTAAGATAATGGAGGAAAATATTTTTGAGAACTGTTTTTTGCGAATAAAAAGATGTAATGGATCATAATTTACTGTTTTAGAAGAAAAAAATTGAAATTTGAATTGTTCTTGATTAATTTTTTGACCTGATATTGATTTAGATATCAAGTGTAATATAAATTTTCAGAAACCTCCAACCTTATTTTTTAGTTTACAGTTAGTGAAAGCCCCGTATTTTACCAGTTTCATCGTTAAAATTTATATTTTAGTTTTTGTTTTGGCTTAGTTATGACTTAATGTTGGTTTAGATATCAAGTGTAATATAGCGCTTTGAAATTCTGGCACGTCGTATTTTAACATTGATTTGTATGCTGTTTATCCTATTTTCAGGTGAATTACGGAGTCTTCCCGGACGAACACGCCTTCTGTTTGTTGATCGATCATCTCTTGGAGAAGGATAATATTCCAGGTAAAATTTTGATGAAACTTGGTGAAATGACTAAATATTTTGGTATGTATAGAGTGTAAATAGCCTAAAAATTTATTGTATTGATTTTTTTATGATTTTGAAATTTTTCGCATTTTCAATTTTTGAAAAATTTTCCCTTGGTCCCCCCTTACCATTTTTTTGAAATTTTTAAAAATATTTTTTAATTGATTTATTTTTTTTGTTGAGGCAAAACAGACTTTTTAGCTCTAATAACAAGTTTTGGTAATTTTAGGAGCCGCCAAAGTCGCCACATTCGTAATGCAACAGGAAATGTTCGACAACGAACTTTTGAATCTCGTCTCCGTCTACAGCCTCCTCAGATTCATCGAACTGCCCAAGGATCAAAGAGTTTTTGCCCAAATTGCCAGTGACAAAGAAGCGGCCACCGAGGGAGGAGAGGATATGGACGAAGAGGTAAGAAATTCATATTGTAGTAGATAGCAAAGGAAATTTTGATGACAGAAGTGGTTGATGAGGCTTTTTGGATGATAATTCATTTCGGATAGTAGAATAGGGTGTGGTTCTTTGATCTGGTATCTAAATTCGGCAAAAATTTGAAGGATTTCGCATGAAATTTGGGAAAATTATCTTATTTTAGGTATATTTTTGTAAATTAAGGTGAAATAAGGTTATTTATGGGTTTTATTAGAATCGATTTTGATTGATAATAGTGTAATTAGGTCTACACAGTAATTTTCATTTTGAATTTTTGGGTTTTCAAAAAAATTTTGGCTTAAATCACGGAAAATTACCTTATTTTAGGCATAAATTTGATGTTTTTTGTAAATTTTTGTTTCTTTTAACCCTCAATACTGGTTGAATGAAGTATTTAGCAAATATTTGGACTATTTGGAGTATTAAAATCATAATTTCAGATTACCTTCCGCTTCCCATACCTCCGAAACCACTACAACGACCGCCATTTTGACCTCTCGACGGAAAATGAGCTGGTTGCCAAGTCGTTGGACTGGTTTTCCGCTCATTCTAAGCCAGAATGGAGCTCAAGCATTCAACTTATCGCCGCCATATTGAACAAGGACCTAGCGAAAGTGCAAAAAATTTTGGAGAAAAAAGAAAAATTGGAGGATTCAGCAGTAGTTTTGGCCAAAAAATTGGTCGAAGAATTGGTCGGTACCGCGGAAAATGGAGTGACAGAGGTGAAGGAAGGCGAGGAGAAGGCTGAAAAGCCAGCTGAGAGCGAATGGGAAGGAATAAAGGTAGGAATTTTGCTTTGGAAGAATAATAGGTCATGGATAATATAATTTTTGAAATTTTATATTGCGAATATGGAAGTCTCATGATGTTTATAACACAACGAGACGAATTTTAGAGCTTTTGGATTTTGAAAATTTGAATTCCCGCCTTTTTTGGCATTCTGTTTTAATGGTCGATTTTGCCAGGGATTTTGTTAAAAATTGTATTTAGAGTTTGTGGATGGATTTTTCCACTCGTATTTTACCTTTTACAAGAAGTTTTGGTTCCATAAAAGGTCTAGTTTTTGAGTTATTCACCTTTATATTATACTAGGGGATCTCAAGAAAAATTTCGAATTATTTCCAGGCCCTGCTTCCAAACCCCGAATCCACTAAGCCCTTCTCAGACCTCATCCTATCACATATTAAATCCACGCAAAAAGATTTGGAATCAACCCTGACGTCGCAGCAAAAAACCGATTTCCAAAAATGGGCCGCCCGCCGAAAGGAGTTAATCCACGGCCAGGCGGAGCTCCTCGATCTCCAACTCCAACTCAAGGAAATCGAAAATGAAAGACGTCTGGCGCAGGAGGAGATCCAGCTCCTGCACTTCTTCGACAACCGAGTGTCCTGGGAGGACAAGGCCAAGGAAATGGACCGACTTTTCCACGAATTCAAGCTCGATGCCGAAGACGAAGCCCTCACCGAAGAAGTGTATGGTCGCACGATATTCGACAAGGTCCGAGACGAACGGAAAATGGCCGAACACGCGAAAAAATATTGATTTTAGGATGTTTTCGGATATTTTAGGCAATTTTTGATGTTTTTTGTTAATTTTTGTGTTGTTATTGGCAATAAAGAAGTTTGTTGAAGAAATTATGGATTTTTATTGGTTATACTAGCCACAAGGATTATTTTGACATCTATTTTTTATGGTTTGGCAAAAAAATTTTGTTTTATTATATTAATTTACCTTGTTTTAGACGATTTTTAGCAAAAAATGGCGAATAAGGATGTAAATTACCGCTCAAAGCTATGTGAGTTGCTATGAAATTTGTTATTTTATCATTTAGTGTCCGAAAAAATCTCCGAAAGCATCCATGTGGCCGATCATGACCCTTCAATGGCCCTCTATCGCCTCCAGGAGCACATTCACAAGGCTTCTCCGGCGCTAATTAACGCAAAATACTCGAATTTCCGCGCGAATGCGGCGATTCAGAGCTCATGTTGTGATCTGGATTCGTCCAAAGAGTAAGAACTTGACTTTTTGGTGATTTTTCGACCAAAATTTATATTGTACTAGACATCAATCAAAAATTTTTATTATTTTAATTTTTTAGAACCCTAGAACAAATGAAAGTGGCCTCAGCGACCTTCGATCGGGTCCACGACCTCCTGAAGAACGCCATGTTTTACAAACAACAACTAAATTATGAAAATTCCAGAGCTACGGAAGCCAAAGAGCAATAATTTTTTGGCCGAAATTTGTATTATACTTGTATATCTGTATATAAATATGTCTACTAACAGCTTTTTTCAATGAGAGGGACCAGTTTGAATAGTGGTTGGAGCAAAAATAAATTTGATCAAAAGTTGTCATGGATAATATAATTTTATCCCAATTTTGGCAAAATTTCGTATCTATATGGGCTAAAAAGACCAATAAAAGGGTCCTAATCTTCTAATTTTGCATAGTTGTCATTTTACTGGCATTTAAACAGAATGCCAAAATTGGCGGGAAATTTGAATTTTTGAAATTTTTCTATCCGAAAATGTGGGAAATGGCCTTATTTCGAACCCAGTGCACCCTAATCTTACTGAAAATCTAATTTCTAAACATAATAAACTCATTAGCTGCGTTATTTTCCCGTAAATGTACATGTGAACCTAGTATAATATAAAATAATTGGTTTTTCTGGACTGGAATGCTGTTTTTAATAAAAATCAAGGTAAACAATGAGAAAAAACAGGTAATTTTGGAGTTTTCGATGCATGGGTTTATAAATATTTTAGCATATATGGGCGGGATCATACATGGCAAAAAACGTCTCCAAACCATTCCCTTCTCTAAGCTAAAAAAACTCCGCTTTGAAAAGCCCGCCTTGAAGGAATGGGCGCGCTTTTCAAAACGGAGTTTTTTAGCTTAGAGAAGGGAACGGTTTGGAGACGTTTTGGTCCCTTCCGGGATGCAAAATGGACGTTTTTTGCCACTGGATCCGGTCCGTCCTGTATATGTCCTAGGGCCGGGCCAAGGGAGGTTGGGCCCGGCCCTAGGACACCTCATAATCACAATCATCGACGATTGAGGCTGGAAGAAAATGATTTGTGCTCACTCAGGCCTTTGCATTTTTGTCTCATCATCACCGGGCGAAGGTGATGAAGAGTCAAGGGGCGATGAGTGTTGAGACAATCAAGAAATTCCAGACCAAAATTTAATTTTTCATCCATTCGGCTGATTGGAATGATCATTTTGGGTCTGTTCTTCCTCAAGCCTGACCAAATTTTGACGATGCCTTTCTTCTTCGTTCCGCCACGGGGTGGTCAGTTGGTGGATCTGTTCTTGGAGCGGGGCCGTTACCTGCGCTGAGGCCCTTTTTTGGGACCGCAGGGCTTGGATGTCTCAGTCGTTTCGCTCATTGTTAAGTCAAAAATTAAAAAAAAAAATTTTTTTTTTTTCAAAAAAAAATTTTTTTAATTTTTGGGATTTTTTATCTAAAAATCTCAAAATTTTCAGCAAAGCATAAGCTAAAAATTTTAAATATTTACTCTTTTTTTCTTTAAACATTTTTATTGTTGATCTCCGCACCAAAGGCAAAAATTTCAACCGATATTTTTTGCGATTTTTATCCGTTTTCCCCCACAATTATTGTTTACAACCAAAAATAATGTTCAAAAAAAATTTTTTTTGTATTTTCGCTCTTATACTGTACGACAAATAAACACTCCCATAAACATCAAAATTTTTGTTTCGGATGTTTGTAACTCCAAAAAATGGCATGTCGAAATGGGACGGGGGCCCCGAACATTTGTTTATAACAAGATTTTCGGGTGGAGATAAACATTGATTGCGTCGGTTATTTATAGTCACGTTTTGTGCGGCGCCCGTGGGGCCACGGAAATTTATGGCCAGTTGTTTGGAACAACTGACGGGCCCGCTTTTTTCGGGCCAATTCGGCCGGCGCTTTGTTTGAAAGTCGGCGGATTCGAGGAGCTTCGTTCTTTTGTTTTGTTTCGAGTTTTGCGAAAAGATGATGCCATGGCTCGGTAAAGTAGAATGTCTGAGGTGTGCGAGCTGGTCTGTAGGCTAGCTTACACGGCCAGTAGGGCTTATATACCTCGTAGGACATCTGTTTTTCAACGAATATTGGTTTAGAGGGGTTTCGGAGGAAGACGGTCAACTTTACCGGCAAATTGCTGGAGGCGCAGTTGGTCGATTTTGATGAAATCTTGTGTGTTCGTTCCGCCTGAGCTATAGATCAATCCCTGCAAATTGTAGCTCTCAATTTACAGAGGTACCCGCGATATTCATCTATCTTTGCCAACCAGAAACTACGGGGAATTTGGAGAGACAGTCAGGAGAAAGCCCGATTTTTTCGCGTCTTATGATCCCATTATTAAAATCTTTATCTACTAGTCCCTTCGTAAAGTAGCTGGAGTGATTTCTGCGACATGCACTGTGCAGAAAAAGTCAGGGTTCGAGCGACAGCAACAAATTGCACAGTTCAAAACGAACCTTTCTTTTCGCCCAGTGCATGTCGCCGAAATCACTCCAACGACTTTGCGAACATACTACCCGTCTGTCGGGAAAATAATGAGCACAATGTCGCTGAGTCGATCCCGTCGCTGAACTGAAAATCAATTTGATTTTGTCGCGACACAATTCATTTTCTCGACGGCGATGCGATTTTCAATGCGACAGTGCTCATTATTTCCCGACAGACGGAAAATGAGCGCTCTGTCGCCTCGAAAATCGCATAAATGAATTGTGTCGCAACAAAATCAAATCGCTTTTCACTTCAGCGACACGATTGGCTCAGCGACATTGTGCTCATTATTTTCCCGACAGACTCATAGTACATATTACAGAAACCCCCCATGTCCTTTCGGCACATTTTTTCGAGCACCAAACATCTATGACTAAGCGATCAACATCTTTGTTGTTCGTATTTCATTACTATTCTCTTATTTTTCGCGTTTTTTATTTGAGTGGGCCGTCATTTGGACTTTTAATTTCGGTCATAAGGGTGAGGACGCGATTAGATTTTATCGAAATCAGTTATCAGCAACTTTTCGTTTGTTTACTGCGAAACTTTGCCCGCTGATATGTCCGTTACGAAAGCGCTGATAACATTTTATAGGCTTCAGGGAAAAAAGTAAACAAAAAACTCATTCGAATCTTGGCTGAGTGCGACGGAAGGCATTTGAAAATTTACCTTTCTTATTTACTTTCTTATTAGCTATCGCGGTAAATTGTCGTGGTTAATATTTCAGTTTTAATTTTGAGTTTCAGCCTAAATTAATCATGCAATTCCTCAACCTCTGCTTATTGGTCGTCCTCCTCATCGCTGCTGTCATGCAATGTAAGTTCGACAATATCTAAAACTACTTTCAAAAGTAACGTACTGGCAGACGAGGAACACTTGACCCAAGTATCAGTTTGTCGGGAAAATAGTGAGCACAATGTCGCTGAAGTGAAAATCAATTTGATTTTGCCGCAAGACAACTCATTTTTTCGACGGCGATGCGACAGAGTGCTCATTATTTTCCCGACAAACAGATGTGTCAAGTGTTCCCTTCAAGGCAGAAACCGCGGTTTTAATTGTGGTTATGGTCTTTATACAACAAAAGCGTCCAAAATAAGGCTTTTTAAAATTTTTCCATACCAGTTTTGCCTATATACAAGGGAAATTTTTCAAGATTTTAAACAAAATTTTTCGGCAGAAAAAATTTTTTATATTTTTATTTCAAAAATTCCAAAAAAACTCAAATTTTTGTATTTTTCAACGTGAAATTCTTACAAAGCGCCGGCTAAAAATATGGAAGAAGTCTTAGAAAACGCTTTTTAATTTTTATTTTTTGCCAACTTTCCTGCAAAATCCGAGCGAATTTTTTTTTGAAATAAAAAATTCAAAGTTCAAAAAAAGAATTTCTCATTCCGTATTTTAAACAGCCATAATCGAAAATATTTTCAGTCGCTGACGCCGCCGGCTTCTGTACCGAAGACGCCGAATGCTTCAAGAAGTGCGTCTTGGACGGCTACTTGCTCGGTGGAGAGTGCAAACTCGTCTTCTGCGACTGTCGCGACTAAATTCTTCAATCCCAAATAATACTCCTCTGACTACCTACCGAAATTGTAAAAATTCTCTAGAAAGTTCTAAGTTTCTAATTTTCGCTGACCAATTTTTTAAAGATTTTTTAATGGATTGAAATAAACGTTTTTTCGAGATTTTTTGGAACTTATGGTATTTTTAATCTTCGAAAATTAAACAAAATATTTTATTTCCAAAAAAAATTAATTTCTCTGCTGAGCGCCATTGTTCAAAAATCCAGTCGCCAGCTTGGCAAAGGCACTCAAAACATCAGGCTGAGCACATCGACACCTGAATCCTTGGCATTTTCCGTTCTGATATCCAACATCTTTGCAGTCGGCTTCACACGAATTTCCAATCGGGACACAAGCGCCGAGGGTTCGCTCTAAATTACAGTCAAAACTATTTTGATTGACGTGAAATTGGTGATAAATTAAGATTGGAATCTTGATTTATTTTTTTCACATCAGAAATCGTTTGTAATTTGAAACTTGGCATAAATTGGAATAAGAATGGAATTTTCTAACGAGGAAAGTATACTTCTATGGGGTATGGAGTTACAGGTCGAGTCATATATCAAAAAATTCGCGAAACTTTTCTGATTCAGAATATGCAAAAATTAGCTGCTTAATTTTGGTTTGTAAGGGTGAAAAAATCCTCAGAACTTTTCTCGTAACACCATGAAAATGCGCCTTTTTTACATTGGAACTACTAATTAAGGTGTAGTATAAATTAAATTTGATATTTTAAGACTTGTCAAGATACCAGAGTTTACTTTAACTCAAAAAAAAGGTTTTGAATTGGTAAAAACTTGGTCAAAAAGGCATTTGCGTGGTGTTTCGAGAAAAGTTCCGATGGTTTTTTCACACTTACAAACCAAAATTAGGCAGCTAATTTTTACATATGAATCAGAAAAATTTTGCAAATTTTTTGATATATGACTCGACCTGTAACTGTAACTCCATACCCCATAGAAGCACTTTCCTTGTAAGATCCATCCGATACTTTTTAACTCGCGTTTTGCAGAAACCATGGACATTTTCAGGCCGAAAAGTTCAAAAATTTTGATCTCTTTGCACTTTTCTGAATAAAAAATTACTATCATTTTTGAAAGAATGTCTGAAAAATCAAAATTTTTTGAATTTTTCGGCCTGAAAATCTCTGTGGTTCCTGCAAAACGCAAGTTAAAAATCTCGGATACATCTTAGAAAATACCATTCTTAATTTATGCCAAGTTTCATCAAATTGCAAACGATTTCTCATGTGAAAAAATAAATCAAGATTCCGATCTTAATTTATCACCAATTTCATCAAATCAAAAAAGTTTTGACTCTGAAAAAATCCTGTCATTACAACATTGTCCTTAATTTTTGCTATGCTTCATCAAAACCTGAATATTCTTTAAAAAATTCTCACCCGGCAACAGTCCTTTGACCCATTTTTCGCTACAAACACACTCCGGGAATCGGCACTCGCCCCTCATGTATCCATCTCGATTACAATCCTGTTGACACCCACCGTCGGTGGCACAAAATCCGGCAAAAGTTTGGTCAATAATCAGCAATAAAACGGCGAAAAAAAGTGATTTCATTTCGGCGACAAGTTGGGGAATGGAGATAAAAACGTCGATGAAACGCCAAATCGGATCGATTTCTAATCCGTTCGGCGATTTATATGTTTACGACAGATTAAGGAGAGCGGAAATTTATGAGACCAGTTTGATGCATAGCATAAAAGTAGTAAAAAATTTGGGGGAATTGAGTCATAAAAGTATGAAATAATAAAAATTGAATGAAAAGGGACCATAGAAATGATAATCCTGCATTGGTTAAAAAAATTATCCTCTGTCTGAGGAATAGACACCCAAAACTGGGGGAATTTTTAATCAAACAACTTTAATTCAGCAATTTATTGCCTTTAAATAGAAGCCAGCACCATTTACGACACTAGGATAATCATTACATCTAATGCATTAGATTATAATAGCGATTTTCGATATTATTTTAGGTCCAAGTTGGTATCTGAATCCGAAACCTTATAAATCAATGAATTTAAAAGAATATCTAATAATTCTTGATATAATATAACTGCCATTTCTTCATCTTTGATTCCCTATCAAATTTACCACACAAATCTCAAAGAAATTCTCAAAATTTCCCTCGCAACCGTCAATGGTCATGGATAATATAATTTTACTCATAATTATGTGAAAATCTAATATCCCTCATTAGACCAGGTAATTTCGTACTCTGGATACTTGGTTTTCAGCAATTCCACCGCTTTTTCGTGGTCTGCGCGCCCGAAACCAGTCGAATATCCATAAACTTTCAGGCTCTTTCCATTCGCATCGTGTTTAATCCGCCCGCCGCCGAGACAGTCTGCAACAAGCCCACGAGTTTGATTGGTCTCAACTTTGTCCAGGATGTCAGCATGATATCCGCAATCGCCGTAGCCTCGAACAATATACTTTTCTTGCTTTGATTTCGGGTCCACCAACTAAAAGTCAAGAATAATAACAGAAAACCTCACTTTTATTAGGATGTACTTGAAGGTGCCGCGAGGATCAATGTCCACAGTCGACACTGACTCTAGACTGGTCATTATGGAGGTGAGAAATCGACGGAATACTAAAGATGCCAGAGTCTGCAAGAAGATTTTGATTTGATGTCAAGTACATTATAAAACCACATAGAAAACAATCAGAAATTACCATAAAAGCAGTAAAATTATCTGTGCTATTAGTATCAGGTGTTCAACCAGCATTGGCAAAGATAAAAACGCCAAAAATTAAAATTTCCTTTTATTAGATGTAACCTAAAGTAATATCATAAATAAGCGGTAAATTACATTTGATTATTCTCCCGTTTGGCTCTTAAAACCTGTATTGAGGTGCATACTAACTGTTCATTGCAGTAATCTCCCATTCTTCCAAGTTGTAGACCACTCTCAAGCCATTTTCTTATTCAACCACATCTAGTATAATATGAGACCTCCGGACCGTCGAATACGCTTCTTAACGCCAAATTTATAGTTTCTTCTCCTTTTCCAAAGACTCTTCTGCCCATCTGAACGCTTCTTCAGTGTTTACTAGCAGAATTAACTGAAGATAACATCGAAATTATATTATCCATGATCAAAAACTCTAAAAATCAAAAAAAAATTTGTAAAACATACCTCAATGATCTCGACATGTCGTTCATGATGTCGCCAGACGTCTGATATAGGTTTCCCAACAGCTCTTACATTGTTTTAGTCCAAATCGACGCCCACGAAGGCTATGACACGCGTAGTAATTCTATCAAAAACCGTCAACACACTTGAAACACTTGTACAAGCGGGTAGCAACTCTAATAAACATCAAGAGCCAAGGGAGCTAAGGTTATTTACCTGTTTTTCTCCTTTTTCTCGAAAAATTCTCAAAAAGAGACATTTTATACGATGAAACCTGTACATCGACAAGCATGGGAATAAGTTCAAAATGCACTGTGCGAAAGAGAAAAAATGGCCATAAACTTTATGAAATACTAATATACATACATAACAATGAAAATGAGCAGAATTGTCTCGCCAGAACGCGTCCCATCTCGCCTCAGCAAAGATTCTCTGTGACCAAACAGCTCAAGGCGAACTTCCAATTGATGACGTAAGAAAAGGTAACGAAAATGTCTGTAAATGATATTGTCGGGCAAGTCAGAGGAAATTTTATTTCGTTCATTCGATATACAAAGATCTTGCGATCACCGAATTTAATTTTTTTTTCAACTTGACTATATTTTGGGGGTTGAAAAAATGGTCGAAAAAACAGAAATGAGAACTTTTGATACTTTTTTAAAGATGATTTCTGAGTCACTGAAGCAAGCCGTGACATAGGATTTTTTTTTTTTTTTTTAGTTTTTTGCATAAATATGATCAGCAGCACCAGTAGGGAAAAAGTAATTGGTCATAACTTTCTACAGTGGCCTCTGTTTGTCATAAAAATATGACTACTATGGTTTTTTGGGTATGACGAATTCAATAAATCTAAAAAGTTTTATCAGAATGCGGTAACATGTAAAAATATTGGTTGATAAAAATCGACCATAAAAAGTTTGTTTCAAAAAAACGCACAGCCAATTTTTTGATATTCGCGAAATTTGATAAAAAAATTTTCTCAATTCCATTTCAGCCATTCTTTCTATGGATTCAAATGGCTCCGCGAAAATTCCCAACAAACCCTCCGAATGTAGCTGGCCCTTCGATGACATAAAGTTTTATATCACCTTTGCCAAAGAGTTTGACGAAAAACTTCACGAGCACTATGTGAGGAGCCTGCAGAGCGGGCTGAATGACATGGAAAATATCGTCAACTTGTTGGAGAATGAGGCGACCGACTTTCAGGTCGAAATGGTGAATCGTGCCTTCAAAGTGTCGTTGGGGTGAGACTTTTTTTATCTTGTGAATTTTTTTTTTTTTTTTTTTTTTTTTTGAGTTTTTCGGCGCTTCGACTCTTCGGGTCAACGATACTACGGATCGCCTCGGTTCATCGTTATATGCATGCCCAGGAGAAGACTTAATTAATGGAAATAATAAGATTGATTGGCTCCTAGGCTAGCTTATCACTTCTTTTGAGGTATTTTACATGTACTCACATCAATAATATCAAGATAAAAAATACGGATCTTCTATTTTTGCCACAAATTTTGGTCTTTTATGTGTTACAGTAACTCAGGGTGAAGAAAAACAACCTTAGCAATAGCTAAACTTACAAAAAATGGACATACTGCAAGTCTCCGCCGAGCGTTCGCCGAGCCTCCAACGGCTTTCTCAGGCTTCGTAGGCACAATTGGGAAGCCAAAAGCAGGTTGTAAAAAGCGCTCCTAGGCCGGGCAAAGCCGCTGAATGCTCGGCGAAGGTTCGGCGAAGAATCGCCGAAGACTTACAATATCACCACTTTCTCTAATTTTAGCGGTTATTAACGTTAGGTTTTCTTTACCTTGAGCTTTTGTAACATATAAAAGACCAAAATTTGTGGCAAAAAAAGAAGATCCATAACTTTTTTCTAGATTTTTTTGATATGAGTACACATAAAATATTACCTCAAAATAGGTGGTGGACTATCCTAGGACCCGATTAATCCCATTAATACTACTAACCAAGCCTTCTCTCAGCCTCCTTTATGCATACAAACGGAGGCGGTCCATAGTATCGCAGACCCAAAAAAATCGTAGCGCCGCAATTTCTACAGAACGAAAAAGCCAAAAAAAGATGAATAAAATTTGGAAGCATAAAGTATCAAAAGGTATCAAAAATTTTTTGGCAGTATTTTTGCGACACTAAGACGGAAGAAATCATGTTTTATAGGTGAATTTTGCAATTTTGAACATACCAAAAAATAAAAAAATTTTGAATTTTTTATCAAAAAATCTCGGAAATTTCTGCAATTTCCGCTAAAAAATTTATTACATCTCTTCGAACACTCTGCTCTAACTAGGGAAGTGTACAAACGAACCCTCACCAAATGGCAAGTGTTATACACCATTGGAAAGCCCTTGAAAAATGGTGAAAGGTACCATTTTCATTTTTTGCAGAATGCCTCAGGGCAAAAAATTATAAACGGTTGATTTGTCCCTTAAGTAGTTACAATATCTTCTATTAGGCAAAATAAATGTTATTTCAAAACGCTAAATGGTACGTATTACCATTAGGTTGGCCTAAGAATCATTATGAAGCTTGGCGCTTGCGAGTAAAACCATTTTACATATGACATTTACTGGTTTTAAACACCCATAAGGTGAAAAAACACTTTTCACTTTTTTTAATCTTGAAAAACATGTAAGTTTGATGGTTTTTACCGTAATCGATCGTCTCCCAGAAAAATTAAAACCTTTGTAAAAGTTTAACGCAAATATTTACCTAACTGTAAGAACGCAAAAATGATTTTGCCCAAGCTGGGAACCGAACCCGGCTTGCTTTGGCTTATCAGCCTGCTCCGCAACCACTGCACTATTGAAGCAACCCTCTCCGAGGATTTTTTCCTGCCCAAGAGAAAGAAAGATTTTTGTTGCAGAATGACCTAAAAATAATATAATTTACAGTATGTTGTCGCGGAAAGTCATTCTGCAAAAAATGAAAATGGTGTCTTCTACCATTTTTCAAGGGCTCTTCAATGACGTATGTCACTTATCATTTGGTGAGGGTTCGTTTGTACACTTCCCTAGTAAGTTTCTGCCAAGTTTCAGCGAAATCCACGGATATTCAAGTTTTCGTCGTGGGACCCAAATTTGTGTTCCATGACCGACGAATTACAGTAGGGAGATTTTCAATCGTTCTCTTGATTGTTTTTATGATTTTTTAAGTAATGCCAAGGTTTCTATATGTCTAAAAAATTACATATTTTTAGCGCTGCCGTTTTTCTCCTGAAGAATTCGTTCGAAACGGTCAAATTCGACGACTCCGCCTGTCATATTTGCCTGGAATCCCAGCCAACCGAGCCATTATATTGTCTGCAGTGCTTGCGGGTGATCGGTTGCAAGAGTTGTATGCGCGAATGGATCCAAACGCCCAAAAGATTGATGGTGAAATGCCTGAATTGCCAGAGGAAATCGTTCGGCCGCTTCCCCCTATTCTTCAGCAAAAGAGTGGATGAGAAGAAAGCGGAGAAGACAGAGTAGCCCCGAGGCATTTTTTCGACTTTTAAAGGAATAAAAATTTAATTGTCATCAAAAAAATTTTTTTGGAAAATTTAATGTCCACTGTAAAAATATGGGTATTTTGGGCAGTCTAAAGCAAAAATTAAAGCCTTTCAGGACATATGTCGTCAGTTGAGGGCAAAAAACTTATTTTAATAGGCTTTACCACATAATTTCATCAAAAAACCACCAAAAATCGGCGATTTTTACATTATTTTAGATCAAAACCACTTCCAATCCCCAAATTAGGCCCTCAAACTTCTCAAATTCCTTCTAAAATCAAATAATCTTCCATTTACCACCTTTTCAGCCACCTTCCCCCATTTCGCCCACCAAAATTTATATTACTTTAGCCATCAGCAAACATATTTTTAATTACTCTTTCAGATAGCTTAACAATTATTAAAAATGGAAAATCCAAGGTTTATAACATTGCGGGAGCCGTCGTATTCAAGGGTTCCTCGGGTTTTTCCTGTTTGAATCGACGAGTTCGATACATTGCGGCGTTTACAAAGGTCCTCCGGGTTAACGGGAGGGCCGGTTTCGCAGTGCCTGGCACCAAGTGTGGTTGTGACGCGTGGTGAGGAGTGACTTTTGGGGTTGGCTGGTTGGTCAGGCGACGGGTGCTGAAGCGGCTGGTCTGGACGGAGTGACGTTTGGTGACTTTTCGTTGTGGGGCGTAGACCAGCTCCTAAAACAATAAAAAATAGTGCGAATTCTGTAAAAAAAGGCATCAAAAACGTTTCTGACTAAATTTCCGACAAAAATATCACTTTTCCAACGTATTTTAGATATCAAAATTCAAATTTCATTTTTCCCGCCAAACTTGGCATTCTGTTTCAAGGCTTCAAAACCTGCCAAAACTCCAAAAAACTTCTTTTTATAGCCTTGATAATCTCCAAAACACTTTTTTCTTATTCAAAATCAAGTTGCCAACTTCACTTTCACCTTATTTTAGGCAAACCTCCCCCATAAAAACAAGTGCAACATCCTTACCCTAATCGTCTCAAAACATATTTTCTTCAACTCTTTGGCATCCAAATTCACCGTGTGTCCGTTTTCATTGAACATAATGGCATTGGCGCACATCAAATTATATAATTCTTGAAGTTCTCCCATTGTCTTCAGACGTCCTTCATCGATGAATTTCTGTATCGTCGACAAGTCCATAGGGCTGGAAAATGACAAATAATGTCTGGTTCACAAATTTCAATCGCTAATCTTTCCGAAAACAGTCATTTTCCTTATACTTTGACCAATTTTTGCCTACTATAATATAAAAATTCCTCAAAAAAAAAATCAAAAAATCTCTCCCAAATCGCTTCAAAACCTTCCCACTTACAATTTCACAAACTCATGATAGTTTTGAACATCAGATGAGACCGGTTCCAAGAAATCACTGGCCGACTTTTGTTGCAGGATAATATTATGAGCTGATCTTATAATCGGGTCGTGTGGGGACCTAGTCGACGCTTGTTGAACCGGAGCATCCGGATTTCTCAGTAAATGCGCCGATTCCAGGAACAATGTGGGTGGTTTTGGAGCCTTCACCAGCGACTTTTTGCTTTCCTGAGATGATGGTAATGTAGACCGTCTTGCGGAGCGGCGTTTCGATGAGGAACGGGCTGAAAAGTCTTACGGAATTATTTAAATCCAAATTTAAACAATTCCCCCTTCAAAATTCCACTCAAAACCGTATTTTTCGATAAAGAGGAAGAGTTGACCCAAAGCGAAGTTTTCGGGTCAACTGTTTCTCTCTCGAAAATCTTGCCGAAGAAAGTCTCGCAAGTGCTCTAAAACAACAAGAACGGTCTGAAAATTCTTGCAAAATTATTTAAATTCATTATTAACCATCTTTTTCCACTCAAAACCGTATTTTTCGATAAAGAGGAAGAGTTGACCCAAAGCGAAGTTTTCGGGTCAACTGTTTCTCTCTTGAAAATCTTGCCGAGAAAAGCCTCGCAAATGCTCTAAAACAAAAAGAACGGCCTGAAAGATCACCAGAAGCCCAATTACCTTCATATTCCTCACCAAATTCCCCATTCCCAGGACTAATTATATTGCACTAGACTTACAGGTATCCGACGCTTCCGATTTCTGGTCTTCATCCGTTTTCTCGTCCATCTTCCCCAAAAATGGATACAATGTGGGAATTAGGTCTGTTTCCACGACAATTTTCAACTTTCTCTCCGATTTTGGCTCTACATTATCCTTGCTGGACCTGGGTTTTTCCGGGACCGATAGACGCGCTCGGCTTCGCTTTCTGGCCGGTTCTTTCGGTGTTTCCGGTTGTTCGGACCTCTCTCTTTGGGGGCCAATCAATTCGAAGACCTTTGCTTCGTCCATATTCTCTCCGACGTACAAAATCTCTTCGTCCAGACTTTTTCGCAGATCGAATGGTTCAGTTTGGAGGCCGACGTTCGGGAATTCCACAATTTGATCGTCTGAAATGCTCAAAAATTTCAATCCAAAACTTTTTACTCACCATTTTCAGTTTTAATCAGAGTTTCGGAGGATTCTTGACTGCACTGTGCAGTGTCTCCGATTTCTTTTGGCGCCGAATTTTTTCGATCCAATTTTCTGACGCGATTTGATGTAGAATATGGCTTATTGATTCGAACAAATGTAATAAGCGTTTGGCATTCCACTGAGCAGCTGCGGGTGAGTTCAGGGGCCGCGAAACGAGGTTCTTCAACTAAAACAATATAAAAAACTTAAAAAATACAACAAAAACTAGTGACTGCTCGCACAATTCTTCCAAAAAACAGCCTATTCTACTCATAATTCAATAAAAAAATTAAAAATTACTCGAAATTTCAGCCTTTCATATTGAGAGCAACACTTGACCCAAAACCGAGCCAACTGTTTCCCTCCTACTAAACTTGAATTAAAACTGTCCCTAGAGGCTCTGCCAATAATTTCTACCATAATTAAAACCCCTCAGAATGCAAGACTTAACCCAATGGGTCAAGTCTTTCCCTCAAAGAAAACCATCTCCTACCTTCAGTTGGTCCACTCTCCGGTTCGAATCCGTTGTCCAGGACCTCTTTCTTCGGTGGCTCTTTGTCCTCAGGTTCTTTCGGGGTAACTTTCTTCGGGGATTCGGGGCGTTCGGCCGGCTTTCTGGTCCGGAGCGTGCGTTTCTCCGAATCCGATGTGGGTTCTTTCTCTTTCTGTGGCGAGATTGGTACATGTCGTGGTGAGGACCTAGTTGATGGAGTTACGGCGGGACTGGGCTGCGCTGAGGTGGTTGGGGTGGAGATATCGGACGAGGCGGTCGCGGATCGGCCACGGAGCCTAAAACAAGGTAATTTTTTTTACAATGCAAGTACTTCTATGGGGTATAGAGTTACAGGTCGAGACATATATCAAAAAAATCGCAAAATTTTTCTGATTCAAAATATGTAAAAATTAGATGCCCAATTTTGGTTTGTAAGGGTGAAAAAAAAACTTCAGAACTTTTCTCGCAACACCACGCAAATGCCTTTTTGACCAAGTTTTTACCAATTCAAAAGCTTCGTTTTGAGCTAAAGTAAACCCTGACATCTTCTTGACCAGCCTTAAAATATCAAATTTGATTAATACCCACCTTAATTAGCAGTTCCACCGTAAAAAAGGCGGCTTTTTTGTGGTGTAGTATTAATCAAATTTGATATTTTAAGGCTGGCCAAGATTCCAGGGTTTACTTTAGCTCAAAACAAAGCTTTTGAATTGGTAAAAACTTGGTCAAAAAGGCATTTACATGGTGCTGCGAGAAAAGTTCTGAAGCTTTTTTCACCCTTACATACCAAAATTGGGCATCTAATTTTTACATATTCTGAATCAGAAAAAAATTGTGATTCTTTTGATATATGTCTCGACCTGTAAATCCATACCCCATAGAAGTACTTTTCTTGTAAAAAACATGCCAAATTAATGTAAATATAAAAATCAACGACTATAAAAATCACCTCCCAAGACCTGCTAATACCTGATTACACCATTAAAAAACCTAAAACCCTAGGAATTCCTAACAATTCCACAAAAATCTGACTTTCCGATATTACACTAGACATGACCTCAAAAAAAACCTTATTTCTCCTCAAAAATCGCATCTTACCGTTTGGCAACCGGCTGTTCTGTACTCGTAGGTTCTTTCTCTTCCTCCTCGACCTTCACCGGCTCTTCAGCAACGGTTTCTTTCGGAGTTTCGGGCAAAATTTCTTCCTCAACCACCTTCGATTCAAAGCTCACTGCAACCGGTGTGGACGGCTGTTCTGGCGATTTCAATCGCTTGATAACAACTTCTGGCTCCGGTGGGATCATGATGATGTCTGGTCCAGTCGAAACCGGGGCAATTTCTTCTGGTTTTGGACTTTCTGGAACCGCCGGGCTTGGTGGTTGAGTGCGTTTTCGCTTGAGTTCTGGAGGCGACATGAGTCGGGCATCTTCCTCTTCCTTCTGAAAATCCATTTCCTGCGATTTTACACCATAAAATTTCCAAAAAATTAACAAAATTATAAAAAAAATCAAAATTGCACCTTACTTTAAGTCTTTCGGCCTCTTTCTCTGCTTTAATTAGGTCCGGATGATCGAACAAGAACCTCTCTTTAGTCACCGTCTGATTCTTAAGCCGCGTGATCAGTTCTTCCGGATTTCTCAACTGAAAAATTCCATGGATAATATCAACTGCCATGGTTAATATAAAATCGCCTAAAAATCGAACACAAATTTTAAAAAAACTCACACTAACCCATTCATCTTTGCTCAGCTTGGATCTGAAGAGGTCTGCGTCAAGCCATTGCTGTTTATCCGGCTCGTTTTCAGGGAAATCGTCGCTGTTTAAAAACCGCTTGCAAAGCTGAATTCCCATAATCTCTTCGAGTTGATGGTCTGTCAGCTTCCCTCTGGACGCATGCTGCCACAACTCAAAATGTCTTCGAATCCGAGCAATCTTTGCCACATCTCCAGACGAATTTCGCTCAGTTGTGGTCTGAAAGGTCAAGTGTAATATAAATCCTGAAGAAAAATGTCAAAAAGTCGCACTAAACTGTGTTAGCTGACCCATAAATGGATCACAAAGGCCAATAAACCTTACTCTCTTCAGAAACTGCTTGATCCACGCTATTATCTCCATATCTGGCTCCTTCCCGCAACTCTCTCCGCTGAGACGGCTGAATTTGTGTTGCAAGGTCTAAAAATCGAATGAATAAAACGCATAAGGACTTACATCAGCTGTGAAAAAGTTCTCGTCATGATTGGAGCCGAATTCGTCATTCAGTTTGGTCGCCCTTTCCGTCCTGAAAAAAAGTAATGTCAAGTGGAATATAATAGTCTCAATTAGACAAATTAAAGTTAAAATAAATTTAAAAGCGACTTCACACTTCTAGCTTTCTTGAAATCTGAACCTCAGCATTTTCATTATGTCTAAACATTTTAAATTTGCAAAAGAATTTTCGATGTCTAGTACAATATCGGAAATCTTGGATAAACCCCGAAAATCAATCACAAAAAACACGAAATTTGATTTAGAAAGCAGAAACAAACTTCAGAGAACACACAATGGCACTTTTCACCCACTAAATTATCCTCGACATCCCCGAAAAAACCCAAACCAATCTTCACCTACAACAACATCCCAAATGTCTTCTAAACTTGCAAAAACACAAAAATAAAAGTCCTTACCATTCCCTAAACCTTGTGCACAGATCCAACAGGCGATGAAGCTCTTCCGCCGACCACTCCGGCTCCTCCGGAGCCGGTTCTGTCGGTTTCTCCTCATGAATAACTGGTTGAATATCCACCTCTGTCATGTTCTAATTACAATCTTTGAAAACAATGAAAAAATCAGGCAGAATGCCGTGGAGGAAAAGTAAAATACGCCTTGCGCTTTTCCGAATTTATTTTTCCGAGCCGCGTGCGCGAAATGCCAAATATTGATTTTTGGGACGAAATGTCACAAATTTATCGGTTTTCTGAATTCTTCGTATGAGATGTCGCCTGACTGTGGGAACAAGATTTTTTTGGTGGGAATAGGAGTAATGAGGTCTGGGAAATTAATATTACACGAATGTAATCACTTTTTGAACAATATTTATATTGCTTTTGATCATTTTCTTATAAAATTTCAGCAGAACTCTTCGGTAATTCAAAAATAAAGACATTTTATTGTCTCAACTCCCAAATTAGACTTTCGCACGGACTGATGACACCCGGGTGCATGGTATTTCTCAGATTACCGCTGTTTACCGTTGAGTTTTGTTATTCTACACCCGAAAATTCGCTCCGGAAATGTTGATGGAAATGAATTTCGATACCCCGGCCGACTATTTGGCCGCCAAATCGTCTTGTTTTCCCATCCAAATGGCCTATTATATATTTTTTTGGGTTTATGGGCTCGGGGATTTTATGGGATTTGGATTTGCCCTGAGGGGTTCGAATGACGGGAAGATTTGTAGTTCATACGTTCAGCAATTTGTTCTCTAATTTATTGCCGACTGCATCTATGGACGAACGGACCCGATTTTGTTGGGAATTGGGGGGTTTTGGGAGATTTCAAGTTTTCGTGGTGGGACCAAAAAATTATTTTTTAAAATACGCTATGCTAATTTCAGGTTTGTTAAAATAATACTTAGAGCATTCGCCTTTTACGATTTGCTACATATTTTAGAGTTTTGGGAGATTTCAAGTTTTCGTGGTGGGACCTAAAAAATAAATAATCATTTTTTAAAATACGTAATGCTTCCTTGTAGGTTGTTAAAAAGCTATTTAGGGCATCCGCCTTTTACAATTTGCCTCATTCTCTACTATTTTTTACCGTTATCCTCAAAAAATCCCGTTTCCAAATACGTAGATACCACCTACAATCACATGTTGAAAACCCACCAAAAAACAATGTCTGAGAATTTCTCCATAAAGTAAAAAGTGCATTTTGAATCTATTTTGTGCCCAAAGTACAGAAAAATTATTTTTTCTATGGGTTCTCATGGATTCCATACGCTCTCCCATTCCCACCCAAATTGTTGTTGTTTTCCCGTTAATTTCGGTCGCATTCTAATCCCCGCAATCTCAAAGAACAATTTCTCATGCAGACACGAGCATACGGACCAAATTCCTTGTTCGTATCAAATTTCACATCCTTTTGCCCGCAGGGCTAACAAGCCATTTCTTTGTAAAAATGGCTCGTAGTGGACGTGTTGGGGCTTAGACTACAGAATGGATCGTACATGACTAAATTTGGTTGTATTTTACACCCGAATTTGCGGCTTTGTTCGCAAAATGACTGCACAGTGCAGAAATTCAAATTCTTCGCGCAGTGCGAAAAGATTTGGATAATTTGCACGGTGCACTCGACTGAGCTTTTCATCTTGTCGCTAGTTGTGTCGCAGAAACATTTTTTTGTCGCTTCAGGCGAATCGCTGCACTGTGCGCGCGTTTTTATTTTTCCTGCACGGTGCGGAGAAATTGAATCTAAATTTGAACCAATTTTTGCACTGTGCAGTGAAAAAAAAAATTTTGCTATGGGTTTTACCATGTAGTACTATGATAATTACAAATATTTACATTCATTTTTAACTATATTCTAACCGATAACGGAGGTAAAAATACCAAAATTTTTATTGCACAGTGCAAAAATTTTTTTAATAAAATTTCCTCATCTGCACAGTGCGTTGCCCCAAAATCATAACTCCTACTCAATTTCATGTCGGAAACAGTGGGTTTGAACACTTCCCGACAAACCTCCGCCGCTGGTTCCAAGATTTTTTGCGTCACATGTTTCGTTGCACTGTGCGATGGGGTGGAAAATGCCCTTCGCACCGTGCAAATGGCCAAAACGCCCGTAACGAGATGGCGTGACCTCACCGCAGGTCGTACTTTAGTCGCTCCAAGAGTTTATGACTTTCTTTGTTCATGCATAATACATGGTTGGCGTACTTTCGCCAGACGCCCGCCTTGTCGGGCTTCCCGGTCCTCGCACAGTGCAAGATGTAAATACGCCTCTAATAAGGTGAAAGACGGTCGGAATCGCATGTGTTTTATTTTTTTGACGATTTGATGACATAGTAAACATACTACGAACACTTTTTTTCGTAAATCTTCTATATTCTGTGACTTTTGGCGTCTTCAAATTTGCGCACGGTGCAAAAATTTTTGGCCAAATATTTTTCCCCATTTCCCAAAATATTTAATATTGTTGCATTTTCGACATGTTGTTGATGTTCGCGGAACACATTGGAGTTCGAAAACGCCTCTATAAATACTCGATTCGAAACCCGCAACCCCCGCTCGTTTGCGTCAATTAATTGGCGGGGCGTGGGTTTCATAAAGCAAAGAAGAAAGGAATCTTGTTCCCTGTGGCCCTAATTTCTCCCCCATTCAGTTGGGCGGCGGAATTGGGCCGACACGCGCTTTTAATGAGACGTGCGGAACCCATCCGAGCACGCGTAATTCGACCCTAGGGCTTTAATTTTTGAACTAAAGTTTGACTGAATTCTCATTAGGGCCGCGTTTCGGCTGGATGTCTGGCCGATTTTGAACAGCTGAAAATGGCCGTAGGTATTTTAATTTTCTCTATTTTTACTTAGTTTTCACAAAAATCAAAATTTTTCAATGCACGTTGCGATTTTAAAATTTTTGAGAAAACGCACAGTGCGATAAAAAATGTGAACAAAATTGATGCCCTCAGGGAGTATGAGGGATTTTTTCGTATTTTACTTGCCTTCATTTTTATTCAAAATACCAAAAACACTTTTTATTTACTGCACAGTGCGATTTTAAAATTTTTGAAAAAAACGCACAGTGCGATAAAAAATATGTACAAAATTGATGCCCCCGGGACATGTAAGGGATTTTTACATATTTCATTTGCATTTAGTTGTATTAAAAATCCCAAAAACACTTTTTATTTACTGCACAGTGCGATTTTAAAATTTTTGAAAAAACGCACAGTGCGATAATAAATGTTTACAAAATTGATGCCCTCAGGACATATGAGGGATTTTTTCGTATTTTACTTGCGTTTATTTTTGTTCTATTAGGTTTAGAAGTATGACTCCGCCGTTTTTTTCTGCTGACTGTTTTGATCATAGCAAAAAATTTTTACCCTAAACTTCATCCAGTTTTATATTCTACTATTAATTACGAGGTGTTTCCGTAATTTGGTCAACTTTTCAATCCACCAAAAAATTTTTTTGGCTGTTTTGAAGCCATCCAAATATCAACCTAATTTTTGGCATCATTGTGTTTAGCGAAGCGCTGCTGCCTCAGGTCGTGTGCTATCGGTGGAAATAAGTGCTTATCTGAAAGCTCGTTGTCCGTAGAGTATAGCGGGTGAGGTAGGGCCTCCCATCCTAGCTGTTCTGGGGTGTCCTTGACCAGTTTTTCAACATGGGTTCTAGCGTGATCATGCAGCAAAATAAAAATTGGTCATTCCGCCCGCTTTGGTCATATCTCTCCGTTCAATTGCATCAGCCACTGGTGTCAACGGAGGCCAATAACCGTTTTACCAGGTTTCAAGAGCTTACAGTGAAGAACAACTTGTTTATGTGATCATATACAGCGCAATGCTTTCTTACCGGTAATGTTAGACTATGCAGTCGCATGCGCTTCGGGTTCTCAAAATCGCTGGGTTTTTCGTCTGTGGTCATAAAACGATGCAAAAATAGCTTCCTTTTGGTCTGCCTATCAAAATTTCGCAAGTTCTCTATATTGTTGTAGGTCATTCCATAAGACACCCAAGTCCGTTCTCTCTGGATCTTTTCAATTCGTTGCAAACTGAGTGAAACTCCTTTCTGTGGCACTTCGAGCACCACGGCCAACTTTTTTTGTGTATGGGCATCGCTTTGTATCCAGTAATCTCAATCTTCAATTTTTTTAGATGGGTTTGAAAATCACGGGGCTAGAACCGTTAAACCCGTTCCCCACGGATTTTTTCTAACTAAGCACAACTAACGTAAGCTTCTCTAAGCAATTGATGCATTAAAAACGTTTTCCCTCGCGTTACACGTGCAGGGTAAAATTTCCCGCAAATGACGATTTTCCAGGGACGAAGTTGGTCATCTTTGAAGCTTCATAAAAACCGCTATGTCAAGCCCTACTATCCAAAAAATATATCAATAGATAGCGTTTTGAAAGCTCTTTCAGGGGATCTTAAAAGAAATTTTTAAACATTGCTGCAACCTGTAAAAAAGTGCAAAACAAAAAAACGGCGGAGTCATACTTCTAGACCTAATAAATCCCAAAAAAAATTTTTTTATTTACTGCACAGTGCGATTTTAAAATTTTTGAAAAAACGCACAGTGCGATGAAAAATGTTTTCAAAATTGATGCCCTAAGAACGTATGCGGAATTTTTCCGTGTTTTATTTGCATTTAGTTTTATTCAAAATACCAAAAAATTTTTTATTTACTGCACAGTGCGATTTTAAAATTTTTGAAAAAACGCACAATGCGAAAATGTCTTCAAATTTGATGCCCTCAGGCCATGTAAGGGATTTTTACATATTTCAATTGCATTTAGTTGTATTAAAAATCCCAAAAACATTTTTTATTTACTGCACAGTGCGATTTTAAAATTTTCGAAAAAACCGCACAGTGCGATAAAAAATGTTTACAAAATTGATGCCCTCAAGACATGTAAGGGATTTTTACATATTTCAATTGCATTTAGTTGTATTAAAAATCCCAAAAACACTTTTTATTTACTGCACAGTGCGATTTAAAAATTTTTGAGAAAACCGCACAGTGCGACAAAATTTGATTGCAAAATATTAGCCTATAGGCAATGTAAGCTGTTTCGATCCTAGTATTGAGAATTTACCCAACACAATTCAATGGAGGGTATTATCCCGTCAAATAAAAAAAAATTTGCCGATTGGGCTAATTTTTTTAGTTTTCTTCGCGTGTAAACTTTGTTTTCTCAACAAAGTACTGTCTTCATCTTCTCCATTTTTCCTCCAAATACTTCATGGGATATGCTAAATGGATTTCCGGCTTCAAGCTTTGGCTCAGTCGTCATTTTGGAAAGTGGCGCAACGAAACCGCCCAAAAATCTACAAAAATGACCGTAATCCCGGATATTCTCGAAACGTATGGTACTTATTTTCTCCAATTTTTCCTCTAAATAGTTCATGGAGTATGTGGAATCTTTCCCCGGCTTCGAAATCTAGTTCGGTTGGCTTTGTTTACTGCACAGTGCGATTTTAAAATTTTCGAAAAAAACCGCACAGTGCGATAAAAATTTTTACAAAATTGATGCCCTCAGGACATATGAGGAATTTTTCCGTATTTTACTTGCGTTTATTTTTATTCAAAATACCCAAAACATTTTTTATTTACTGCACAGTGCGATTTTAAAATTTTCGAAAAAACCGCACAGTGCGATAAAATTTTTTTGCGGAATATTTTCCCGTAGGCTATTTGAGATGTCTCCATCCTACTATTGCTATTTTACCTAACAAAATCCACTTATATTAGCAATTCTCATCATTTTTTTGCTTCACAGTGCAGTTTAAAAAATAATTTTTTACTGTGCCCTGTGCTATGTGATCTTCAAAAATTGATGTATGGTATATTAAACGGTCCTCGGGGATGCCGCTGTCTGACTTTTCGAAGCCCATCCGTCATAAAATTGAAACGAAAACAACTTTCTTATTGACTGCACTGTGCAGTTCAACAAATTCGCGTTTTTCGTCGGCACAGTGCAATCCATCCTACATTTCTTGAATTTTAACGGTTTACACACTTGCTGACACTTGCTATAGTCACTTCTACACACTACATTTTACATATTACACTTACATTTACATCAATTTTTGAGTAATTTTTTGACAATTTCCCGCACTGTGCAGTGAAAATTGTTGTTCGGAGCTTGAAGCCGGATGGTTTGTAATTGCAAAGTGCGATCGTCTTTGTCCCCCGCACTCCAAATATTTTTGTTCCAGTCTAATGCGGATTGTTTTCGGAGTGCGGCAAACTGCCTAAGGGCATCATGGGCCCAAGGCAATATTACGGGGATAACGTGAAATCTCCGCGTCAATGTCGTTCTCGGATTATGGCAGTATTTTCGCGTGTGTGGAAGACGCTGTTGTTTGGTCGTTTCGGAGTTTGAGAGCGGGGCGTGGGGAATTTTCGCAAATTTCAAGGGGTTTTTGAGGGAAAACTGCTTTGTAACAAATGCCAGAGGAACTTGAAATGGCCATTTTTATCGCTTATCATTATCATAACGAGTTTTTGTCAATGCACGGTGCGGAAATTTAAATTTATTTTTAACGCACAGTGCAGAAAAAACATAGCTTTTGATTGCACTGTGCGATGAAAATTTCGGTTAAATTTTTTGCTGGATTTTTGAAACATGTTCCTAACTACTTCTAAGGCGCCCTAGAGCATTAATTTTTCTACTGCACAGTGCAGAAATTACCATTCTTTCCAACGCACAGTGCAGAAAAAAGATTGCTTCCGATTGCACCGTGCAAAATGAATTTTAGTAAAAATTTTTTAAATTGTTGTTTTTCAAGTACAGGGTGGTTCAGCCGAAGCTTCCATCCTTATTTCAATTATTTCTCCGCCAATAATGCACCAATTTTTATAAAATTTATATCAAATTGAAGCTGAGGCTCCCCATTTTTCGTCCACGAAATATGACAGGCCTAAGTTCATGGAGGCTCCCGTACTGATCCTTGACATTTTCATTCCAAATTTTGGAGCCCGAAATCGGTGAAACTTGGAAAATTTTTGCAATGATTTTCAGTTAAGTTCTCGTGCTTGGAAGATATTCGAGTCTTTGGCTAAATAAGACATTTAGAAGTAGCTGAAAAAATCGACGGCAGTCAACGGAATACTCCTAATTAATCTTCATGGCATTGCTCTTGTGTTCTGGGTTAATAGGCTTCGTTAATCGAAATTAAAAAAAAATACGATCAATGGGCGAACCTGTCTACGGGGATCACGACATCCACCCTGAAGATAAATAACAACTTTTAAGGCCCCCGAGAAAAGAGCTTTCGTTTTCATTCGTTCGACTTGGTACCTAGCCGGATTGAAATATGCTTGTTTGGCACTTGGTACTTCTGTGAACCTTTCCTTTTTTAAAAATTTCATCGAATTTGGCTACCCTGTCTTTGCCGGAAATCCAAAAATTTTCAAAGTCCGAGAAACTCAATTGAAAATCATTGCAAAAATTTTCCAAGTTTCACCGATTTCGGGCTCCAAAATTTGGAATGAAAATGTCAAGGATCAGTACGGGAGCCTCTATGAACTTAAGCCTGTCATATTTTGTGGACGAAAAATGGGGAACCTCAGCTTCAATTTGATATAAATTTTATAAAAGTTGGTGCATTATTGGCGGAGAAATAATTGAAATAATGATGGAAGCTTCGGCTGAACCACCCTGTACTCTACTATCGGATATCACCCACCAAAAATTATTTTTTCAATCCACACAATGCAAAATTTTCAATTTTATTGCATGCACGGTGCAAAAATTCAGGATTGAACTGCACTGTGCGGATTTTTTTTTAAATAAAAAACGCACTGTGCAGATTGTCGAGACGAAAATTTCCCCCGGATTTTTCATCTTTTAAAAATTTCCTCCTTTTTTATTTGAGATTTCTCCGGAATCATGTGTTTTGCTCATTTAAAATTACAGTTTTTGCGGCTTCAAAACGCAATTTACGTGGTTTGTCTCGTCCCGAGTTCTCACACACTCCAAATTCCCCCATTTGCCCAGCACATTATCTTTTATGCCGAGATTTTGAGGGGTTTCTCGAGTATTTTTAGCGCTCGCACTGTCGCACCGTGCACACAGATTGTTTTTGAGAACTGCACCGTTCAGAATTAAAAAAGACTTTGCCTGCACTGTGCAGAAAAAGTGCTTGTCGCGGAATCCGCACCGTGCAAAAAAAAATGATTTTTGCGACATGGCTGCACTGTGCAGCGGACTTGTCGCGGAAATTTTTGCGAATTGCACCGTGCAAAAAGCAAAAAAAATATGTCTGCACTGTGCGGACATATTTGCAAAGGTTGTCGCCGAATCCGCACTGTGCAAATCCCAATTATTTTTGCTGACTGCACCGTGCAGAATTGAAAAAAAAAACTTGACTGCACTGTGCAAACAAGTGCTTGTCGCAGAATCCGCACTGTGCAAAAAGAGTATTTTTGCGAACTGCACCGTGCAGAATTCAAAAAAAAATATCACTGCACTGTGCAGGAAAAGTGCTTGTCGCGGAATGCGCACTGTGCAAATTGGAAAAAAAAAGTATGAATGCACCGTGCAGAAAAAGTGCTTGTCGCGGAATCCGCACCGTGCAAAAAGCAAAAAAATATGTCCGCACTGTGCAGCAAAATGTTTGTCGCGGAATCTGCACCGTGCAAAAAAAATACTTTTGCGAACTGCACCGTGCAAAAAGCGAAAAAATATGTCTGCACTGTGCAGAAAAAGTGCTTGTCGCGGAATCTGCACTGTGCAAATATCAATTGCGTTGTCGCTTCCGACCGCACAGTGCAGTCGAATTTTCTTTGTCGCAAACTGAAATTTCCTCGCTTTCGCACTGTGCAATTCCCAAATCCCTGTTGTTTCGCCTCTCCGCACGGTGCAGTGTCATCTTCCCCCCACTGCACCGTGCAAAAGCAAAAATATAGGTCTGCACTGTGCAAAAAAGTGCTTGTCGCGGAACCCGCACTGTGCAAGTTCCGATTGCGTTGTCGCTTCTGACCGCACAGTGCAGTCAATTTTTCTTTATCGAAAATGCCTGTCGCGGAATCCGCACCGTGCAAAAAGCGAAAAAATATGTCTGCACTGTGCAGCAAAATGTTTGTCGCGCCCGCACTGTGCAAATCTCAACTGCGTTGTCGCTTCCGACCGCACAGTGCAGTCGAATTTTCTTTGTCGCAAACTGAAATTTCCTCGCTTTCGCACTGTGCAATTCCCAAATCCCTCTTGTTTCGCCTCTCCGCACGGTGCAGTGTCATCATCCCCCCGCTGCACGGTGCATGATTAATTAATGTAATACGAAAAGGGGCGAGTCGTTGGGAAATGGCGAAAACCGTCAGGAATTAAGTCGTAATCATGTTGTAAAGGGCGTTTACATGCGTTGTTCATCCAATAATGGATTGGCAGACGATTCTGAGGTAATGGCCTCGGGGCAAAAGCGGATTAGCCCCCAAACGCCGGGCTGGCGCGGGTGTTCAGGACGTTTGCCGGTGTTCAAAGGGCCTCCGTGTCCTCATATGTACAAGCCGCTAATCTTTTCGGCCGTTTTGCGGTGTTGTTTTACATTTTCGGCCGGATTCGAATATGAATCTTGAGGGAAAAAGGTCTTGTCATCAAAAATGAATTGCCGTTTGTCGCTGTTTGTTATGCAGAGGCTCAAAAATAGAGATTTTTGACAAGTTTCTGCCAAAAAAAGCGAAAATTTATCATGGATAATATAATGGGAAAAACTGCGTTTTTTCGTATTTAAACATGTGAAAAATCGCTGAAATTTTTTATAACACTTTTTCGAGGCTTTGGTATTCATTTGAGCCCATTTTGAAGTGAATTGGAGACTCTTCAAGTTTTCGTGGCGGGACCAAAAAATTTTTTCCAAACTGTTCAAAACCACTTTTTTCTGGAATTCTAGATAATTTCCAGTATTTTAAACAATTTCTAAACTATTTCCAACCCATTAACTTGTCCATTTCCCCCATTCTTCGCGTTTTTTCACCATTTCTCACCTAAAATAATATATTTTTCCGATATTTCCCCCAAATTCCCCTCCAAATCGACCCAAAATCGTTGCAGAAAATGTCGACTGATGCCCTAAAATACGAGACGGACACGTTGACTGAGACTACAAACTGCTCCGAGGACTCGACCACTTCCGAAGCCAGCCCCTTCAAAATGCACAAACACCCGGAATTCAGGTTCAACAGAAGCGAGGAGCGCACGATGAAACGCTTCTTCTATTGTGGTGGGAATGTGGGAATTAAGGTGAGTGAAGGGATACTGTAAGAAATTTTTATTTTGACTTTAATTTTTTTTGCAAAAATCGGGGAAATTTTTGAAATTTCGGCGGAAAAGCGGTGAAATTTTTGTCTAAAATCCTCGTAGAACATTTTAAAGTTATTTTTATACCTTTGGATTTCCGGATTACGGTAGCTTTTGCCTTATTTTGCCCTAAAATGGGATTTTTAGGCAAAAATTGGGGATTTTTTTGAAATTTCGGGGAAAAATCGGTGAAATTATTGTCGGCAATCCTCGTACGGTCTTTTACAGTCATTTTTGTATCTTTGGATTTCCGGATTACGGTAGCTTTTGCCTTTTTTGCCCTAAAACGAGATTTTTTGGCAAAAATTGGGGAAATTTTTGAAATTTCGGGGAAAAAATCGATGAAATTTATGTCTAAAATCCTTGCAGAACATTTCAAAGATATTTTTATACCTTTGGATATGTAGGTTACTGTAATTTTAGTCTTATTTTGCCTTAAATTGAGATTTTTTGACAAAAATTGGGGAAATTTTTAAAATTTCGGGGAAAAAATCGGTGAAATTTTTATCGGCAATCCTCGTAGGACATTTTACAATCATTTTTATATCTTTGAATTTCCGGATTACGGTAGCTTTTGCCTTATTTTGCCCTAAAATGAGATTTTTAGGCAAAAATTGGGCAAATTTTAGAAATTTTGGGGAAAAAGCGGTGAAATTTTTGTCTACAATCCTAGTACGACCTTTTACAGTCATTTTTGTACCTTTGAATTTCCGGATTACGGTAGCTTTTGCCTTATTTTGCCCTAAATTTAAATTTTTTGGCGAAAATCGGGCAAATTTTTGAAATTTCGGGGAAAAATCGATGAAATTTTCGTCTACAATCCTAGTACCACCTTTTACTATCATTTTTATACCTTTAAATTTCCGGATTACGGTAGCTTTTGCCTTATTTTGCCCTAAATTTCAATTTTTAGAAGAAATTTGCCCCAAAATTGAGCAAAAATCAAACTTTTTAGCGATTTTCCACTGTTTCATTACGTCTCCCATAATCCCCACTTAGTTTTACAGCCGTTTACAGCCCATAAACCCGTTTCCCATTTCCTAAAACCCCAATAAATCCGCCGAAACCCCGAAAAACTAATAAATCGGATAATTTCAGCGGATAACGTTGGCCATCCTCATCCTCAACACGCTCTGGAGTTGGGCGGTGGGCGTCGCTGGGGTGTACTTTGACATTCTGTACAATCAAGCCGAATTCCATCGACAATTCATACATGTTTATGTGTGCGTGGTCCAAACAATCATCCATTACTACACGATTACCGGTGTTGTGAAGAGTATTGTGTGGAATATGCAGGTCTACATCATGTACACGGTAAGTTGAGAGGGTTAAATTGCGAAAAAATTAATTTTTGGGCAAAAAATCGCTATTTTTTCGAAAAATTCGAATTTTTCTACGAAAAAATCAATTTAAAAAAAAAATTTTTTACTTCAAAATACTCAAAATTAAATTTTCTATCTATTTTCACTTTTTCCCCTACAATTTTTCCTCATTTTTCCCATGTTTTCCCCGATTTTCCCTCAAAAATCCAATCGCACTGTGCGAACCACCATTTTCGCGGATTGCACTGTGCAATGACCTCAAAATTCAAACGCACTGTGCAATCGAAACATCTCTCTTTTCTCTTTCGATTTTCCCGCCAAAATCCGGAGAGAAACGGAGAGGAATGTTGGTGTGCAGTCGTGTCCGAGTGGTTAAGGAGATTGACTAGAAATCAATTGGGCTCTGCCCGCACAGGTTCGAATCCTGTCGACTGCGGATGAATTTTTTGGCGTTTTTATAGTCGAATTTGAATAAAAATAGTATTCAGATTTATTTATTTACCTTTTTTAGTCTTAAAAAGTTTTTTCAAGCCTTTTTCTGCTCGTTTTTATCAAAAATTTTAAGAAAATTAAACTTTTTTTAAAAAAATCTAGACTAAAATAAAAACATTCTAATTTCAGCTGATCTGCGTGACAATTCTCATCATCCACTGCATCTACGAGTTCGTCAAGATGGATGTGAAAGAGCTCTTCTCGCCGGAGCAAGTCATTTTCACGGCTCCATTCATCATCACGTCCTTTGGCAACATGATCTGCTGTTATTTCGCTTACGAGACCTATCGCTTCCTGGCGACCGTCGCCCACGACCATCACAACTTCGCGCCGGACGCGGGAAGAGCGATGGAAGAGGAGAAGCGATCGTTTCGCGACTACATGTTCGCGAATCCCGGCCTCTATCACGAGAAAAAAGAGGAGGAGAAGACCCGAAAAATATTGGGCAATATCGCCTGAGGCACGAATTCCAAAACCTTCTAGGTGATCTATTCTGAATCTCAGAGTCCTACACTTGCGATATCTTCCATTTATCCGGTGATTCCCTCGTTTTACTACAGATTTTTCGCTCGATCTTTTGATAGTACCAAATTTGCCTTCACTCTCAAAGAAATCATTAAATCTTAGGTGTAAGTATGCAATATCCCATACGATTACTTTCTCTAATATCTTTATTGTACTGTATGCCACTCCGTCTTGTATTATATTCAACCAAATATATCATATTTATCTTGAATTTACCTGTTACCCATATTTTACTGTTTGAAGCAATAAATGTATCGAAATGAAACGAATTACAGTATTCCTTTTGGCTGAGCTACTTTTTACAACCTCTATTTATCATATCACAGCTTTTTAGCCCATGAAATTCTAAAAGTTTTCGTTTCAGGACCATTTTTGGCATTATGTTGCAAGCCTTAAAAACAAAAAATTTCGGTAATTTATAACTTTCCAATGCTTTTTATGACCTAAAAATGTCATATCACAGTGTTTTAGTCCATAAAACTCCAAAAGTTTTAGTTTCAGGACCATTTTGGCATTCTGTTGCAAGCCTTAAAAACGAAAAATTCTGGTAATTCATTCCTTTTCAATTTTTTTTTATGACATACAAACGTCATATCACAGCTTTTTAGCCCACAAAATTCCAAAAATTTTCGTTTCAGGACCATTTTTGGCATTCTGTTTCAACTATCCAAAATCATGATTTTTGACATTTTATGACTGTCTAACACATTATCACAAAATTTACAACCGCTAAACACCAACTTACCATCCTATAACACCCTTATCTTGCAGTTCTTCCAGCGTTTTATCGCCAATTTCCAATTCCTCTTGTAAAATATCCTTCGTATGCTCGCCCAACAACGGAGGAGCTGATCTTGGCCCGTTGTGAATCGTATTATAGACCGTTGTGTTGCCGACGGTCTTCACTTCCCCATAAACCGGATGCTCTACGGGCTGAACAAGCTGTAAATGTTTGGTTTGTTCGAATTCGAAAGCTTCGTGGACATTATTCACAGGCCCTGACGGGAAGTGCCGACTTCGCAGGTGTTTTCGCCAATATTCCAAGGGCTTGGAGGCAAACCTGAAACGGTTTTTTGGGGGTTGAAATAAAAAAAAAACAATTTTTTTATTTTCGCACAGTGCGAAAAAAATATTTTCGACTGCACCGTGCAAACTCACAAAAAATTCTTGCACAGTGCAAATTGAAAAGAAGTGTCTTGCACAGTGCAGTGGCGATGCAAAAATGAAAAAAATTCATGCACAGTGCAGATTGAAAAAAGTGCTTTGCACAGTGCAGCAGCGACAAATTTCTTTGCACAGTGCAGTGGCGACAAATCAAGTAAAATCACTGCACTGTGCGGAATTGTTTTGACAAAATCGGGGAGAGAGAGTGCACTGTGCAGATTGAAAAAAAGTGTTTTGCACAGTGCAGAAGCGACAAATCAAGAAAACTCACTGCACTGTGCGAAAACATTTCGCCAAACTTGGATGTAACAATTGCACTGTGCAAAAATTTTTCCATTGCACTGTGCAAAATCCGGAAATCTGCACAGTGCAGCGCAATTTACTTCAAGTACGTGATTTCGCACGGTGCAAAGAACAAAACATAAAAAATTTTTTTTGTAAAATACGGAATCCTTACCGATCACCGATAATTTTCAGTAATTTCTCTCGATTTTCCACTCGTTTCGGGTTGGTTTCATAATCCGGATCATCGGCCAATTCGGGGAGTTCCAAAAGGGAAACCAGCTAAAATACGGGTGTAAAAACAATTTTTAATCACTAAAAAGTAAAAAGATCAATCGTCCAAGTCATTCCGGAGGCCTCAAAATCAATTTTAAAAATCGGGGTGTTTTCGTGGTGGTACCCAAGATTGAAACCGAAATGAGATTTTTTGAGCTTTAACATTGCTCTAGGCACTTATTTTGCATGTTCAAGGCATTCCCAAGGCAATAAAAACACTTTTTGAAAATTAAGGTGTTTTCGTGGTGGGACCCAAAATTGAAAATCAAGATGGGATTTTTTAGGCCCAAACATTTTTCTAGGCACTAATTTTGCATGTCCAAGTGATTCCCGAGGGTTTAAAATCACTTTTGAAAAATGAGTTGTTTTCGTGGTGGGACCCAAAATTGAAAACCAAAAGCACATTTTTTGAGTCCTAACATCGTCATGGACATTAATTTTGCATGTCCAAGTTATTCCCAAGGGTCTAAAATCAATTTTGTAAAATGAGTTGTTTTCGTGGTGGGACCCAAAATTGAAAACCAAGATGGGATTTTTGAGCCTAAACAAGCCTAGCTAGGCACTAATTTTGCTCTGAATCACTATACATTTGTATTTGAAAAAGATTGGAGAAAATGTTTTCGCTGTGGGACCCAAAAAATCTCAAACTCAGTTTTTTGATCTCAAAAGTGTCCATAGACAAGATACAGGCTAATCTCAAGAATTTTCGACCCTTCTATTCCACATATATCCCATTTACCTCCTTGAAAGCCTTGTTATCCGCCGCTCCAACCACATAATATCTGTCATCCTTCGTTCGGAACGCTTGATACGGCACAATACTCTCGTGTTCGGTTCCCCACGCTTTGCCAAGCACACCAGCGTTCAAATAATTCGAGGCGATGTTGGCGAGCGTTGCCATTTGAGTGGCCAGCAGGTTGCATTCAACTCGTTGGCCTTGACCGGTCTGCTGACGATTCAAAAGTGCCATTAGAATTCCAGAATACGCATGCATACCGGTTAACAGGTCGATCACAGCCACTCCAGCCTGGAAATTTCATTTGAAGCCGGTTTGGAGACGTTTTGAGGTTTTTCAAGTTTTCGTGGTGGGACCCAAAATCGAATGTTTTCTGCAGTTGTAAAGTAATTTAAAGAAGTTCATAAAAATCCTTGAGTTTAGAAACGTGAATAAAAACAAATTTTAGTCATTTTGAAGGTTTTTGGAAATCCTCAAATTTTCGTGGTGAGACCCAAAATCATCATCTCAAAATTGGAAAAATTTTAGTAAACTCGTCACCGAAGAAGTCATATGCCCCAAAAATCACAATTACATACTTTTTTAAAAACTCTTAAACCCCTTGCAACACAATGCCAAATTTGGCGGGAAATTCATTTTTCAAAAAATTCTATAAAAATTTATAAAAAATGGTCGAAAAACAAGTTTTAAGGCTTTACCTTGCATGGCTCACCATTTCTCGGCCCAGTAATACTCATAAATCCACCAACGGCCTCGGCGATTACATCAAACCCGGGATCGTTGGCGTAAGGTCCCGTTGAGCCGTAACCTGAAAATCGACGAACAAAAAAGAAGCTTCTTACCAGTCACGGAGCAATAAATAAGTTTTGAGTTCAATTTCGAGAGGGTTTCATAATCCAAACTAAACTTTTTCATCTGGCCAGTTTTGAAGTTCTCCAAAAGCACATCCGATTTTGTCGCCAACTTTCTCGCAATTTCCAGGCCCTCTTTCTTGCCCAAATCCAAAGCGATAGACTTTTTACTTCGGTTTACCGTCACGAAATAACAACTCTGCCCGTTGACCTGAGGAGGCGCCCAACGACGAACTTCATCGCCGGAGACTGAAAAAATGGGTAAAATTCTCCCAAAAATTTCCAACAAAATAAGGGAGGTGCGTATTTTACAAATCTAAAACAGTCAAAAAATGAAACGACGAAAAGTCTCAGTGACACATTGTTTATCTGCATCATGCCTAAGAAGACCGTCGTGTCAAAATCATCATCGACGTCGAACCCGCGACCTTCCAATCCGCGAGCCGACTCACTAACCACTCGACTATATGAGCGCGCTCTCTCGCCCTCTTCTTTTTCTTTGCAAGAAAGGGAAAAATGAAATCGCACGGTGCGAGAGGAAAACAAAAAACGCACAGTGCGATAAAAAGTTTTTCCCAATTTTTTCGAAATCTCCTATTGAAAAAAGTCAAATTAAGTTCGAAAATAAACAATCACACCATAAAGAGTCTAGCTACTTACCGGGCCGTTCAATTTTCCAAACCGTGGCTCCATGATCCGCTAAAAGTTGAGAAGCGTAGGGTGCGGCCAAAATTCGCGAAAAATCCAAGACTTTTATCCCTTTTAACACAGATACAGACATCGTTTACAACTCGAAATGAGGCTACAATGCCATAAAAAGCGAGCTAACACAAAAAGTTCGTTGAAAACGCAATTTCTTTGCAGTCTCTGATATTGTAGTAGTCTCTTGATATCGAGGCAATCGAAAAAGCACTCAATATACAATTTTTATAGTGTAAACCTCCTTTCTTATCGTTGATTTATTAGATTACGTCGAAACATTGACCTTCAAGCGAGAATTTTTTATTTTTTGATAAATGGACATTTTATACGATGAAACCTATCTGAAATTTTGTCAATTGATAAGTTTACCTACTTTTTAGGTATTACTGATAAGAATTTTTATCAATTATGATACTTCAATTCTCATTGAAGGGTTTTGTAATGGTCCAATAGCATATTTTACTCTTTTTTATCTTATCTTCTAAGTTTCGCAACGAAAATTTCTTTAGGGCGCCAATTTTGCAATTTGATTTGACAAAAATTTGTTTGCGGTTTTTCGGCCGCTCCAGAAGTAACGACCTAACAATTTATTCATGTTACAAACATAAAAGTAATTTTCACAGAAGAAATCGCACTTCTGCCATTAAAATTATATTATCCATGTTATCAGCATCAAAACGTCAATTTCGGATGTTAAAACCTTTTTAATGGTCGTAAAATCACTTGTTTTTATCTTTTAACGATCGTTCACAACTTCCGAACTCGTTTCCCCCACAATTTCGATATTATACATGATACCGATTTTATATTAACCATGCCAACTGACCTAAATTATTTTTATTTTCAGGGCTTCAAACCACATTTCTATCTAACGTTATGGCTGATCCAGCCTTTCAAAAGATTGTGGCTAATCTTCTCGGCTCTCAGAACGAGTTGAGGCTGGGCGCGGAGAAAGTATACGACCAAATCCCTGTGGATGTACGCTGTAAAGAACTGTGGAAGCTGTATCAGGACACTAACTTGGATGTCGAGGTGGGTATTTCTTTATTTAGTTCCTTTTTCAATTTTTAGGCGATTGTCCGTGAGATTTTGTCATGGATAATATAATTTTGGTTGATTTTTCCGGGTTTCATGGTTGGTCTAGTTGTTAAACTTTGTGAAGACTCTGAAAATACAAATTTCAGCGCCGCTCGTTCGGCCTTGTTCTTCTGCGCCAGCTTTTGTCTTCACACCACGATGAACTTTGGCGGCTCCTTGGAGAAGACGGAAAACAAAAATTCTTCGAAAACACGACACAATATCTTCTAAACGAACCAGATTCGACTTTGCGAAAGAAGTTGGCCGATGTGACCGCTGAATTGGCGCAGACAACTCTCGGTTTGTTGGTATTACTGTTCCATTTGAACTTTTGCTTTTAGATCATGATACGGGTAAACAGGAGTGGTCTGGAGCTATTCAGTTGCTCGAATATTGTGTGGCATCCAATTCAGAGGAATTGTTCGAGGTTGGAATGAATCTAATCGAGTGAGTCGTTTGAATTTTTTGTTGTTCTTGGTTTTTAGGTGAAAAATGGAGATTTTGATCGTTTTTTGTTCGAACTTTGGCGTTAATTGAGAATAAATGCCTTTAGGGACGTCCCCAATATCCTCGGAGTTGATCAGGACCAGTATCTCGAAGGAATTTCAAAGCTCTTCCACCTCTCTTTCGCTAGCAGTAGTCTCAGCGTCAAATTATCCGCTGTCAGAGCGTACGCCGCGTTTCTAGCGGAGAACGCGGATGATGAGGACATTGTTCAAGCCTTCTCTGACCTAATTCCAAGTGTTATCGAGGCAAGTTGAGCTTGATTTTAACAGCCTGACCTAAAGTTATATTACTTTAGTGATCAATCTGAATATTTTTTATTTTTAGGTGTGTCAGCAAGTTGTAGCGTCGGATGAAGAAGACGACAGCTCTTTCCAATGTCTTGGCGATCTGATCTCAGCAATCCCGAAGCAAATCACCCCGCATTTGGACGGGATCTCAGAGCTTTGTTTGGGCACCATCAAGTCCGAAGGACGGGACGAAAGCCTCAAACATTCCGCGTTAGAAGTCATGGTATGTCTTTGTGAATCCACACCAACCGCTTTGGAGCAAAAAGACGCAAATATTTTGACGGTGCTGGTCCAGGAATGCCTCAAAATGATGACTGATATTAGTTATGACATCACCGATTGGATGGAAGCCGAGGACAGTGATGACGACGAAGATGAGGAGAATTACATTGTCGGCGAATTGTCGTTGACTCGGATCTGCGCATCTGTCGGAGGGGTGGTTCAGCCAATTTTGGAGGCAATTAGTGAGATGGTAAAACAAGGTAGATTTTGGTGATTTTAGCTGCTAAAACAGGTTGAATGTGAGAAATTTGACTTGATTAGACCATTATAGATGTTATTGGTCCTTTTCATGGCAATGTTTGCCGCAGGGTTTCAAAAAATTATATTATCCATGACAAAAAAATTGGATTTTTTGCAAATTTTTGGGCTAAAAGCAGCGTCTATTATACTGTAAAGTGTACCTACAGGGTAAAATACGATAAATGAAACTATATTTCTTATTTCTCGAGAAAAATTATATTATCCATGACAAAAAAATTGGAATTTAAAAAAAATTTTAGGCTAAAACCAAAGTCTGTTATACTTCAATGTGTACTGCAGGGTAAAATACGGTAAATGAAACGGAATTTATCTTTGTTTTCGAGAAAAAAATTATTATCCATGATAAAAAAAATGGAAATTTTTGAAAATGTTTAGGCTAAAAGCACAGTCTGTTATACTGCAATGTGTACTGCAGGGTAAAATACGTTAAACAAAACTGAATATTTATTAATTTTCGATAAAAATTATATTACCCATGATAAAAATTTCCGAAGATTTAAATTTTCAGCCGATTGGCGCTTCCGCTTCGCCGCGTTTATGGCTCTGGCTGCGATTGGAGAGGATTGTAAACACGACCTGGAGCCGATAATCCCCAAAATCATCGACGAACTCGTCCTGCCCTGCAGCCAGGACTCGCATCCCCGTGTCCGCGTCGCCGTATGCCGCTGTCTGAACCAAATGGCCACGGATTTTGCGCCCACCCTCCACATGAAGTCCCATTCTCGAATTTTGCCAATCCTTTTGGGCTATTTGGATGACCTGAGTTCCCCTCGAATCGTCGCCAACTCAGCTGCGGCGTTGGAGAATTTTGTCGATAACTCGCCGAAAAAAGTGATGGCCGTTTATCTGAGCCTTATAATGGAGAAATTAGAGCTTGTTCTACAACATACTTTCAAGAATTCCCTGGAAAATGGCAAGAACTCGCTCCTGGAGCAGGTCATTTCCACCATTGGGGTTGTCGCCGAGAATGCCGGAAAAAGTTTTTCACAGTATTATGCGCGCACTACAGAGCCTCTGAAGTTCATCATTGCCAATGCGAACAATGAGGAGGCAAAGAGTCTGAGGAGCCAAGCGCTCGACACGTTCACGACGATTTTGTTGGCAGCGGGCAAGTGTAATATAAAATTTTTGGAATTGTTGGATTTTTTTTGGTTTTGATGTAAAAATACCCTGTATAGGGAAGGATAAGGTATTGTGAGGGATTTTGAAGGCGGTTTTACTAGTCCATATTACACTTGAGGGAACTGGGACGATTGGGAAAATTGAAAAGTATTATTTTTCTTTGATGTAAGTGTCGAAATTAGGATAATCGGAGGTGCTGATTCGAAAATGACACTCATTTTTTTGATCGTTACTTTTTTCCTTAAGTAGTACTGTAAAGTAGTAATTTTTTGATTTTTTTTTCATGAATACTCGACTTGGGGGTTTTCGACCTTGCTGATTTCAAATCCCAGAAAATGAATAAGAGTTTTGAAATCAGCACCATCGAAAACCCCTAAATCGAGTATTTATGAAAAAAAATCAAAAAAATTACTATTTTACAGTACTACTTAAGGAAAAAATTAAAGAGAAAAAAATGAATGTCATTTTCGAAATCAGCACCCTCGATTATCCTAATTTCGACAATTGCATCGAAGAAAAATAACACTTTTCGGTTTCCCCAATCGTCCCAGTTCCCTCAAGTGTAATATAGACTAGTAAAACCGCCTTCAAAATCCCTCAAAATACCTTATCTTTCACTAGACAGTGTATGTTTACATCAAAACCGAAAAAAAAGCCCGATCGTCCAACTACGACACTTGAGATCCAAAAAATTCTAACTTTTTGCTGATTTTAGACCCAGGAAAAGTCAAAAATGACGCCAAAGATCTAATGAATGCACTGATCACCCCCACGAGCAATATCGAACTCTCTGACATCATGAACCACTCAGCCAGACTCAGCAAACTCCTCAAAGAAGAGTTCTCCCCCTACCTTCAACAGTTGATGCCTCAGGTCATCACAGCCGCTTCTTTTGACACTCGCGCAGTTCAACACCCCGAACAGGAAGATCATTCCGACTCATATCAGAACCTTTTAAGCGCCTTTGAGTTCATTGCCGAGATGGCCAAACAGATCCAAGCTGGGTTTGCGCCCTATGTGGAACATGTTTTGGAAATTTTGCTCCGAAGAATGGACATTAGAGAGGAAAATTCGGTGAAAATGTACGCCTCCGACTGTTTGCCGGCTTTGCTGTGCGCCGTGAAGGAGTTGGACATGGAGAAGATGGTTTTTGAAAGAGTTTTTACGGCACTAATGTAAGTATACTGCCCGACAATTAAAAGTGAAGTCTCGATTCTGAGCCCGATATTGCCCTGAGGCACAAGGTGTTCCCCCAGGCCTCTTCGGTACCCTACGCCGATACAGAGTGCCAATTTTCATACATGTGCACTTTAAACGCACTGTGCAACGGGCGATTGAAAAATTTTTGGGCGACAATTAAAAGTGAAGTTTTTAATTTTTGGACTTACCTGACCTTTTGAGGGATCTGTTGGGACGGAAACCGTGCAGAGACATAGTCAAGGTTACAGTGAAGAGCCCTAGACACAATTTACGAAAATTGTCCAAATTTTATGGTACCATTTCCCGGCATCAAGACGCGGGGTTTAGGTGCCACAAAACGGGGCCTTTAGGCACTATTTGTTGTAAGACTGGTAATTTTATGATGCTGAATACATTTTCTGACTAACTTCATACAAATAATGCTGCGAGTTTGTCAAATTTTGGCCCGCTTCAAAGCGTGCTTATCGACAACGGTACTAGTCAAGGAGAATATCGATGCAATTTCGAAAGATGAGATGCAGAATCAGCGCGAATTTTGTCTTGTACTTTTCGATCACCCTCTTAGCAGCTAAAAACAGCGTTGTTTACTTGGAAGTGCGTACTTACCCCGTTTTTACCATACACTTAACTTAACTTGGTATATAAGCATTTTTCGCATAACTCGATGCAGCGAAATTGAAATTAATGATGTTGTTTTTGACTAATTTATATCCAGAAAAATCATGTGATGTGGTTTTGGGCCATTAAAACCCAAACCATGGCGTTACACTTTGGTTATGGACGGTAAATTTCAGCAACTTTAGGAAACCGTTGTGATACCCGCTATTTTTGTCTCTAAAAGGAGCGATAACATAAAAAGTAAAGTTTTTAGGAAAGAAGGATATCTATCCACCCCGATCCTACTATCAAACCGAGAGGGGTACTGGTTCCTGCTACAGTATAAGTCAAAATAGGCACCTAGCCGTTATCCATATCAACAAGAACGCTTTGAAGCGCACCAAAACTTGACATACTCGCAGCATTATTTGGACAAACAATGCCACAAGATGCACTCAGCATCATAAAATTACCAGTCTTACAACAAATAGTGCCTAAAGGCCCCGTTTTGTGGCACCTAAACCCCGCGTCTTGATGCCGGGAAACGGTACCATAAAATTTGGACAATTTTCGTAAATTGTGTCTAGGGCTCTTCACTGTAACCTTGACTATGTCTCTGCACGGTTTCCGTCCCAACAGATCCCTCAAAAGGTCAGGTAAGTCCAAAAATTAAAAACTTCACTTTTAATTGTCGCCCAAAAATTTTTCAATCGCCCGTTGCACAGTGCGTTTAAAGTGCACATGTCTGAAAATTGGTACTCTGTATCGGCGTAGGGTACCGAAGAGGCCTGGGGGAACACCTTGTGCCTCAGGGCAATATCGGGCTCAGAATCGAGACTTCACTTTTAATTGTCGGGCAGTATAGCTCATGGATAAGATAATTTGATGAATATCGCGAATTTTGAGGGAGCTTTTGTTTTGAGATTTTAAGCCAATGATAACAGCTCTTTTGAGAAGTTAGATGTGAATTTTGAAACCAATATGATCAGTGGGCTCAGAGTTATGAGCAATTTTGTGACATGAGGGTCATGGATCATGGATAATATAATTTTTTATTTTTTTTGCTATAATCTTTTTTGTTTGCAGGAAGTCCATCGAAGAAGAGAGCAACCTAGAGGTCCTGGCCTTCAAATTGAACGCTTTGGCCGAGCTGATCCTCGAATCTGGAGCGAGGAATTTCACCGAATCAGAGATCACCTCGATCTTCAAAACTCTCCAATCCGAACTCGAAGCCCACGAAGAACGTGTCACCGAGCTGGCAGAGGACTCGGACAACGATGAAGACGAGATGGAAGAGGAGTACGAGGAAATGTCCGCCATTGTCATCAAGATTTCTGATATTATCCATGCCCTCTTCTCCACCTTTGGCGAAAAAATTGTCCCATTCTTTGGACAAATGGCCGAGAAATTTGCCGCCCTCATGGGCAAAGAAGGCTCATTTAGAGACCGTCAATGCGGCACCTGCATTTTTGCGGATATGCTGGAGTTTGCCGGAGAACAGGCGATTGTCCAATTTGAAGAGTTTTACCTAGAAAAGTTGATTAAAAATGCGGGGGATGAGTTCCCGGAAGTCAGACAGGCCGCGAATTATGCAATTGGAATCTTGGCGATGAAGGTAAGCAGATATTTTTGGGGGAAATGAAAAATTTTTGTCATGGATAATATAATTTTTGATGATTTTTTGGAAAATTTTGATTTTATAAGATGACTTATGGGTAGTAGATGATGTATAGAGCTTGAATTTTTGCAGGGAGGACCTCAATACGCTCAATTCTGCGCTCAAGCCCTCGAAATTTTGGCCCAAGCCATCAATCTTCCGGATGCCCGTGAAACCGAAGACGCCCTCGCGGCCACCGAAAATGCAGTCTCAGCTGTCGCCAAGATCCTCAAATTCAATTCAACGGCGATTGACGCGAATTCGGTGATCCCCGCCTTCATTGGATGGCTCCCAATCTGGCAGGATGACGATGAAATCCCATATGTTTATTCCTATTTTTGCGATCTGGTTGAAGCCAACAACCCTGCGGTTCTGGGCGCAAACAACGAGAATCTTCCCAGCGTATTTGAAATTATCCTGGAAACCTTTGAAAACGGCGCATTTTGCAGTGAAGAACAAGAAGAAGAGCTAATTAATGTCAAAAATCGCTTGATTAACATCGTAAAGACCCTGAAGGTAGGTGAAAGATGGTGAAAATGAATTTTAAATGGGCTAAAAAATGTGATAGTTGAATCAAGATAGGTTGAAACCACCAATTCCTACCACTTTTAGGAGAACGAACAAGTTTTCAACCAAGTCTTGGCCGCCATTCCACTAACCGAAGAGAAAAAACTGGCCCTCCAGGAAATCTTGGCCTAGATTTTTATAAAACAAAGTTCCCACAGAATTCTACGCACTTTCACCTAACCACACTCCAGTTTTCACCCATTCCCCGATGATCATTCGCCATATCCATCAAGTTTTTTTTGTTGTTCACCTGTTTTTTTGATATTTTTGTTGATTTTTGTTTGTTGTTGATGATTAAAGTCGGGTTTTCGCAGGTAATCAGTGAATTCATGAGTGCTTTCCCCCATTGTACTTGTTGTTTTGGCGGGACGAAGCGAGAAAAATTCGTTCTGAGCCATTATTTTTATTACTTTAGTGGGAAACGTTCAGTAATCCCGGCTTAGCCAGCTTTTCTGGAAAACGTGTGTTTTTGTAAAGAATCTTGGAAAAGAGATGTGTACCCTTTTTCTAAGATATTGAACGGCTATTTGGTGAGCTTTGGACACAAAAAAATTTGAATTTTTATTGTTGTAGTGCCTAAAATAAGGTTTTTTGGTCGTAACTTCATATTCAATGTAGGTATCAATATTTTGCTCTCCGAAGAGGCCAATTAGTTGGAAATCCGTCTGTTTTGCTCCAATTCCCCCGAATTTCCCGTCATTTTTCACGTAAAAAACGTGAAAACCCGAAAGCTCCGATTTGAATTCCCGCCATTCCCTGAATTTCGCGTCGAGATTCAGCTCATAGGAATTTGGGAGAAAGAAAAAATAAAAAGAAAATTTTTCGGCATCACAAAATTTTCGCGCGCGCTTCTTTTTACCATGCATTTTGTTTAGAGTTGATACCCACTTGGGAATTATAGTCCAATTGACTTGAATTTTGGCCAGTGTTGTTGCCACGCGCCAAATGCCCTTAGGCCAAGTTGAAGGGAGCACGTTTTTCAGGGCTCTCCCCATGTTCCAGAGCACTTTTCCTTCGGTCTCAGGTGGTTTTTGCATTTTTTTGTTTGAGTTTTAGATAAGCCCTACCTAAAGCAATGTTTTTGCCGATTTTTGTGGAAAAAGAGCCTGTCAAGGTCGTTATGGTGAATGTTAGGGAAGAATACGTCATATAGCTGATGTTGAAATCAGTCTTTGACGTTTTAGCCTTTTTTTATGCCAGGTTTTCTGTTTTTTATCCGCCAGCCTTATGGATAATATAATTTTTTGATGAAGAATGAAAATTAATGGATGTTTATGTGAAAGGCTGACTAAACCAAGGTGTTTGCTCGATTCCCTACTTTCTCTTATCGTTTTTCGCGTCAAGTTTGCGCTGTTTCATCGACTCTGACTCATCTCCTCACCGTTGTTTTCAGGGTCCAAAAGTTTTGATTGTTGCTTGTTACATTTGCTCCCTCGTAATATAAAATTAACGATAATGGATCTTCAAACGTTCCACAGTACGGTTGTGAATTTGTTGGGCACGGACAACGAGCTTCGTGTCGCCGCTGAGCGCCAATACAATGAAGTCCCATTAGCGAATCGGGCTCAGCTCCTTCTCCAACTTTACATGGATGCTTCGGTGAATAATGAGGTAAGAATTTATTCTTTATTGTTATTGGTTTTTAGGATGCGATTTGAGACATAAATCTTAACATTTTTGACATTGATCTCATGGATAAGATAGTTCTGCCGAATTTAGGCAAAATTTTTGCACTGGAAGTCTCATTCTTGGCCTTGATGAGTAATCTATAGTCTTTGCAGGTCCGTTCAATGGCTCTGGTTCTTTTCCGTCGCCTTTTGTCCGCCGATTACAACGAACTCTGGCATGCCGTTGGAGAACAAGCGAAACCCGAATTCCTCCAACAATTTATCACTTTCATCACCCAAGAAGACACTCCCGTCCTCAGGAAACGTTTGACCGACATTGTCGCTGAGATTTCGCGAAACACAATTAGTAAGGAAGAAGTTTGAGGAAGGATTTATAAATTATTTTAGATGAAGATACCGCTAAGCAAGAATGGACCGGAGTCATGCAATTGATTGAGCATTGTGCTACTTCTGATCGTCCCGAACTCCGAGAAGTTGGAATGCAGCTGATTGAGTACGTTTTTTTTTTGAAATTTTTTATCTTGTTTTAGGTCAGGAGCAGGATACTCGATATTTTTATCTTTTTATTAATCAAATTCTGATGTGTTCTGTTTAGAAACGTCCCAAATATCTTCGGCGTTGACCAAGAGCACTACATGAATGGAATCAAGACCATGTTCCAATCTTCCCTGCTCTATGGAGCTGATAGTAAAGTCAGAACCGCCGCGGTTCGAGCCTACGTTTCCTTCGTCTGCGACAACGACGAAAATGATGGAGTTGTCAAATCTCTGGCTGATCTGATCCCAGCTGTCATTCAGGTATGATTTTGAATCTTTTTTCTTGGTGTTTAGATCAATTATCACAATGGATAATGTAACCGGGAAACTAATAAATTTCGATGTTTCCAGGTGTGCCAACATGTGGTAGCCAACGAAGATGACGATGACGTCCCTCTTCAATGTCTGGGAGATCTGGCCTCGTCCGTTCCGAAGACCCTGACTCCTCATTTGGCCACCATCGCCGAACTGTGTCTTCAAACAATGGGCGATGAAGAGAAGGACGAAAGCTATCGTCACTCGGCGCTGGAAGTCATGGTCTCATTCTGTGAGTCTGCTCCAGCCACCATGCGAAAGAAGGGCGCCAGATTCCTCCCGTTGTTGGTCCAAAATTGTCTCAAATTGATGTCCGATATGGAGGATGATATCAGCGATTGGTTGGCTTGCGATAACATTGATGAAGATGAGGATGAAGAGAATGTGGGAATTGGTGAAATGTCTCTGGACAGAATCTGTTGTGCGGTTGGAGGAAAAGCCGTAATGCAGCCATTGCTTCAGGCTATCAATGAGATTATAAAGAATCGTAAGCAATTTTGTATGATTTAGAAGAGGTTTAATTGTGTCTTGGGGTTGAAAGGAGATTTTTTGAGGCTTTTCGAATTTAAAATGACGAAATTTATATTGTAGTAGATTGAAAAGACTAAAAATTTTCAAATTTATATTACACTTGCTTTCAGCTGACTGGCGCTACCGTCACGCCGCCATTATGGGCCTGTCTACGATGGGCGAAGGCTGTCGTCGCCAAATGGAGCCGCTGATCGCTCAAATCATCCATGATATGGTGATCCCCGCCATCCAAGATCCCCATCCTCGAGTGCGCTACGCCGTCTGCAACTGTCTCGGCCAAATGTCCACTGACTTTGCCCCCACCGTCCAGAAGAAGTGCCACGAAAGAGTGCTGGGAGCCCTGATTGAGACCGCCGGCGATCTGAACACCCCTCGAGTGGCCGCTCACGCTGGTGCGGCTCTGGTCAATTTCTGCGAGGAGTGCCCCAAAAACATCATGGCCGCTTATTTGAAGCCGATCATGGACAAGTTGGAGTATGTTTTGGAGCACACCTTCAAGCACATGCTGGAGAGCGGAAAGAAGTTGGTCCTCGAACAGATCATCACCACGATCGCTGCGGTCGCCGACGCCGCCGAAAACACCTTTGTCGACTATTATCAGCGCCTCTCCCACCCTTTGAAGTACATTTTGAGCAACTCCAACTCCCACGAATTGAAGTCGCTGCGCGGAAAAACGATGGAATGCCTGTCGCTGATCGGAATCGCGGTCGGAAGAGAGAAATTCCGCGGCGATGCCGCCGAAATCATGAACACTTTGCTCCAGTCGGGCCTCAAGTTTGATGAAGAAGACGACCCCGAACTCTCCTACATGATCAGTTCCTGGGCCAGACTCTGCAAGGTTATGGGCTCGGAGTTCGCGCCCTACCTCCCGCATGTCATGCCCAGCATCATGAAATCGGCAAGCATGCAGCCGAATGTCAGCATCCTCGACGACGACGAGGTGGAGGGATACGATGAAGACGATTGGAACATCATCTCGTTGGGCGATCAAAGATCCATTGGCGTAAAGACCGCCGGATTGGAGGACAAACTCACCGCCTGCGAAATGCTCGTCAGCTTCGCCAGAGACCTGGGAGCCGCTTTCGGGCCATACATTGAGGAAGTTTTGACCCTCATGATCTCCCAGTTGAAGTATATCTTCCATGATGGAGTTAGAACGGCCGCTGCGGAGTGTTTGCCCGCCTTGTTGGCCTGTGTGAAGGAACAGGGCCCGGCCGCTGAAAGAGAGGTCTTCAATAGAATTTTGGGACCCCTGATGTGAGTTTTGGGCGGTTAGAGGAAAAGTTGAGATTTTTTTGGGGCGAAAATCGATTTTCTTGGAATGCAGAAGCTCTTCTGTGTTGAATGAATCGCAAGAGGTTGAATTATTCGTTATATAAAAGTTTTGCTGTGCGGATGTTGGGTTTGCCTATAATTGCTTCACAAAACCTCTAAAATTGCTTGTTGTAGACAGGTTTTGTTGTACAGAGGTTTGTTGTTGAGAAGTTTCGCCATTAAATTGTAAGTGGAATCTCTCAACAACAAACCTCTGTACAATGAAACCTCTCTGTAACAAGCAATTTTAGAGGTTTTGTGAAGCAATTATGGGCAAGCCCAACATCCACACAACAAAACCTTTGTATAACGAACAGTTCAATCTATTGCGATTCATTCAACACAGAAGAGCTTCCGCATCAAGAAAATCGCCAACGGCAGTTTAATCGCTCGAAATTCTCCTAAAATCTGCAAAACTGTTGATTTTTTGAAATAATTTTTCGTTTTTAGCCAATCTCTGGAAAACGAGACCGATCTGGAGGTCCTCGCCGCTAAACTCTACGCCATCGCTCAAATGATCGAAGAGGCGGGCGCTCGACTCTTCGGAGAGGCCGAGATCAAGACCGTCCTCACCGTCATCCAGAACCAAATGAGACGCTACGAAGAGCGCCAAGTGGAGATCAAGAAGAGCCGCAAGGACGACGACTTTGACGAGGAAGACCAACAAGAACTGGAGGAGCTGTACGACGCCGAAGCCAGCGTCCTCGCCCGCATCTCCGACATTATCCACTACCTCTTCGCCACCTTCGAAGAGAAGATGATGCCCTACTTTGCCGAGCTGAACCCCCAGTTCGCGGCCCTTTTGGACGCGTCGAGACCGTGGAGAGACAGACAGTGGGGCACCTGCGTCTACGATGATATTATTGAGTATGGAGGGGATCAGGCCCGGATTCAATATCAGGCCATATATCTGGAACCGTTGCTCAGACATGCCGCGGATTCATATCCAGAAGTCCGACAGGCTGCTGCCTATGGAATTGGAGTCTTGGCGATGAAGGTAGGCATTGATTTGGGGTGATTTGAGGAGTTTGATGTCATGGATAATATAAAATTTGGAAATTTTTTGGTGTTTTTGTGTTGGAATGTCTGTTGGAGAGAAAGTAAAAGACGATTTGAGTGGTTTGAGTTATCAAGGAATAGATTTGATGCAAAATTTGACCTAATTTTTGTCATGGATAATATAATTTTAGTTGGGTTTTAGTGATTTTTTGGTTTTGATACAGTATTTTATTGGATATTAATAGATAATATGGAGAGTTTAGATGATTTTAAGCTCTGTTTTGACACTAATTTTACTAAAATTTTTACATGGAGAAGATAATTTTTGATTATTTTTGGGGATTTTTAGGGTTCTAACTCGTTTATTTGCAGGGTGGAGCCCAGTTCGCTCAAGTCTACCCCAAAGCCCTCGAGGTTTTGGCCCATTCCATCAACCTCCCGGATGTCCGCGAATCCGAAGAAGGCCTGGCCGCCACAGAGAATGCCATCTCCGCGGTCGCCAAGATCCTCAAGTTCAACGCGGCCTCCGTGGACACGAATGCCGTCATCCCCGCCTTCATTGGATGGCTCCCCATCTGGCAGGATGACGAGGAACTCCCCTATGTTTACTCCTATTTCTGCGATCTGGTCGAAGCCAACAACCCTGTGGTTCTGGGCGCAAATAACGAGAATCTCCCCAAAATTTTCGAAATTATCGTCTCCACCTTCAGTCATGGCGCCTTTGACACGGACGAACCCAAGGAGGAATTGACACAGACCAAGAACAGATTGATCAATATCGTCAAAATGTTGAGGGTAAGTGGGGAAAAATGAATGTAAAAAGGAAGTAGAGGATATAAGAGGGGGTTTGGCATAGGTATAGAAGAAGTTGGAGGGGTATTTTTGAGGGTTTTGCCTAGTGTAATATAATTTTTGATGAATGAGATGGATTTTTTTGGAATTTTGTGGTTGATACTTTATGGATAGGAGGGAAACGAGTGTTGGTTGCTTGGAAATGCCCTTTTGGAAGTTTTGAACACGGGTTTTTGGAAAAATTTTGGATTTTTTTGGTCTAGTGTAATATAAATTTTTAGGATTGACGTTATTTTTTTGAAAGTTTTGAGTCGATATGAGATGGATAAGAGGGGAAATGGATATGGATTGTGTTTAAATGGCCTTTTGAAAATTTTTTGGAAACCCAAAAAAAATTACGTTTGTTTGGTAAATTTCGCTAATTTTTTGACTTTTTTCAGCAAAACGAAGACCTTTTCCAACAAATCCTCGGCGCCGTCCATCTCTCCAACCAACAACAAAAGATTTTGGAGGCAATTTTGGCCTAAACCTACGTTATAACGCCGTTTCGACCGACAATTTCAACTTCAGGACAAGAATTATATCATATAGATTGTCCCTTTATACTCTCGTTAATACTAAATATCCCCCTTTTTGTTTGTTTCCCTTTGATTTTCAGGTTTTTTTCGTAAAATATGAAAATTCGGGGTTTTGGTCTCGAATTGAGCCAAAACCCAACCTTTTTTTACAAATCTGGACTAATTTCCCCAAAATTAGCATATTTTTGACTAAATTTATATTGTCTTGTTGAAGGAGGTTTGTTGGCTTTGATTCGATAATAAAAATTGTTATATTCGCTAGATTTTTGGGACTATTTTTGAGGTTTTTCGGCGGGTTTTTACTAATCGCGCTCAAAAGTCCTGACAATTTTCGCACTGTGCATTCTTCTTTCATTTCATCCGCACAGTGCATCTTTTCGCAGCGACGTGAACTTTTGCGCGCGACAAACCCGAATTTGAGGGTGCGACGTCCAAAACCCGAACTTTCGCACTGTGCATTCTTCTTTCATTTCGCATTTGTCGCCGCAATTTCCCGTTTTTTCACTAGCGACATGCACTTTTGCCCGCGACGAACCCGAATTTGCAGGGGCGACGTCCAAAACCCAAAATTTCGCACGGTGCGCAAATTGTCAGGACTTTTGAGCGCGATTAGTACTAGTCGCGGAAAAAAGTCCTGGGATTTTTCTGCGACTCTGCACTGTGCATGAACCCGAAAAGTGCTTTTGCACAGTGCAATTTTGTTGATTTTGCCTTATTGTCGCGCGCGATTCCCGCGACAAATCAACTTTTCGAGGCGCGACGGAATTTGGGGGGCGCGAGAAAATCCCAGGACTTTTTTCCGCGACTAGTACTACTAGTCGCGCCATAAAGTCCTGACACATTTTGCACCGTGCGAAAGTTCGGGATTTGGACGTCGCGCCCCCAAATTCGGGTTTGTCGCGCGTGAAAGTGCACGTCGCTAGCGCAAAAACGGGAAATCGCGGCGACAAATGCGAAATGAATGAAGAATGCACGGTGCGAAAGTTCGGGTTTTGCACGTCGCTAGTGCAAAAAGGGGAAATCGCGGCGACAAATGCGAAAAGATGCACAGTGCGGATGAAATGAAAGAAGAATGCACGGTGCAAAATGAATTTGGGGGCGCGACGTCCAAACCCCGAACTTTCGCACGGTGCAAAATGTGTCAGGACTTTATGTCGCGACTAGTAGTCGCGGAAAAAAGTCCTGGGAATTTTCTGCGACTCTGCACTGTGCATGAACACGAAAAGTGCTTTTGCACAGTGCAATTTTGTTGATTTTGGCTTATTGTCGCGCGCGATTCCCGTGTTTCGCAGCGACAAATCAACTTTTCGGAGCGCGACGGCCGCGAGAAATTCCCAGGACTTTTTTCCGCGACTAGTAGCTTGGAACTGACCAAAACACGTGTTTCCAATTTTTTATGGCCTTTACTAATCGCGCTCAAAAGTCCTGACAATTTTCGCACCGTGCGAAACTTCGAGTTTTGGACGTCGCGCCTGCAAATTCGGGTTTGTCGCGCGCGAAAGTGCACGTCGCTAATGCAAAAGCGGGAAATTGCGGCGACAAATGCGAAATGAAAGAAGAATGCACGGTGCGAAAATTTTCAGGACTTTTGAGCGCGATTAGTATTCGGCCCAAAAAGCCCCTTATCGCGGCCTCGAATTCTGTCGCACTCTGAAAAAATGGTTTGTCGCTGCAAAAAATGGACATCGCGCATTTGGAGAAACGACGAAAATGCACTGTGCAAAATGATGTTTTTTGGTCGATTGCACTGTGCAAAGCATCTTTTTCGCGATTTTCGCAGCGACACGCCAAGAAGGCGACAACCGGGCCAACCCGGTCAGAAAACATCCCGCTGCGGTTTTTGCCGCCAAAAGCGCGCGCTTTTCCCTTTCATTTTTTGGCGGAAGAAGGGATCAAAATCCGGGTACTTTTACGGACCTTTCGAGGCAACGTCAGTTCGGGTCAACGTCGTTTTGGATTGCCTAGTTTTGAAGCTATTTCAATTTCAGTCTGTCGGGAAAATAATGAGCACTCTGTCGGGTCGAAAATCGTATCGCTGTCGAGAAAATGAATTGTGTCGTGGCGACACAAAAGCGAAATAAAATTGCTTTTCACTGCAGCGATGTGATTGACGATCGACATTGTGGTCATTATTTTCCCAACAACCTTGCATGGCGTAGGCTAGGAGAACGCTTCCAAGTTGCGAACCAATTTCATCTTCTTGGGCGTTACACGTCAAACTGAGGAGTCCGGTGACCGGAATAGACACTTCGCTATCGGTTTTTTACACTTCGTCTTGATTTCGCAGAGAAAGAGAGAAAAAAGACATGCAAAAACGTACTCTCTCGCCCCAAAAATTCCCCATTTCTTCCCCGACAAAACGTTTTTCGCGTCTTTTTTTGGCAAATTGCCAATCCATTCACCGAACTATTTTAGCTTATCTCAATTTGACGTGCCTTCTGCGAGCTTGGCTGGCCGTGCATTTGGCTGGTTTCCTTGCCGATTAAAAATAATGGACAAGGCAACGAAGAGAAGACGCCACAGGGAAAAAAAGAAAAATCAGTGTAAAATTGTGACATAGATTGAAAGAAGAGATCTTCACGATCACTCCAGTGCCAGAATCATGCCCCAGCGCCCGCGGGCTTTTGAGTTACAAACTTTTTCCCAAAGTGGAAAGAAAATTTTGTCATTTCGTTTTTGGCTTTTTTCAAAAAAGTGCATCAAATGAAAAGATTTTTTTTGCGTATTGGGTTAGATTGTCCCATAGTAATTATTATATATTACACTGAATTTCAAGGTTCTAGGCCCAGCAGTTCCTCAGGTGGAAAGAAAAACTTTTTTCGACCAGTATAGAAACAGGCAGGCAAGATAATCTTTATCTGGCCAGGAAGTGCAGGTTGCGCACTTTTCGGCCTGAGAGTTAACGGGTTGCGCAATAAGCGGTTTATCGCTGTTCTGCCAGACAATATTCAAAACGCCAGAAGAGGACGCGGTGTCAAAAAAAGAACCTCTAGAGTGGATAATGTAGATATATTATATATTATATTACGTATACGTAATTCTGTTTATTTTACATTTTGTATATTCATGGCATAATATAGTTTATATAATGATATAAGATAGTGTTTATAATACAACAATATATGGTATATAGTATTATAATATAATAGTATATAATAAACTATTTTGTCTTTTATATACATATATAGTATTTTACTATGCAATATAATATATTTTTTCCTTATATTATAAAATTCGTTATATATTTATATATTTTTATCGATTTTTTCACTAATATGGTCATTATTTTATATGTTACTAACAAGCGAAGTGCCCCGAGTGCGACGCTCAGATTTTCTTTAAATTCTGCACGCACTTCACGCATAGACTAGACATCAATTCCTGAAAGTTTTAGCTCGCGCTTTGCAACCACCGCCGAGAAATTGAACGATCTTTGCCGCCGAGAGAGCACACAAAACGTGGAGAGCGGTCTGAAAAAAGCCCTTTTTGGCCATAACTTTGTCAGTTTTGTGCAGAAAAATTTGATTTTTTGTAGAAACATTATCCTTTACGGTAGAAATAGGCATGAAACTTTTCGTGCCGAAATTCGGCAAAAAGTCCTAAATTTTGGCCGACTTTCGATCAAAAAATCTCGGTTTTTTCTGCAAAGCGCGAGTTAGGATTATCCCATATATCTTAAAAAAAATTATTCTAAATTTGTGCCAAGTAAAAAAAGGAATGTGGCCTGACAGAAAGGGGGATCGAAGGCGTCGCACGTCAAGAAAAATAACACAAAAGCGCTCAAGCAATGAAAAATTCTTGGCATTCTGTTTCAGCGAGAGAAAAATTTTTTGCTCCAAAGATAACCTGATTACACCATGAAGATGAGGTAGAATGAGGTTATTGCATACATAAATTTGAAGCTGGACTCCTGCTTAACCTGAAAATATATATATATATTTCATATAAAAAATCGGTCGTCCTCTATCTGTTTGAAGCCTAAACTGACAACGCCTAAAAATGTTGCGCTTTCGAGGATTTCTCTAAGATTTTCTCTCGCCGCTATTTGGTTTCGTGGAAACATAGTCTGGAACAGGGCGGATTTTTTGAGCCTAAAACGAAAAAAAAATCAAATGAGCCAGTTTCGAGATAGAAAATCTCTTCATTTTGCGCAATATTTCGCCTTTCCTCTCATCTCGTCCAAAAAAACCGCCATTGAGACGGATTTTTTGGACACTTTCATAAGCGGAAACAGAATGCCAACTTTCGTGTTGGAAGATAACCCTTTGAGGGCAAAATCTTGACGTGCGTCGCTTGATCAGGAAGGCGGCGGCCAAGGGCCTGTACAAAAGACTGGTCAGAAGCAACAAGGTCCGGACTCCGGACCTGGCAAGAGACAGAAACTCCGCCACTTTTTTAGCGCGTCAGCTGAAGGAAGGATGCCGACCGAAGTACTCCCGCCGGACGGGGCCAGGAGTCCCCAAGAAAACTACGGCGATTCAAATGAGTTAAGCTTCTTGAAGCCCAAGGACGTTGTGATATTGAGAAAGGGGGAAAAAGGGGTTCATGTTTTCAGATGCGTTGATAAACTTAGTAATGCGTTGATGATAAACGTGGTGACAAGAGAGGCCGTATGGAGGAACCCCATCACCAGAGCCGCCACAGATGGAACGGGGGCCGCGCCAGGACAGCCGGCCCGGGCCCGGTCCACCGAGAGAGGGCGAAATGAAGCGGAAGCGGTAACTCTTAGCGACACTTTCTATTAGCGGAAAAAGGACCCACTTCACCTTTAAACGGCGCCCCGCCGGCAGCGGAAAGACATTCATGATTGGCATCGTAAGCCACCATATCGCAGCAGTCAGCGCCGGAGCACATCACCTGGATGAGAGCCGAAAGCGACAACAGCCCATGGCCACACACCCGAATAACGTCCCCAATCAGGCCGGTTTATGCTATTAACTTTATTGTAAACTTGTTTCCAATGATCGCTCATGCAAATGTTCCCAAGTCTATGCTATAGAACCAACCAGTTCATCCACTCTTTACGATCATGTTTTGACCGTAAATTCCTTTGGAAATCCTCAATCATCAGACAAGGCGGACCGGCTACCTGGTGGAGCGCAAGATATCATTGCCAATACTGCGTTCTGTCAGAGGACAGTACAGCAGATCGTAAACCCGGCGACGTTGAGCCAAGACTTCACGATGATCCGTCCCGACCAAACTCTGCCTTTTCGAGTAATCACTTCAGCTGCCTCCGATGACCTCGATCTCCAGGATGAGGAGCAGCCCCCACTTCGAGCAATTCCAGCGAGGGGCAGCCGAGGAACTGGCCCCACCCGAGATGGCGGTGGTGATGAACGCACCCGCCGGCTCGGGGGAAAACCCGAACAATCGCGGCAATTCTCCAAGCGATGGCCGCGTCGGGTCTTGCCTCCCTCTCAGCCACGGTCGTGGAGACCAATACCGGCGCCCAGAACGTGGTGGATGCGTGGATGAAGCTAGGCCAAAGCCCTGACAACATACTTGTAGTCCGCTCCGAAATGGCGGCCGCGCCGATCGCGAAGTCGGTTTTGATGGCCATGAGGGCGCCGATTATCTAGGTCAAGACCACCAGTATGGCCCTCTTGCTGTTTCGGAAGATCCACAGGCCCATCACCGTCCTCTTGATCGATGAAGCGGGAACAACATCTTCGACCACCGTAATGGCTCTACTGGCCACGACTCGCCATCCAGTTGAGCGTCTACTCGCGGCCGGAGATCCTCGACAGATCAGCACCGGAAGATCCACCGGCCCTCAACGTCTTACTCATCGACAAGGCCGGCACAACCTCCTCGACCTCTGCGTTACCTCTGCTGGCTACAACCCGACACCCAGTCGAACGACTACTCGCGGCTGGAGACCCCAGACAGATCAGCACCGCCTTTGATGAAACCCTCGCACACCTCCAGCCCCTCGGTGAGAAAGCCGTCCAGGCGCCCGTAAGACCTTCCTCAGGGTTAAGGCGAAATGTAAGACCTGCCTTCGGGTACAGGCGAGCGATAAGAACTGCCTTCGGGTTCAGGCTGCATGTAAGCCCTGCCTCCGGGTTCAGGCCGCCCCTAAGACTTGCCTTCGGGTACAGGCTGGATGAAAGACCTGCCTACGGGTACAGGCACCCATTGCCGTAGTAGTCCTTCACGCCATGCTGGAAAGCGACCGCACCTCACACGCGCTGCTCGTAGGTGACCCTAAATGTACAAGGCCAGGTGCTAGCTCGGACCGACCTGGTGGCTCAAGCGACAAAGCGCCCGCAGCCCCGATTGCGCAAAGGAAACGGACACTGTATAATTTTTTGGCCGTAATCAGAAGGCCCAGTCTCAGTTGCGATGCAAATCAACGGTGAGTTAGTCTCTGAGGCGATTCCCTAGGGAAATTTACTTGCACGTAAAGGGGACGTCCCCAGGCAATTTTACTGGGACATTTTCTTGCGACATTACAGGGATTTTCGAGCGGGATTATAAGGGAATTTTTAGGAATAATATAAGTCGTATTTTATGTCTGAACGAGCGGTGGTGCCGTCCAGGCTATATATGTCTCCGAGCGGAGAAGAGTAATCAGACATGGACTTGCTCCCTGCTTCCTAATGGTCAACGTGGTAACCCGAGGGAGGGACCAGGCCCATTCAAAAGTAGCCAGAACAGCCTTGGGTAAGTCAAAACATGTCTGAAGCAGGCACATCAGATCCAGGGGAGATTGGCCGCCCTGGGTTGGGTGTGGACCCGCAACTGGTAGCAAATTGACTAGAGTTCTCCCCTCGATGGTTACAGGGCAAACCCAGCAACATATCTGTCCGGACAAGACGCTGATTCATCAACATTTCTCCGCTATCGAACGAGAATTGGATCTCCTGAAGAAAACAGCTAGAGCTGGCGGGCAGATGGCTACTGTCTCCATCGAGCACTCAACGAAGAGATTTTTTACCTCGTATTGTATAGTACCAGATAGTACTATAAAGAGGAAAGCTAACATGATTTTCAAAATCAGCACCCTCGAAAACCCCTATATCGAATATTTACAGAAAAAAATCCAAAAATTACTTCTTGACATTACTACTTAAAGGACCACAAAAGGTATTTTTTGAACCGAAATTTGCTCGGCTAAAATATTGACTATCAGGGATTTTCGCGTCGAGAAAATTCCGAAGAACAAATGTTCTCGATTTTTTTTGAACAAAAGATTTTCTGAGGTTCTGTTCTGACCTCCTTGTACAGTGTGTAGCAACGTGATTCGATACAATGGAGGATCATCCCTGACTTTGCAGCCTAATTTGGACCTCTACCTCGAAAACAACATGTAAGTCAATGTTTTAGTGTTTCTGGCTATTTTAGGCAATTTTTACGACGACGAAGCAAGAAAATGAGTTTAGTATCAAAATTAGCCATCCAGGAGTGCTGGTGGTCGAGTTTTTGAGAAGATTGAGTCAAAAATGTTGACCAGAATACCTAGTATAATATCGTTTTTTCCAGGAATTAAAATGAAGATGCGGCCAGACGGCTTCATTTTTGCTACGAGGACTCGCAAAAGCATCTAACGAGGTATCAGGCCGGTGTAAATCAATGAAGGTTCAACATTTTGGCTTTTCATTGAGCTGATGTCAAAATCTGAAAGGTGAGGTTTGCCCTTGTTTTCATGGTTTAGGTGAGGAAATCTTTGCTCCGTGAGCAAGAAAATCGGTTTGGTTTCCTAATGATGCTATCTTGACTGTGGTTGCACCATTTTGCGCCATAATAATAGCAAAGCCATGATCAGTCGGTCCAGTATAACATAATTTTTTCAGGCGAATCCTTCCAAGGCCGCTAAGCTTCGACTATGTGAACCAGCTGTGAAAGCATGGACAATAAGAAGGTCTCATCATGAAAAAACCGGAAGGACTGAACCAATTTATTATCTTTTACATAGTAACAATAATGTATAATATTTATAATAAAGTAATAACGGCTATTACAGAATCCGTCAAAATTGTTTTACTGAGCCCTTTGGGTCAGGCTGGCGGGCATGGGAGCGGAGTGGGCCGGGATTCCTGCAAATCGAGAGGGATTCGCCTGAAAAAATTATATTATACCGGACCGAGTGATCATGGCTTTGCTATTAGTATGGCGCAAAATGGTGCAACCACAGTCAAGATAGCATCATTAGGAAACCAAACCGATTTTCTTGCTCACGGAGCAAAGATTTCCTCACCTAGACCATGAAAACAAGGGCAAACCTCACCTTTCAGATTTTGACATCAGCTCAAGGAAAAGCCTAAATGTTGAACGTTCATTGATTTATACCGGTCTCATACCTCGTAAGATGCTTTTGCGAGTCCTCGTGAAAAGAATGAAGCCGTCTGGCAGCATCCGGATTCGAATTCCTGAAAACGTATATTACACTAGAGATTTTGGTCAATTTTTTGACTATAACTTTCCAAAAACTCGGCCAACAGCACTCCTCGATGCCTTATTACGGAACTACACTCGTTTTCTTGCTCTGTCATGTCAAAAATTACCTAAACTCGCTAAAAACACTAAAATATTGACTTACATGTTGTTCTCGAGGTGGTGGTCCAAATTGAAACTGCAAAAACGGTCATAATGCTTCCTTGCATCAAGTCAAATTGCCAGACAATGTACAAAGAGCTCTGAACAGAAGCTCGGAAAATCTTTTCATCCGAAAATAAACCGACAACGTTTGTTCTTCGGAATTTTCTCGACGCGAAAATCCCTGATAGTCAATTTTTTAGCCGAGCAAATTTCGGTTCAAAAAATACCTTTTGTGGTCCTTTAAGAAAAAAGTCAAAATCAGAACATTACCAGATTTTCAGAAAAATGGATCTTCCGGAAACGCTTTTAAAAGTCCATCATTAGGAGCCTTATTGCAAGGATCCTACGTAAAGTAATCACCAGGCCCTCGGATTTTGGCTCCGAATTCACGCAGATCCCGTATAGAGTCATGACGCTGGATACGGAAACCCTCCGAGCGATCCAGAATTTGGACGTGACGAAAATCAGAGATGAACAGTCAATGGAAGTCGATCGCCACCTTCTGAAATCAATCAGAAGTGTCGCGTATGTATACCAAGTACAGGGTGTACCAAATTCGGTGCCCGATTTGAATTGGCTATAACTTCTTTAATTTTCGGCCAAATTTTAAAATTCTTTTTTTCCCTGAATCCTCAGACAACCCCATTTTGTCTGATACCAAATATGTTATACATAGGTAAGTGTCATCTACAGTTATTGCATTTATTCTTGAAGTTCATTTTTTTGGTCGTTTTTCGGTTGTTTTTTCGGCCTTTCCCGGTGTGTCCGAAAATGGAGTACGGTGAGAAGAAAAATACGGTGGAATTTCCCCTCCTGAAAATCGACGATGAGAATAAGCACAAAAAGTGAAGATCAACCTCCAGAGTTCGTCGAATGGTCCTTGGTGAAGGCATTCCCTCGGTTCTGGCCAAACTTCGTGTACTCATATGCGGATTTTCTCGGAATTTTGACAAAACTTCTTCCATTTTCAGCTACGTTCGTACCCATCTTTCCTGCTTTTTTTGTTTCCTGTTAACGCTGCCAATCTCAAGGAACTTATTCCACCAACGCCGAAATGTCTTGCGATCTGGGTTGGGCCTTACGCCCGTATTTCATCCTGTATTCCCTTTGAACATTTATCGGCGAACCGTATTTGCCATACCAAACCACAGACCAAGCTTTTTCTTCCACACCGTACTCCATTTTCGGACACACCGGGAAAGGCCGAAAAAACAACCGAAAAACGACCGAAAAAATGAACTCCAAGAATAAATCTAATAACTGTAGATGACACTTACCTATGTATAACATATTTGGTATCAGACAAAATGGGGTTGTCTGGGGATTCAGGGAAAAAAAGAATTTTAAAATTTGGCCCAAAATTAAAGAAGTTATAGCCAATTCAAATCGGGCACCGAATTTGGTACACCCTGTACTACTCAGAGACGCAGCTAACGTAAGTCCACACAAGCAATGGAGGTACCAGTGAAACCCATCTCCAACAACAGCATCAATTTGGAGATCCAGTTGAAGCCCTCGGACGTCACCGACAACATTCAAGCTCTCGGAGTGGGATCCCCCTTGGGATTACCTTTTCAAGGGAGAGGGCTGGTTCAGGGCCTCATCGTTTTATTTGTAGGCCGGCGACATTTATTCCGGGTGGAGAACAAGACGTCATTGCGAATACGTAACTCTGTCAAATGGCAGTCCAACAAATCAGAAATCCGGGGACGCTAAGCCAAGATTTCACCATGCTGAGGCCCGATCAAATCCTACCGTTCCGAGTAATTGCGTCAGCTGCCTCCGATGACCTCCAACTCCACACCTTCAACTCATAGAGAGCTCCACCGCACTTGATCCACACCAGAAAAGGGTTGCTGAGTCTCTCACCCACCGTGGTGGCTGTTGACGCCCCGGCCGGGTCGGGCAAAACATATCTGATGGCCCATACAGTTCAGCTCATGTTGCAAACCAAGATGGCCAACTACGTCGTCGTAATTTCTGAATCCAATGATGCAGTGGGGGCTATAGCCGGAGCCCTCGTAAACGGCCATCCCGTCAAGTCAAGTGTTATGGCGCAAGAGTGAATTGGCTCAAGGAAAATTTGTAGACGCGTAGGGATTATTAGTCAGACAATACCAGTATTCACCAATGTCAAAACTACTCAACACGACGCCGGACGACCTCGACCAATCCCAAAAGGAGATCGTAGATTTATATTCCACCCACCGGCAACTCCGATTCTACTCCGCGCAATTCATAACCGCTGCACTCAAAACACTGGCGTCTCAACCGCATGGCCCGGTCAAGTTGCGTTTCTTTTGATACTGGTGAGTAGCCGGACTGACCGCTCAGCCTGGCCCTACGGCATATTGGGCCAGCCGCTGCCCAAGCGAATGAGGTTGAAAGTCAAAACTAAGTGCCATTTTCTTCATCTATTCAACTGTCGTAAGATTACGGAGTAATACTGGATCATCATCCGCCACTTTTAAGTGGAAGTTCATTGCGCAACGCTGAAATGAATCGTAACAGACAATCAAAAGAGGACTCACAAGGGCCAAAAAACGGCGTTGCATAGGAAAAAATCTGGAAATGGCCGTAATAAGCCAACGCTAGATGAACGCCTAAATGACCCCCGCCTAGAATGCCTTAATAACAGACGTAATGTGATGGCAGTAAAATAATAAGTCGTATTTTATGTCTGAATGAGCGGTGGTGCCGTCCAGGCTATGCCTCTGAGGAGAAGAGCATACTCGCTAATTGTCTGATTCTGTTATTAGTCTAACCTCCGAGGAGATTCCAACTCTCTTGAATCGCCCAACACTTCGCCCAAGAAAGTAAGTCAGAATCACAGACAGAGTATATTCTAGCATTTGGAAGACCTGGAATCCGGATGCTGGATCCGCCGAGGGATCTGGGCGTAGTTCCAACATCGCCTCAGGGCGGCACTACAAACTCTTATGCCTCGGTTCAGCTAGACAAATCTGGCAACAGGCCATCGCATCAGGGCGGAAATACCAAATTATCCAATGGTGCTCAAGCGCGACCTAAAGGTTGGGCCGGGCCCGCCTCTCAACTGGGATATATGAGACCGGTCTTGGTCCTAGACGACTCTAAAGGTACAAGGCCAGGTGCTAGCTCTTGCCAAACTGGTGGCTCAAGCGGCAAAGCGCCTGCAGCGCGATGTCAGTCTGCAAATCAATGGCCTGAAGCCGCAATTTGCCGACCTTTCTGTGCAAATGCTCAACCTTGATGCCAAATATTCCGAGGAACTCAGAGACTTTGGTCAACAGCTTCAAGAATTACGCCAATACTTGCTTCACGAAGAAGGCCCCAAAAATAATCATTTTTCTTTGCACTATCAGGTACCGAAGCAGTTCCTCGCGAGGCTGATCAATCACTTTTAAACTCACCTCCTCCCCTTCCCCATTATCTTGAAGTTAATGTCATAGATTTCGGCAATTTAATGAAATTCTACTCCGTAAAAGGAATCTTTCTCCGAATTTACCCTCAAATTTGAAGATTTTGCCAATCAACAGCCTCAGGTAAGTCAACACATGTCTGAAGCAGGCACACCAGGCGACAAAAGGTATCAGTGAGGACATCGTGCTATGGATCCGATCGGAAAAACACAACGTAAGGTTCTCTGACTATTATCGCTGAAGGCCACATCTTTCATTTTTCGGACTGTTTTTCTTCAAGGGCTATTTTCTTCATCTGTTCAACTGATCGTAAAATTACGGATTATTACTGGATCATCTCAGCGATACGATGGGTAAAAATGCCAGCCCTCGATCTTTTGGGTGATAGGGACGCGCTTTTGGCGAAGAGCGTAAGGATCACGGATGGGGATCAATTACCGGAGCATCTGTTTGGCAACGCAACAATCACCATGTCAGCACCGCATTTCGGAGTTCGGGGCTAAAAAAATTAAGTCGACGCTAATTTTTCGGTTTGGGCGTCGCACGTCAAGATTTTGCGCTCAAAGGGTTGTCCTTCAACACGAACGTTGGGATTCTGTTTCCGCTTATGCAAGTGTCCAAAAAATCCGTCTCAATGACGGTTTTTTTGGACGAGGTGAGAGGAAAGGCGAAATATTGCGCAAAATGAAGAGATTTTCTATATCGAAACTGGCTCATTTGATTTTTTTGGTTTTAGGCTCAAAAAATCCGCTCTGTTCCAGACCATGTTTCCACGAAACTTCAAATAGGGGCGAGGGAAAATCTTAGAGAAATCCTCGAAATCGCAACATTTTTAGGCGTTGTTAGTTTAGGCTTCAAACAGATAGAGGAGGACCGAATTTTTTATATGAAATATATATGTTCAGGTTAAGCAGGACTTCAGCTTCAAATTTATGTATGCAATAACCCCATTCTACCCCATCTTCATTGTGTAATCAGGTTTTCTTTGGAGCAAAAAATTATTCTTTCGCTGAAACAGAATGCCAAGAATTTTTCATTGCTTGAGCGCTTTTGTTTTGTTTTTTCTTGACGTGCGTCGACTTTTTTGTGCATCGAAAATCGTGATTTGGGAAAACAAAATTTTTAATTTTTATATGGCCACCTTTATATGTATATACATGAGTTATGGGCAGAGATTGCCACGGCTCCGGAGCCGGAAATTTTGGGGTCGGCTCCGGCTCCCGAGCCCAAATTCGGAGCCAGGCTTCCCAGCGGTCAAAAAAGTAAAAATTTCGTGATCTTGTTAAACCAAATTGCCTAAAAAACACTGCGGAGGATGTGACTTGACTGCAAAAACGTTGGCTGTATGATCTCTGGCACTAATAACTTTTATTTTTGGAAAAATATTTTTAAACAAACATTTTGCATAGGAGCCGGGATTCGGAGCCGGAGGCCTTTTTAAATTTTGCACGGAGCCAAGAGCCGGAGCCGAAATTTTGACCGTGGCAATCTCTGGTTATGGGTGACCCTCTCCTTTCTTCGATCTCCAAAATAGGTCAACGGCCCCCCATAGAGGCGAATCCCCGATCGGTATGGCCAGTCGATGTAACCGAGAGGCTAGAGAAAGGCGACCCTCGGACTGCACATCTCGGCTCTCCGACAGGGTGTGGCATATATTGCGCAACCGCTAGGTTTTTTATGGAAGGGCGTAAAAGCGGGATTTAGCGCAGATGTTGAGGCTCGCTGCCTAAACAATTCTTTGTCGGAAAAAAATCATACGCGCTCTGTGGCATTGCAGGTCGGATCGCTGCCGAGAAAATGGCTTGTATCGAGGCAAAATCAAATTGATTTTCACTTCAGCGACACGTTAGGAGAGAGCTCTCATTATTTTCCTGACGGACGAATAAATGTGGTTTAGTGTGTCTTTTTTACATGTTTATTTTGCAATATTTCTTGTAATATATAATCATTGCGATAATATAATACAGTATTTTTTACCCAATATAATATAATATTTCATTACGTTATATAATAAATTTATATATATTTACATATAATCAATCTTTGATATATTCATTGACGTTTAATATACATGATATATAATACAATATAGTTGAATATATACTCACTTTTTATATTTTGTTAATTTTTAGTTCTGTCCTGCTATATCTATTTGCTTTTAACAATATAACTTTATATATTTTATTTATTATAATCTTTTTCCAATAAGTCATCAGGCTAATAATGAGCACAGTTTCGAACTCTCCTGGGTGAACATTCCCACATTTCGTTCTATCCCCCTTCATTTCTGACACCCTGTATAGGACATGTCTTGGCCATTTTATCGATGGCCAAAACATTAGCACTCCCCCTTTTCCGAACTCCCCCGGTGTGACAGGTTATACGATGAAAAAAAATTTTAAAATGAAAATTTAGGGAGTGACATGTTATAGATTCTCTCTTTTCCGAACTCCCCCGGTGTGACATGTTATACGATGAAAAAGGTGTGATATTTTACACGAAAGAAAAAAAGGGGGGGGAGTTCGGAAAAGGGGAGCGTTAATTTTTCGGCCAAGGACAAAAATTCATGGAACTGTCTATTGCATTTTGAGGAAGTTTCAAAATGAAAAACACTTAATTTTGATACTATTGTGCCGCAGGCGTTGCCCTACGGGACAAAGCCAGTTTTTTTCGGAATTTTTGGGAAAAATAGGTAGCGGGAATAGTGCGCAATCAAAACGTTGCGGGAGTTGCGAAGCCTAGAGTTTGTGGGAGGGATCCAAACCCTGACCCTTTAATAAACTTTTGGGATTGGTATCAATCCCAAAATTTTATTGAACATGTTGCGCAACCGAGAGGTTGCGGTACAGTGAGGGGCCTGATCCAGTAGCAAAAAATGTCCCATTTTGCATCCAGGAAGGAAGGAACCAAAATGTCGCAAAACACCTCCCTTCTCAAGCTAATAAACCGCTTTGAAGCGCGCCCTTTCTTTCGAGAAGAGATCGCCAGCTCCGAATGCATCTGAATATTCGCAATCAAAAAGCGCGCGCTTTTTTCTCTTCTCCGTTTTCGTGAGAAAACAATAAAATTCCGCAAATACGGAAGGCCAAAAGAAAGAGAGAAGCGCAAAAATTGCGCGTTTTTTTGAATGCGAATATTGCCGGATGCATTCGGAGCTGGCGCTCTTTTCGTGAAGGAAAGGGCGCGCTCTTCAAAACGGGGTTTTTTTAGCTTGAGAAGGGAGGTGTTTTGCGACATTTTGGTTCCTTCCTGCACGCAAAATGGGACCTTTTTTGCCACTGGATCAAGTCCCTCACTGTAGGTTAAAGAGGTTATAATCTTTGAGTGTCAGTTTTCCGGTGTTAAAACAGGGAATTAGCGGGACACGTCAAGAAAAAATAAAACAAAAGCGCACAAGCAATGAAAAATTCTTGGCATTCTGTTTCAGCGAAAGAATATTTTTTTGCTCCAAAGATAACCTGATTACACCATGAAGATGAGGTAGAATAGGGTTATTGCAACATAAATTTGAAGCTGGACTCCTGCTTAACCTGAACATATATATTTCATATAAAAAATTGGTCGTCTTCTATCTGTTTGAAGCCTAAACTAACAACGCCTAAAAATGTTGCGATTTCGAGGATTTCTCTAAGATTTTCCCTCGCCCCTATTTTAAGTTTCGTGGAAACACAGTCTGGAACAAGGCGGATTTTTTGAGCCTAAAACGAAAAAAATGAAATGAGCCAGTTTCGAGATAGAAAATCTCTTCATTTTGCGCAATATTTCGACTTTTCTCTGACTTCATCCAAAAAAACCGTCATTGAGACGGATTTTTTGGACACTTGCATAAGCGGAAGCAGAATGCCGACTTTCGTGTTGAAAGGTAACCCTTTGAACGCAAAATCTTGACGTGCGGGAGTTTCAAGAGTATGGCCCGCCAATAAACTTTTGATGTCAAACGATATCCTGAATTTTTACGGTCATAAATGGCCTTTTTTAAAAAAGATTGGATCTCACAAGGCCATAACTTTTTTAACTTCGATATGGGTTAATGTTTTTTTTATTAATGAAAAATTTTTTAAATGTAGTGCCAGAAACTACCTCTTATTACTACTGAAATGACTCTTGAAGTAGATAAGACTGAAGTAAGAGCCTGGCTTTTTTTTAACTTATAATTTCTTGTAGTTCGAGCATCTCAGCGCGAGGCTGTTCGCTGAGCTTCAATTGTGAAAAGTCTGAAAGAAATGCGTAGAAGGATCATGAAGAATTTCTACGAAGCCTTTTTCGAAATAATATATGGCGAAGCCCCGGCGACGTCAAAGGAGGCTGCTAAGCAGCTAAAGGAAATTTTCGAGGACATGATCGAAACTTACGAAGGGGTCTAACCAAATAAAATTTTTTTTTTAGTAAAAATGGATGAGCTCTGCGAAGAGTTCGTAATGAGGAGGATGAAAGCGAAGTAAGCTTCATTCTTTATTTGTTTTAAAAAATTTTTTTTTTTATTTTTTCTTTTATTTTTTTAATTTTCTGTTTTTTAGCTCGCGCACATAAGTGCGCGACTCGTCGCGCAGTTCCCAGGGTGCTCAAACCTGGAAGAGTTTCGGCTTGAAATAAGCCGAAACTTTTATAAGGAGTATTATGCCATCATATATGGCGAAGCCTGTGAGGCTTCAAAAGAGGCGGCGGACCAGCTCCGTCTCTGTTTCGAGCAAATGCTCGAAACGGTAGACGGAGTGGATCCGCGGTCGAATGAGAGGATTCATGGATGCCCTTGAAGGGCAGCTAAAAAAACGTTTCGAAGACATGATCGAAACATACGCCGTAAGAGTTTCGCTTCTTTGATTTTCAACCCAATGTCGGATACTACAATCTCCAAGTCTGTCATCGTCCACAAGACGTTTCACAATGAGGAGTCGAGGACAATCTGTGCAACCGATTGCTTCAACAATCACATCGCCTTAGAATGGGCGTTTCATGATTCGAATATGGGAGGTGAAACCGTATATCCGGCCACTTTTCTGAAGCTGGATCATACAGAGGTACAGAAAAATTCGGCTGAATAGGTAACCGAGGCGTTTGCACTGTATGTTCAACACATATTGTTTAATAGGATGAAATATAAAAAAAATTTTTTTAGTAAAAATATGGATCAACTCTGTCAAGAGTTCGAAAGCATGATGCTGAATGAGGAGGATGAAAGCGAAGTAAGCTTCATTCTTTGTTTTTTTTTTTATTTTTTTATTTTTTCTTTGTTTTATTTTTTAATTTTTTCTGTTTTTAGCTCGCGCACCTAAGTGCGCGACTTGTGGCGCAATTCCCAGGTTGTACCAATCTGGAAGAGTTTCGGCTGGAAATAAGCGTAAACTTTTATAAGGAGTATTATGCCATCATATATGCCGAAGCCTGTGAGGCTTCAAAAGAGGCGGCGGATCAGCTCCGTCGCTGTTTCGAGCAAATGCTCGTAAAGTTCCAACAGGTGTAACAAAGAAATAACCGAGATCAATTCATATAAATTTTTTATCCATAACAAATGAAAAAAGAGAGGTAGATAGGGATTGTTCAGACATCCTCGGAGAGTCTCCTATGGCTTCCCCTTCTTCGATAGAAAATATAAAAATTGAAAATGTTAAGGAGCATGATAGCCCCAACCAACACGCAAACTACGATCATCAAACTGTTACTCGACGTGGGGCATACCCCCTCGAACCATGCTCGGGTCCGGATGACCCAAGGTCGTTTGAAGCATTTCGGGCCGAGTTACGATTATATCTCGCAAATCAGGGAGGTACGAGAACCCAAGCGGTTCACAAGATAGGACGCAAATTGCGCGGAGATGCTTTCTTGGCATTCTCCGAACTACCGGAGCATCTCCTCTCGGGGTCGGATCCCAACGCCTTAATTGACGCTTTAGAACAAGCCCTCCCAGATGTCGGGAAGGAAGGATGGGCGTAATTATTTCGAGCCAGGCAAAATGAGGTGGAAACAAATCCGTCAATTTATGGCCAGACTCCGGAACTTGGCAGTTCTTGCCTTCCCAGCGGTAGCTGCCCCAATGCACAAATGGTGAGTAGGAAATCGTATGCCCTGTTAGAGGGAGTTGATCAACATTTGAAGCAGATAGCCCATTTACGAAATAAGGAAAATGAGCTTGGAGGACCTGACGGGCTCCCTTGAAAAGGGGGCCGCGATCGCAAAGGTGCACCACCTAATGCGGTGTCCAACGAATTGCCAGAGGTTTTTAGGAGGCACAGACACCCTCCCTGAATTTGATGACTTTTTCGCACCACCCGGTCGTTAATGCGGTGTCCAACGAATTGCCAGAGCAATCTCAAGACTCAGTTTGGGCCGTCATCGGGGACCTCGAAAGAAGAATGCAAAATTTGCAGACCCGAAGCTGGAGGCCTTGGCCAACTAACTGCCGCGGAAATTCGCGAGGAAATTTTCGCGGAAATTTTCGCGGCCGGTATACGCAACAAAGGCCGTACCACCAACAGCCGCAGTCCGATAGAACCCGGACATTTCAAGCCCCAGTGCCCGAGCAAAATGCCCGTGGCAAACCAAGAAATGGGAAGAAGGGCTAAGCGATAAACGCGGCCACGTTGTTATCAATCGTCGTAGCCATCAGCTTGCCAATCATGGCAGCCGGCTTTCATGTCTGCCCCGAGGCACATCAGCGAACGTTACTTCACTTACCGGAACCCATCCAATGCACCTATCGACAAGAACCCTTATTATCCATTGTGGTGGCTATCAGCTTGCCAATGATGGCAGCTGCCTTTCATGTTTGTCCAGAGGCGCAACAGAGAACTTTGCTCTGCTTACCAGCGATTCAATGATGATGAAAAGATTTCTACAAGGCCATAAATCGCCTTTTTTCAAAAAGATTAACAAGAATCCAACAAACGATTACTTCTTTATTCAAAAACCAACATGTTGCGGTAGGTTAAAGCCGTTATGATTTATGGTTGTGATTTTTCCGGAAAAGCGGACGGATCAAGAGTATGTATCGCCCGTGAATAAAAGTTGATGACCCGTCAATAATCTTTAGATGTCACAGATCTCCAGGATTTTTGGGGATCAATATTTCACGCCCCCAAAAATAACTATATATTCAGACAAGATATTAAGACATTTTCATTAAAGTGCATGTCGCTAGCCGTGCCATAAAGTCCTTTCGCACTCGTCGCGGCAATTCCCCGTCTGAGGAGGTATCAGTCTGTCGAAAAAATAAAAAAAATTTTTTTTAGTAAAAATATGGATCAGCTCTGCCAAGAGTTCGAAATGATGACGCTAACTGAGGATGAAAGCGACGTAAGCTTCATTTTTTGTTTTTTTTTTATTTTTTTATTTTTTCTTTGTTTTTTATATTTTTTCTGTTTTTAGTTCGCGCACCTAAGTGCGCGACTTGTGGCGCGGTTCTCAGATTGTAGCAATCTGGAACAGCTTCGGCAGGAAATACGCCGCAATTTTTATACGGAGTATTACTCCATCATATATGGCGAGGCCAGTGAGGCTTCAAAAGAGGCGGCGGACCAGCTCCGTCTCTGTTTCGTCTCTGGTCTTTGGACAAAAGGCATGCATTCTTCATCTTCTTCACAAGGACCAGAAGGACCAGACAAATCATGTTTTTTTTGACAGAATAAAACAACAATTGAAATTTTTTTTTTTTAACTAATCGTCGCAATCATTGTTTGAAATCTTTACTACTCGACATTGCCAACATTTGTTCACCCAATTAATCCTGAGCAAATGAAGCTAACATCGAAATAAAATTATATATTGAATTTGATCTTACCGTGAAGAAGAAAACAAGGATTCCAAGGATTAAGGGTCAGAACTTGATGGAGGAGTTCAAGAAACAATTTTCATCGAGCGAGGCTACCAAAAGAGCCGCGGAGAAGCTCTAAAAGTATTTTGAACAATTACGAGAGACGTATGACGTAAGAGTTTCAATAACGATCCATACACCAAAGGCGGAGCCAATCTATCTGTCTTGACAGAGATTTTCTATAGAAAGAATGAATGATTGGATGGTTTCAAGGTATACAAGGCCGAGAGGGCTGGACCCATGCTATTAGTCCCGGAATTCATCCCACTAAAACATAATCGCATGGGACGTTACGAGGCCTTACCAGAGGTCGGAATTCCTATGCTGTTCGGCCCAACTCCAGAATATTTGGACCAACTGTCAACTTTTCCGAATTCTTCGCACCATCTGCTTCTGATACCTCAACTTCAAATCATGCAGGAATAGCGATCCATACACAAAAGGCGGAGCCAATCTATCTGTCTTGGCAGAGATTTTCTATAGAAAGAATGAATGATTAATCGGACTCTATGAGACTAAGAGACATATTCTTTGTATTGGTATAGTTAAGTTAGTGTTATTTATAAAAAAAAAAAAAAAAAATGTGGAAGGCTGTCCGAGCAGCCTATCTGGATAAAAGCCCAGCGGAGATCGAAGAGATTGCATATCAGCATTACAAAAACAAAGTCCATCAGGATCTTGGGTTGCACATTCGTTTGCGTAACGCAAAAACCATGACAGAGGCTGGAAAGGACCGATGGGGCAGTAGTGAAGAGAGGGACGCAAGGCCTCTGTTTCAGGTCTTTTATCTTCTTTAGAATGAGATTGTACTCTCCATTTTGGTCTCCTCATTAATTCTTATTATTGTAATGTTACGTTTGAATAAATAAATATATCTATAAGAACACTAACTTAACTGTATTGATATTGGATGATGTAGATTGTATTTGGGCGATGCAAGATTGTTATATGGGAAGATTTAATTTTTCGCTTTTTTGTTTTTATTTTTTTAATTTTTGTAGTTTGAGCACATTAATGCCATGCTCTACGAAGAGCTTGGAGAAGACGACGAAAGTCTTTACACCCTGTGGGAAATGATCCGCAAAAAGTTTTTTTTTTATTTCAACATAATACATGGAGAAAGGATATGTGGGAGCCATGCTGGCTCCAGGCGGACCGAGAGGGTTGCGAGAGCAGCACACGTCAAACTGAGATAAGCTAAAACAGTCCGGTGAATGGATTGGCAGCTTGAAAAAAAAGACGCGAAAAAACGTTTAGTCGGGGAAGAAATGGGGAATTTTTGGGACGAGAGAGCACGCTTTTGCGTCTCTTTTTTCTCTCTTTCTCTGCGAAGTCAAGACGAAGTGTAAAAAACCGATAGCGAAGGGTCCATTCCGGTCACCGGACCCCTCAGTTTGACGTGCAGCACTTCTCCAATGAAACGATTTTCGTTTCCCCGCTATTCCCCGAATGCTGCCCCAATTAGAGGTGGCAATCGGGCTGGGCCGTGATTGGGCCGGGCCGGGCCGGGCCTGAGCAAATTTGAAAAAGCCCTGGGCCGGCCTGGTCACTTCGGCCCGCGGGCCGGGCCGCAAAAATCGGCCCGGCCCGGCCCGATTGCCACCTCTACCCCAATGAGAATTAGACCTCTGCCGGTCTACAAGGACCGAGAGGATCTAAACTTCACGAGGCAAAAATTCGAGAATGAACTCATTTGATAAAGTCATAACCGGCGCAGTTATTTCAGGACTCCCGGATGATGAGCTAATACAAACTTCAAAAAAGTCTTTGCTCCTCGTGTTGGACGACTTGATTACATCGATTGGCCCTCAGTACCTCACAGAGCTTTATACAAAGAAAGCGCGTCAATAAACTTGGGGGTGATTACATTGAGTCAATCCATTTTCGAACCAAAACTCCGTGTTCCACGCATAAATCCCAATATATCATTTTAATGAGAGCTCCGAAGTTATGGATCTTCTTTTTTGGCTTCGAACTTTTGTCTCTGATACGTGACAATAACTCATGGTAAACAAAACTAATGTTATTAATGGCTAAAGTTAGAAAGAGCGGACATATTGCAAGTCTTCGCCAAGTCTCCGCCGAGCCATCGCCGAGCGTTCACCGGCTTTGCCAGGCCTCGTAGGCACTTTTTACAAACATTTCTTCGGGTATTCACCTGCCATACGCCCCGTATTGATCGATGTTGTGTTGACCGGAAAAGTTGTGACGCGATTTTTTTTATTTAAATAGTTTTTTGAGATCTATGCAAATTTTGTGTCCAATCTCGTCGCTCGTTTTTGAGCCTCGACTGCGGCGGCGTTCATTCCTATCGTTCTCTGCGGACCCGACCAGTCGACATGCTCAGCGGATCGAATGTTTTGGCTGAAAGTGAGTGCCCCCCTTTCATCACACTTTAGCTTGTAGTTGAGGCGATCAAATTAAATTGTTTTCTTTCCAGTCGAGACCCTCCGATTTCTTGGTATCCTGGCCGCCAATCTGGGCCTAATCTCGACCATCTGGCTGACTTGTGGAGGAAAAAAGAAGCCCGCAAAGCCTGCTGCTTCGGGTGGGAAAGCAGCGCCCAAAAAGTCGGCGGCTGGAGCGGCCAGCGAAGTGAAGCCGGTGGTGAGTTTTTTTTTGGCGCACTATGCAATAAATTTTTGGGAGTTTTACCGCACAGTGCGGTAGGTTTTAGTTTCTGCCCGCACGGTGCAGTCAAATTTCAATTTTGAGTGCACTGTGCGCTCAAGATTGAAAATTGAGTGCACAGTGCGGTAAATACGACCGCACTGTGCCATCAATTTTCGAATTTTACTGCAAAATACGATAAATTTTTATTTTTGACTGCACTTTGCGATCAAAATTAAAATTTAACCGCATTGTGCAATCATTTCTAAATGTTGCTCGCACTGTGCGATCAAAAATTTTTGTGCACTGTGCAATTAAATTTTTTTTTTCATTTTAGTCCAAACGCCATGCTGCAAAGGAAGAAAGCAAGATGAAAGAGCCGGCGGAAGAGAAGAAAGAAAAGAGCAAGAAGAGCCAGAAGAGCGAGAAGAGCAAGAAGAGCAAGAAGAGCCAGAAAAAGGAGCAAGATGAGGAGAAAACGGGCAAAGACGAGGAGCCGAAGGAGGGCGATGACAAGGTACGCAGTTTTTCTTCGATATTTCGATTTAAAATTCGAAATAATTGAGTTGTTTTTCAGAAGGAAGAGGAAAAAGAAGCCGCAAAGGAGGAAAAGAAGGAGGAAGAAAAGGGAAAGAAGAAGGAGGAAAAGAAGGAGGCTGAAAACTTGGTTCCCGTCAAGAAACAGCTCGGCAAAAAGGAGCAGGAGATTGTGCAGGGAGCCAAGAGAAAGAAGGGCGATTATCCGACAGTAAGTTTTGGGATAATAAGCAAACATTTGGGTCTCATCACGAAAGCTTGAAATGTCTTGGATTTGAGTGAAACTCGCAGGAAATGAGGAATGTAGTTTTTAGAGATCTCTGACAAATTTTTAGACCGCATTATGGCGAAACAACTGAGATTTTTGTAATTTTATGAAAAATTTTGGGTCTCACCACGAAAACTTGAAATGTCTTGGATTTGAATGAAAGTCGAAGAAAATGAGGAATATAGTTTTTTAAGATATCTGACAAATTTTTAGACCGCGTTGTTCAGAAACAACGGAGATTTTTATAATTTCAAGGAAATTTTTGGGTCTCACCACGAAAACTTGAAATGTCTTGGATTTGAATGAAACTTGCAGGAAATAAGGAATATAGTTTTTAGAGATATCTGACAAATTTTTAGACCGGGTTGTTGAGAAACAACGGAGATTTTTGTAATTTTATGCAAAGTTTTGGGTCTCACCACGAAAACTTGAAATGTCTTGGATTTGAATGAAAGTCGAAGAAAATGAGGAATATAGTTTTTTAAGATATCTGACAAATTTTTAGACCGCGTTGTAGAGAAACAATGAAGATTTTTGTAATTACATGCTAAATTTTTAGTCTCACCACGAAAACTTTAGAGATCTCGGATTTGAATGAAACTTGCAAAAAATGAGGAATACAAGTTTCTCAGACGTCTGACAAATTTGTGGACCGCGTTCTGCAGAAATAATTAAGATTTTTGCAATTCTTTGCAAGCTTTTTGGTCTCACCGCGAAAACCTGGAATGCCTCGGATTTGAATGAAACTCGGGGAAATTTTAGGACAACAGTTTTTATGAGATAACTGAAGTTTTTGGCTCGCGTTATGCAGAAACAACCGGAAAAAACAGTTCTTTCTCTGACCGTCTCTCATTTCCCATGGTCTTTCAAAAAATGCCTAAAATACGCGCACTTTTAGATGGACGATGTTCTTTCCGATTGGGATTCGAAGAAGGAGGGGGAAAAGAAGAAGGAAAAGAGTAATATGACCAATCTGGACTCGAAGGAAAATGATGAAAACAAGGAGGAGGACAAGAAGGAATAAATTTTATTCGTCTTTGACGGTTTTTTGAATAAATTTTGGTTTAAAAAATCTTGAAGTTTGATTTTTTTATTTTTTTATTTTTTTTTTGCATTTTAAAATTTTTTTTTTTTTTTGATTGCACTGTGCAATTCTTTGATCTCTCTCATTGCACTGTGCGTCTGATTTTTTCGAATTTTTTTCTGCACAGTGCAATCAAAGATGTGTCACATGACCGCACAGTGCAGTCAAAATTTGAGTTTTGGGCGCACTGTGCGGCGCAGATTGATGAAAATTGATCGCACTGTGCGAAAATCAAAAGTTGGCAAAATATAAAAAAATTTTTTCGAATTTTTGAATGAAAGATTTTAGGCTTATTTCTACCGTAGAGGGTGATGTCTCCACAAAAAATCAATTTTTTTCGGGCGAAACTGGCAAAGATACGGCCAAAAAGCGGTTTTTTTTCGCTGACCGCTCTATGTGAAAAAAATCAAAAATTCCAAAAAATTATTCAAATTCTTATCGAATTCGGTTGATAAAAGGCGGGGAACGGACAAAAAATCTTCATTATTCATTGTGAGGAGCCGCATTGCGGGCGGATTTGTCAGCAAAATGAGAGGAATTGAGAAGTAAGTCGGGGTTTTTTTGACAGGGGAAGTACCCCAAGTGCGACGCTTATATTTTCTTTAAATTTTGCACACACGTCGGGCATGGACTAAACATCAATTCCTGAAAGTTTTAGCTCGCGCTTTGCGGGCGCCGCCGAGATATCGAACGATTTTTGCGGCCGAGAGAGCACGCTAAACGTGAGCGGTCAGAGAGAAAAGCGCTTTTTGGCCATAACTTTGGCAGTTTCGAGCGGAAAAATTTGATTTTTTGCAGAAACATTATCCTTTACTTTAGAAATAGGCATGAAACTTGTCGTGCCGAAATTCGGCAAAAAGTCCTAAATTTTGGCCGACTTTCGATCTAAAAATCTCGGTTGTTTCTGCAAAGCGCGAGTTAGGATTCTCGCATATATCTTAGAAAAAATTGTTCTAAATCTGTGCCAAGTTTCATCAAGATCTGAGCGTCGCATTTGGAGTACTTCCTCTGTAAATTTGATGTCCAAAACTATTTTTTTATTGAGTTTTAGCCAAAACTGTCCATTTTTTGCTGTTTTTGGGCATTTCCTTCATAGTCATATCATTTTCACTCAATTTGAAAGCTGAAAGACTGTTAAAAAACTATTGACCCATTTTTTGGTCATTTTTTACATAACACTTGATTGCAGGGAAGAGCGAATGATCTCATTGGATGTGTTCGCGCGCACCCATTACGCTCAAGTCGGGGAGTGGTTGTCGGCGGAGCGCCTGTCAGGGAGTCTGCGTTTCGCGGACATTGAGCTGAATGTGAACGGAAGACGGGATCATCTTCATTCGGCTGTGGCATTGGCTCATTCCCGGTTCTTCGTGGAGGTAAGGGCTTTGGGTTTTTGTTTTTTTATTGATTGAAATTGATGATGAATGAATTTGAAAGAGGGCATAGTGAGCTTTCGGGGGAAAATTGGGATTTTATAGGGTTACTGTAACTTTTTTGGCATTACTGTATTTCAAGTTGGGTTACTGTAACTTGGCATTTTTGATCTTCTAAGGTGTTCTTGGCGTTTTTAAGACATTGCTTGAGTTTTTTTTATTTTGGAGGGTTACGGTAACTTGGAATGGATTATTGTTGACTTTCATGGGATTACTGTAACTCAAATTGAATTCTTATAACTTGGATGGTAATTTTGGACTTCTCAGACAACCTTGCCTATTTTGGAAGGGTTTTGAAAATTTTGGAGGGTTACGGTAGCAGTACGGTAACTTGGAAGAGATTACTGTAGATTTCGGCTTTTATGGGATTATTGTAACTTTGAAGGCACTTTTTGGATTTTTGAGATACTTATGGTGTTTATGAGACATTACTTGAGTTTCTGAAAGTTGGAAGGGTTACGGTAGCATTACGGTAGCTTGGAAAAGATTACTGTAGATTTCAGGGGATTACTGTAACTTTGAAGGCATTTTTGGTGTTCTAAGATTTTTCTTGGAGCTTATGAGATATTTTCCATATTTTTGAAAGTTTCTGAGGATTACGGTAGCATTACGGTAGCTTGAAAAAGATTACTGTAGATTTCATGGGATTACTGTAACTTTGAAGGCATTTTTGGTGTTCTAAGATCTTTCTTGGAGCTTATGAGACATTTTCCATATTTTTGAAAATTTCGGAGGATTACGGTAGCAGTACGGCAGCTTGGAAAAGATTACTGTAGATTTCATGGGATTACTGTAACTTTAATTAATTTCTCTACGTTCGATGTCATTCTCGAGTTTACGAGTCCATTTGCAGAGCCTGAAGTCGCTCCGTCCACCGTACGTCATCAATTTGCCGGACAACTTCCGAGCCACCGCCGTCTTCAAGGTCATTGACTGGCTGTATCATGGCCGCGCCGACATCCGAAGAGAAAGTTTGGGCGAATTCCTCGAGATCACCACTTATCTTGGGATCGACGACCTTCACAAGCGCTTGGAGCGGCATTTCTTGGAGCTGACGAAGCACGAAAGTCTCCGCGTTGTGTGCCTCAACATGGCCACGGATCCGAGGTTTGGGGTAAGAGATTGATTTTACAATGTTTATCGAGGTAGTAGGAGTATATGGGAATACATTTTGCGAAGTTTTTTGCCTAGTGTAATATAATTTTTTCGGTCAAAAAAAAACAACAATTTCACCATATTTTTCGCGATTTCAGATCTCGACAAGTCATCAGCTGGCGGCGGACATTGCGCGCTACCACGACTTGTTGTCCACGGACGAGATTCGCATGCTGACGCCGGAGAGTTCGGCCGCCCTGTTGGCCGACCAGACTGTGACCTTCAACGAGAAGCTGGACCTCCTGAATCTGGTCCTGTTTTGGCTCAAGTTCGACGAGAAACGACCGCATTTGCGCCGCGTCCTCGGCCACTTGTACGTGCCGAACATTGGCGCGGAGGAGTGCCAGAAGCTGGCCCGACATTTGATCGATCGGATGAGCACTAGAATCGTGCCCAATTTGAATGTGTACGGGAAGAATCGGAACACGGTTGTGGTCTCTACGAACCCACAAAGATTCTTCAGGAACAGCGCCGCCGTGGTGAGCTGCGCCGACGAGGGATTGTAGGTTTTTTGGAGGCATGTCTAGTATAGTGGCGGACCTGATCCAGTGGCAAAAAACGTACCATTTTGCATCCGGGAAGTATCAAAAATGTGGCAAAATGCTTCCCTCTCCAAGTGAAAAAATTTCGTTTTGAAGGGCGCACACGTCAAACTGAGATAAAAGGTCCGCTGAAAGGTTTGCAATCCGCCAAAAAAGACCCGAAAAAACTTTTAGTCGGGGAAGAAATGGGGATTTTTCGGGGCGAGAGAGTACGTTTTTGCGCGTCTTTTTCTCTGACTTCTCTGTGAAATCAAGACGAAGTGTCAAAAACCGATAGCGAAGGGTCTATTCCGGTTACCGGACTCCTCAGTTTGACGTGCAGGGGGGACATGATCCAGTGGAAAAAAACGTACCATTTTGCATCGGGGAAGTATCAAAAATGTGGCAAAATGCTTCCCTCTCCAAGTGAAAAAACTTCGTTTTGAAGGGCGCGGCATTTTTCTCATGTTATAAAAAGAGTGGGCGCGCTCTTGAAATCGAAGTTTTTTCACTTGGAGAGGGAAGCATTTTGCCACATTTTTGATACTTTCCAGACGCAAAATGGTACGTTTTTTGCTAATGGATCAGGTCTGTAAGAGTATCCTTTGTATTTCATTTTTGTTACAGGATTTTGCATCCGGGAAATATCAAAAAACGTAGCGAAATGCCTCCCTCTTCAGCTAAAAAACCCCGGTTTCGAAGGGCGCTTTTGAAATCGGAGTTTTTTACTTGGAGAGGGAGGTATTTTGCCACATTTTTTGATACTTCCCCCAAATTTTTTGATACTAATTTTCAGCAATGACAGCGCCAGTTTTGAGCAGGACAGCTCGCGCTCGGAGGCTGGGGAAAAGGTGCTGGACGAGTCGATGATCCGCGAAATCAACCGTCTCCCCAGCTTCAGTGGCCGCTCGCCCGCGCATCGTCGCCGTGCGCGCAAAGTCTGCAAAGATTTGGATCGGAATCTGGACGGCTTCGACTTTGGCTCCAGCACCGACGAAGAGCAGGGACTGCGGCTGGGCGTGAACAAACACGGCCAGTTCGTGGGCCATCCCGGCCAACGGCTGTACCAGATGGAGTCGGAGAGCCAGAAGTTGGTGAACGCGCGCGGATTCACGAAGACGGAGCTGGAGGAGTACCAGGAGCTGCCGAGCAGCGCCGAGATCTTCAAGGAGACCAGCTATCAGCCGGCCAAGAAGAGGGAGGGCTTCTCGGATTCCAGCGATCTGCCAAATCCGGGTAAGGCGAGCCATGGTTTGGAGGGGGTTTAGGTCGTTTTTAGGAAGTTTACGACCATTTTTGGCGGATTGAAATTTGAATTTTCGATTTCCCGCCAAATTTGGCATTGTGTAATAGGGAGTTTAAACTTCGGCAAATTAGCCGAAAATGCTTGTTGAAGTTCCTTGGAGACATTTTGGGGGGTTTTTTAGAGGTTTGAAATTTGAATTTTCGATTTCCCGCCAACTTTGGCATTTTGTTTTATAAGTTATTATTGTTTGAATTTGCTATTTCCAGATAATTTCCGTCGTCCTGCTAGTCCGGCTTCGATCCCAAGTGACGCTTACATCGTCCGCCCAACGGCTTCGAAGTCTTCCAGAAGTTCGAGCAAGTTGAGCACCGCAAGATCGAAGAGTTTGGCCCGGAGAAGGTCCCTGTCTGGAAGTCTGAACGCACATGTCTTTGAAAAGGAGATGAACACCGCCAAGGAGCGGTCGTCCAGAACTCCGAATCAGAAGAGAACGGAGCGCAGTTTTGGAGGCAAAAAGGGACAAGATGATAGTTTTGACTTGCGGTGAGTGGAAAATTTTTTGGGAAAGGAATGAAAAGGCGACGTAAAATAGTAATATAACTGATTTAATTATGACCTATGTCCTTCCAAGGGTTCGGAATTTGGTTTTTACAAAACTTGTTGTTTTCGTGTCGGGACCCGAATTTTGATTTTTTTTTTGATACAGCTAAAATTTGAGCGAATATAACCTTTGTAAGCGACCTTTTCAGTGGTTTTAAACTTTATTGACATCAAAAAATTAAATTTTACAAAATTGATTGTTTTCGTGTCGGGACCCGAATTTTGATTTTACTTGGATTACAGCAATAAATTTTAATCTAGACTAGTAAATAGCTGGACTTGAATTTTTTTTTCATGTCAGTAGTCGATCTGAGACCAGTTTTGCCCATTTTTGAGAACTTTTTACTAGCTCATCAAGTACAATATGTTTTTTTCAATTTTCAGCACTGCCGTCACGTCGACTCCAAAGGATGGCTCCCAGTCGAGCGGCAGCGCGAATTACGACAGCTCAAGCTGCAGTTCTTCGAACTGTTCCGAGGCCTCGAGTCCATCAAATGAGTCCTCGGTCAGCACCGCCTCCAGTATTCACTCCGCTTATTTGGATCATGAATTGTGTGGAACCGGCTCGGAATACGCTTTCGATCAGGAGAAGAGCAAAAAGAATTGAGATGTTGATGGATCGGAGAGAACTATGGAAAAGTTATATTATTTTAGGTGAAAAATTGGAAATAAATAAATTTTTGTAGTGTTAATGGATGTTTTGTTGTAAAATATGGCCTTTTTATGGAAGCTTGCAGCAGTTGGGAGCTGTTTTGAAGTTTTTATTGAGTTTAATTTGCAATATTTTGAAGTGAAATCGAAAAATTGAAAGATTAGTTTTCAACTGAAGGTTTTCACCAGTAATAAATTTGTTCTCAAAATTCTATCAAAATCTGCCTTCTACAACATAAAAAATGTGTATGTTCGGGGTGACTCGACGGTAAATTTTTCGGCCAACGGGGTTCAGCTGTTTAGAATACGCGATGTAATATTAACAACATCTCTTTCACAGCGACGGGTCTGATCCAGTCGCAAAAAACGTACCATTTTGCATCCGGGAAGTATCAAAAAATGTAGCAAAATACCTCCCTCTCCAAGTAAAGAACTCTGATTTCAAAAGCGCCCTTCGAAACCAGGGTTTTTAGTTGGAGAGGGAGGCATTTTGCTACATTTTTTGATACTTCCCGGATGCATAATGGCACGCCAATTTGATTTTGGAAAAAATATATTTCTGTCAAAAGCTGGAGCTGCGCCCCATACTTCTGAAAATATTGATGCCATATTATACGAAAGCACTTTTAAACCGCTTTTTGCCTCAAAAACCGGTTTAAATTGCTAGTAGGGCAATAATTTTAGTTTCCTCAGATCTCACACCTTTTTAGTATTATTTATAAGCGATAAACTGAAAAATTATTTCCAAAATTGCTTTATTTAATTTTTATTGTAAATTCCCCAATTTTTGTCCTGGGGCTCTGGCGGTGGCTGCCCCTTCCTGTCGATTTTGGGACCTGCAGTACGTATTCGTGATGGGGTTTGTTTCCAAGCACGTTCTGAAACCAAAAAACGTATAAAAGTCAAGGTACTCAAAAGTAGCCCCACCGGGCACAAAATTAAATCGAAATTTTCTCGGGAATTAATGTTCCGATTTTCAAAATTTTGACGGATTCTGAAAGCCCGTGTTTCAAAGCATATAATATCCTAAAATCAAGAGGATCTGCTTATAAAAACTTACCGATCCGGCCGAAACTTCGAAATTTTCATCATTCTGGGATAGTGCAATATCCGAGATGTCTTCGTTATCTTCCTGGCTAAACCCATGCTTTTGTAACCGGGATTGCCATCTTCTGTTAGGTGTTCTATTGCTGACGTTTTGAAGCACATTCTGAAACCATAGAACCATTAAAAAGGAATTTTTTCCAAAAAAATCCCCGCCGGGCAAAAAATTAAATCGAAATTTTCTCGGGAATTAATGTTCCGATTTTCAAAATTTTGACGGATTCTGAAAGCCCATGTTTCAAAGCACATAATATCCTAAAATCAATATGATCTGCTTATAAAAACTTACCGATCCGGTCGAAACTTCGAAATTTTCATCGTTCTGGGATGCCGTAATTTGGCCATTATCTTCCAGGTTTTTGCGTCTTTTGCCCTCCGTCAATCTCTGGATCAGTTGGTCTTGTCTTCTTTTCTTCTCTTCTCTGGAACTCATTGATGCGGAAGTTGCCGCGGAGCATGATTTCGAAAATCTATTCGATTTCATCTAAATTGAAAAATTCAAAAATCTCGGTTTTTGAGAATGATACGCCCGCAGGATAACGTGGTGACCAAAAACGAAGTACCAATCGAAAGCTGAAGCAATGCCCTACAATTCCATAGGACGAGATCCTAAACTTTCACCCGGCAAAAAAAGTTACAGTTCATTGAAATTGACACCCTTTAATTCAACAATTTTAAAACGTCGCCAAACCATGACGGAAGAAAATTTTATTTGTGTTGTTTATGCAATTTCTGAATTATCAGCTTTATTTCTGCATATTCTGATTATTTCGGCATTGATGTAATTATTTTCTGCTGTTATATTACGGTATTTCTGCGGAGGGGAACAGTTGACCAAAATGGCCGGGGAGAGACTTGACTCGATCAATTTTTTTTCCATTTTTTATGTTTAGACAAATTGGCGTGATAATGGTACGTTTTTTTGCGACTGGATCAGGTCCGTCGCTGTATAAGAGATGTTGTTAATGTTACACCGCGTGTTCTAAACAGCCTTCTGAACCCCGTTGGCCGAAAAATTTATCGTCGAGTCACCCCGAAGATACACATTTTTTATGTTGTAGAAGGCAGATTTTGATAGAGTTTTGAGATCAAATTTATTACTGGTGAAAACGTTCAGTTGAAAACAATCTGGAGGCTTAAATTTGAGGATAATCTTGTCTAAATCGTGTATGAACGATCCCTTTATTCAGAAAAAGAAATGTGACATAGATTGCGACAAAATTTTCTCACATTTCCAACAAAAAATTTAAAATTTACCTAGTACCATATAAATTTGCCCCTAAATTTTGTTGTAGCTTTCTCCAAAACTCTTTTCAGTCCCCCAAAACCTTTTGTCGCGTGGCCTGAAAGCCGATCGCATTAGCTTCACCTTTAACCCCCGTCGATTTCAAAGAGTTTTTTGTTTTCGGAGTCGCCTTTCAGGCCTACCCTTTGGCCCGGGCGTGAAACTCGAGAGGCGACAGAAACAAATTCCCTCTCACAAAAAGCAAACAGCCCCGACGATGTGATCGGGATCAACAAAAGAAAATGAGGGACAGACGTCACTGTTTTTGCAGTCAAAAGGTCAAGTTTTTTCGGTCATGCCCGTAGGGTATGAAACCTTAGAAATTGCAAATTTTATCGTAGGGCATGGTCAAGTTCGGCCATTATACGAATTTTAGGATCTTTTAGAGCATCATTAATGACAATTTCTGACTAGATTGAAATATTTTAATCAACCTAGATCCGACCTTATTTTAGATGAAAAATCGAATTTTTTGCAATAAAAAAGCGCGTTTTTGAAGGTAAATTTGATGTCGATAGAAAGCTAAATCCATAAAAAGTAACCTAACAACGTTTCAACTGATTTTCAAATCGAAACAGAAGATTTTTGGATGTTACTTTAGATTAGATCTCTAGGTTAAGAAAAAACGATCAAAATCGTCAAAGTTAGATAGGAAAAGTAGATATTTGACATTTACCAGATGTAAAATACGTTTCGTCTTGCTATGACTCCAGTAAAGTTTAAAATTTTTTCATCAAACACGAAATTTTTGCTAATTTTCCCCAAAGTCACTGAAATTTTTAAGCCTAGAAATGTTTTATCTTTGACCAAAAATCAACACGTTTGTAACCTGTAGAGTTTTTTCCCATTTTTTCTCCAGGAACCACTTGTAGTATCCGTGAAGTGCGGCGGAGACAAGAGATTTGCTCTTAATCCTGCAAAATCAAGTCTACGATGCAAAGTTCACTCAGAACTCGCGTACATTGTCAAGTTTTGTGGTCTAACTGTCTAAAGGCGCCAGTGGATAGCCTTTCAGAACAGTTTTATTCGGAAAAATGGGATTTTAGAAGGTATTTTAGTGGAGTGGTCTAGTGCAATATAAATTTCGGCCAAAATCGAACAAATTTTAATTCAAGTGCTCGTATTTCACCTCAAAACTACTAATGAAAGTTTCATTTACAATTTTCCACCTCAATTCATGATGCAACACCCTCAATGTGTTTCATTTTTAGAATTTCCCATATCAGGTATTACGCAATCGCTTTCAGAATGCAAAAAATTTGGTTTTTTGTTTCCTTTTGGATCGAAAATGACCATTCATCGCTACTTTCGAAATTCCAAAGCGAAGGCAACGTGTAATAACTAAAATTCGGACTAATCCACGGTTTAATCAGTTTTGATTTGCATTTTTAGTCTCTGAACTTGAACTGTATAAATTGGATTAGTAAACTGGGCGAATTTCGAGTGTAAATAAGTTCAAAATGAGGATTATGAGCTGTAGGACGAGTGTCACGTCAAAATTTCTAGCAGTACCCGGCTTTTTATATTATTTTAGCCCGACTTCCCTTCAGATAACCTAAAATTTCAAGAATAATTTAAAATTCTTACCTAATGAGCCAAAATGCGAGTGATTCGATCAAATTTTATTGCCAGGGGCAGATTGAACCTCCTTGGACGTTCTCCTGATAAGGAAACGTGAGAAAAACGATTCCCTGGACTAATTTTCGCGATTTTCGTCAAGCCGTCGGAATGTCCAGAAAATCTGTCATCCTATTTATAGGCCTATGTGCTATATTACGAAAGCTTTATGGGATAATGACATGAAGAGTTAGGAAAGTATGGATTTTAGTGCAGTAACTGTAAAATACGGTAGAAAATGGAGGTTACTGTCCGGATAAAGATGTCATAATGACGGATTTTCTGGACATTTTGGTTGGTTTTGTTTTTCTCCGGGAAAATGGTGTTTTTGCAATTTTTTATAGTTGAACTCGATCTGATAAGGCCCAAAATGGCACTTTTACTCATTCTTCAATCTATTTTCTTGCCATTCCGAACCAAAATTCGCCTTTTTCACCATCAATTACCTTATTTTAGGTAATAACTACCTATAATTCTCTCGTAATCTCCGGATTTCTCCGATCTTTACAATCCATACGCGGATTAGCTTGTTCTAAACCCATTCTACTTTATTTTTATACCGATTACATTCATAATTTCGCTGTAATTCTCGTGATTACCTACGTTTTTCTAGGTTTACACTAAAACATAAAAAAAAGTTTCGACGTAACTAATATCCTTTCCGGATAAAAAAATTGCAGCAAAAATTGAATATGTCGGGCAATTGTGTCACAAAGGGCTCATTAGAGGGGGGTTTACATCGGAAATTGGCAGAATTTATTTTAGGGGGTTTGAAGAAATTGTAATGTAAAGGTGGGTGTTGCGGAACCTATGGAAAGAAAAGGTCGCGAATGGTGTTGGGAGTGGTCTATGAGAGCTTTTAGATTATGTTTAGCCGATTCCCAGCGATTTTTGGATATTACACTTGACCTCCGAATCAAAAAATTTGATGTACAGGATTAGTTTGGTAT